CCTGTTTAGTCTATTATTTTCTGTGTAGTCTCTAAAGATTTCTAAGAGGTCTAGGATGTTAGATTGTTCTTTGCTAGAGGTAGCAAGAGAGGAGGCTTGAATAACCATTGTTCTAGCAATAGCTAGTGCTTCTTCTACTGTCTTAGCAATAGGTGCCTAGGCAACAGGTCTAGTGGCAGCATTAAATTAGAAAGGTGGAAGTCTAGGCATAGGGGGGGGGTAGCAGGTCTGCTCGCAGGTCGTTTAGAAGAGGCAGTAGGTGGAGGCAGAGGCGTCGATGGATGCTGAGGTAGAGGCATAGGAGTGGGTGTAGGTAGGTACATCTCTCCTAGAGGGTCAGGGGAGCTAGGAGTGCTCAGCTCCATTGCCTCCCTGTCTAGAGATTGCTCTCTACTAGCTAGAGGTTCCGGTTCCATTGTCCTGGGTCCTGGGCCCTAGGTGTAGGTATCCTTCTCTTTTATAAGGAAAAAATACAAAGTGACTAGAGGAGAGCTTATTTTTGCACAGGCAGAGGTACCTAATCTCTGTTAGCTTTTTAGAGCTAAAAAATAAGGTAAAAAGGCTGTCTTAGTTTTACTATTCTTGCCTTATACCCTATTCTTACTAGCCTAACTAGTAGACCTCTAGGAGTAGAGAGTAAGGTTAGAGAGCAGAAAACTAAGCAAAGGCTTATTGCTGTCTGTTGTGTAGGCAGCTATTTTGTTCAGGTTTTAGTGTTCTTGTAGATAAGATCTTTGATAAGATAAGATTCTCTAATAAGAGTGGGTAGTCTGTGCAGTGAAAATTTGAAAATTTGAACAGGAGGGCGGCACTCTTGCACCAGGCAGCGCGAGGCAACCAGGCGCCTAGAGGCTCTAGGAGTTTGAGGGTAGTATATCCCAGTTGAGTTGAGATGGGCGCAGGCAAGAAGAGAGATATCTGGACAATTTGTGTTTTTGCAGTCTATTGTATAGGCAGGCTGTTTTTTTAGGTTTTCAGTATTCTTGTAGATAAGATCTTTAATAAGATAAGATTTTTTAATAAGGGTACGTAGTCTGTGTGTTGAAAATTTGAAAATTTGAACAGGAGGGCAGCACTCTTGCACCAGGCAGCGCGAGGCAACCAGGCGCCTAGAGGCTCTGGGAGTTTCAGGGTAGTATATCCTAGTGGGGTTGAGATGGACGCAGGCTTGAAGAGAGAGATCTGGACAAGTTGTGTTTTGATGGAAAGCTCTAAATGTAGCTATGGATATACACAAACACCTCAACACCTACTGCTTAGCTGTAGAAAATACAGAGAGGCAAGACAGAAATTAAATATCAGCCTACAGGAGACAAGACTTACAATGCCTCTTCTTGTAGACATAAATAGGGGAATCTAAGCTACACTAGCTCTTATTTAAGAGACTAGAGTAGGCACATGTAAGTAGTACCTACAGTAGACAACAGACAAATAATTTCCTTTGTTTATAACTAGAGCACAGGCTCTTACTATATATGTCTTAGAATCTACATGTACTATTCCCTTATAAAGAAAAACTTGTAAATTACTAGAGCAGCCTAACTGCCCTTGTCCTATATAGTCTCAGACTCACACAGGACGTTAAACTAATCAATCAGTTAATCAATTCCTGTGCAGAGATTGGACGCAAGGTGGCTCTTCGTGCAAGATGAAGCTTTAATGGCTAGGATAAGGAGACTTCGAGAGCTCTGATGCAGTCAGGTACTATGATTCTGACGATGATAATGGAGCTCTCGTTGATAGCGAGGACGGCTTCAACCAATTCCGAACCATGCCAAGCTCCGATACAATACCAGATGTTTTGATAAGCGCAGCACACATGGTGAGGTCTTCTAAGAAGTTTCACAAGTTTTTCTTCATACACAGACATACCTCGCGGAATGACACGATATTCTGGAATCCACGCGAACTGATACCCTACGGGCGTCATATCGAAGTCGGGTACCCACGATCCGGTACCCGACCCACACACGATAACAAAATTGTTCTGGCAGATGAACTTTTCTCCATATCGGACAGGATATATTGGCGTGTTGGCAACAGATGGCACCCTGATCCAACAATAGTCGAGGCTTGGCGCAGTAGGGTTTACTGCAGATGCTGTAAAATATTGCTTCTTCAAAGACCTTTACGACTACAATGGGAGTCCTATGACTAATAACCTACAGAGAATTCCCAGATGGAGCAATACGTTCTCGATATGGAATTGGAAGAGCCGAGAGGAATTGTCAACCTCGAGGTCAGCGAGCTGAAGCAGCCGTCCGAGCGGGGGATCAATGTATATTACGGATACCGTGTTCAGCTGGTGAAAAGGGATCAAGGCTCGGATCAAAAGGATGAGAGAACCTCGCTGCTAGAGGTCACAGTGCGAAGTAGCACAGCACTGATTGGGACGGAGTAGTCAGGATCATGGACCAACTAGATGGCTCTTTATCAGAAGAAGAGAAGAGGTATCGAACGTGCAGTATATTCCCTTTTGGCTCAACATCGTAATGCATAACGTTCCTCCCCATCATATTCAGATCATGAATGATCAAAGTCGCATGGACAATGACTCGCCTCGTATACTCGAAGTCTACAAGTAGAAAGCACCGATGGCACCGAGAACCACAGCTACGACATCCTGCTGGCTAATACTGACTGCAGATGCAGCACCAGTTGCCTGCGCAAGAGACGTGTTGACAGATCCGGAGGCTCCAGAAATGGCGGTCCCGCTCGCGGTCGAAGTCCTGGAGGTAGAAAAAGTCTGAGCAGGGACGGTGGTGGGCTCGGCGACACCAGATGGGCAGTGCCAGTGGTCGCCGTGAGGTTCGCAGGTGGAAGCAGTGACAGTGTGAGAATGGTCATCATCATTGTCGTCATCGTGGCTGTGTGATGCAGACGCAGATGCAGCGGAAGCAGACGTGATGCCAGAAGCGGCAGGCGTGGTGGTGGGAGCTGCTGAGGGAGCGTATGTGGGCTCAGCGACGCCAGATGGGCAGTGCCTGCTTGCTGTCAGCCTCGTGGACTTAGGAGTCGAGATAAGCATAGGTCTTACCAATGATTATCGTGCGGCTCACACACGCCGCTAGCGGTAGCGGAGACGGTGTCGGCTGAAGCCTCAGCAGTAGGTGCAGTGGTAGGCTCAGCGATACCAGCGGGGCAGTGCCTGTTTTTGAGGTCAGGTTTATTTTCCCTCTGTAAAGTATCACTCACCAGTGGTCATCGTGAGGCTTGCAACCGACACCAGTGGCAGTGTAAGTGGTCTGAGCTGCTGCTGCTGCGACAACGAAGAGAACGACAGTAGAGACCTTCATCTTCACGTGTTGTTGTATGGGAAGGCCGTAGCGACCGTAGTGTTTCGGAGTTGTGCAACGAGAAAGGATACTGGAAGAAACAAGCTGCTTCCTTTGGGTTAAATGTCTACACTCGCATGTGGTACGGCCGCAGGACGCTAAGCGGGACCTGTAGCCAAGTCCGCGGGATGCCTTGGCGATAGACATTAGGGTACTCAAGTTGCTACATACCGCAAGCGAGAGCGCACGATTGGCGAGATGAGGCGTGGATGGTTGATTGGCGTTGGTGAAAGCGGCGAATCTGCCGGATTGGCTTGGGAGATAATCGTTTGGTCCTCAGAATCATCCTTGGCACGCATCCTTCATTGGTCTCACACTCGGACAAGGCCGTGTGTGGCTCGAAGGTCTCGAAACAAGGCAAATGCTAAAATAGTTGTCACTGTATAAGACACAAAACGCTCGTGCAGAGACGACCAACAGATCTCTGCTTTGGTTTATGTTCTATTTTTGAACTTGTGTCATGAGAATGGGAACCAATAATAGTGCTAACGCAGGTAGAAGCGGCTGCTGAGTATTTTGCGCGCTAGGCAGCGCGAATTAATCGAACAGGCAGTTGCTACCAGATTTAGTATCAGCAAACGACCGGAGATGAGCTGGATGTGCTGTGGCTTTGCTTTAGTAAGCATGCTCATGAGTGAAGTCAAATTCAAGCTCATGGTGTAGAAGCAGTCGGTCGCTGTTCAAAGTGAAGAAGCTTGGATACATGCGTACAATTGGGTCGAGATATATCCACACTCAGATACGGACACCTTTATCCAGTGGGCGTGAAATCAAAGAGTTTACTTCGTAACGTGTCTCTAGTCGCTATGAGACACTTACTGCACCCTTGATGTAGACTAGGCAGTCCAGCTGAGTTTGCCAGGTAAATCTCATCAATACAAAAAGATTCTACGAGAAATGTACAGAGCATCCGAAAGTTGTAAGTGTTTGTAAATGTGTTGCAAATCATCTCTCCAAGCTCCTACAGCACCATTAACTGTGCTTCACATGATTTGAACATATCAAACTATGGCCTGGATGCCTTAACGGACTCGATATTGTATACTCCGATCCTATCCAAGCCTACCTGTCGAGACGCAACTCGCACTCAACAACCCTTCTCTTTGCCCTTCCCAAGGTTCTCACCTCATGCTCCTCAGCACTATTGTCTTCCATCCTTCGTCTCGTCGCTCTCCGCAACCCTCATCTCAGCCGCGATCTTGAACTTCACGTACCCATCCACCGGTCTTCCTTGCCTCAGCCTCGTCCTCACAGCCTTGTCGCTCCAACAATGGTACATGGCGACGTACAGCTTCTCTGACCCGACAAAATCCAATAGAGTACCACCGACAGACTCAAAATCATCGAGGCTCGACTGAGTCACGATGATCTTGCGCCCTTGAGAGAGGAAAATAGGATTTTGCAGCGAGCTCAGTTCTCGCAGCCGGGACGTTTCCGTGGAGTTTCCGGAAGGGGTGAAGCGCGATGACAAGAAGATGATGTCGCGTTCGAAGTTGATGTAGAACATATTTTGTGCTTTGGAAATGGCGAAGAGGTGGACAAGCGTACCATTTTCGTGGACGATGCTGAAGTTGCGGGTTTCACGCGAGACGACGAAGAGCGGAGGCAGCCGAGGAACACACCTGACACGTGGGTTGTAGCTAGGTGACGTAAAGCCGTAGAGCTCGATGAAGCGCGTGCGCGGGGTAGGTACAGCGTGCGAAAGAACGAGAGCGCGGAGGTTGCCAGGTAATTTGGAGAACAAATGAAAGCTCGTGAGAGCGCGGCCCGTGCTGTATGAGAACTCGTGGTCATCGGTGGTCATTGCAAGCGAATGACTTCTAGGCAAGCGGGGAGGATTTCAGTGGGTTGGAAATGAATGTTGGAAATAGTTGAAGATGCAATGAAGATAGTGGTGTCTAGCTGCGGGCAGGTCAAGTGAAGGCGAAATATTTCCACACCTTGCAACCGCGCCATCGCCGAAACCTCCACCATCTACTCCTCATCCTTCTCTCCCGTCCAGAATATCCAAGTGATTACGATCAATGTCTTGAGCCCAACCGCAGTCCATAGGGCGCCTGCAAGACCGACACCGCTGTGTGCCCAGAGACCTCCCATGCATGCACCGAGAAGTAGCAGTAAAGGCGCGCCTATCCTCCTGTTCCTCTCGATATTGTCCCAAGCAAACAGCTTAGGGTCAGAGAAGAGATCGCAGTAATTGCTTGTCAGCACGACACTGGTCAGACCGTTGAACTGCAGCGCACGTGACGTCACCGCCTGTCCGCTCGACTGGAACGCGACAGAAGCCAGAGGAACCAGGACTTGCCAGTGCAACTGGTTTTTAACATCGTCTCCAACTGTGACGATGACTGCCGCTACGACAATAAGGAGCAACTGCGCAGAGTAGCTTGCAATCAGCACCCAGCGCTTCTTGGGCGAGTAGTAGCGATGAAAGCGTGCAAAGAAGAATGAGCCGAGACAGAACGAGACAATAGAAGTCAGCGCCTTGATCCATCGGATGTCTTCATGGGGAGCGATGATTCCCAGACCGAGATACACAGTGTTTCCTAAGCAAACATATAAGCGGTGCACCGCTTGCTGGGGTCTGCTTACTCACCCGTTTGCATGCTTACGAAACTACCCCAGATGAATACAGCCGAGCTGTCCAGTAGTCCCGTGACTATGTAGCCAAACAACAACACTGCGTCCGCCCAATTGCGGCTGACATCCTGCTTGAAGTGCCTGGTGAGGTTTGACTTGTCCGAGTTTTTCGCGACTCGGCCGAGCAGCGGGGTTTCTTCGTCGACTTCTCGCGCAGATGTGCCGCGTGCTGTTGCGCCAGACATGGTATTGGAGGGAAGCCTGAGACGTCTGATGAGGTGCAGCGTGCAGGATACCCGGCGGTTAGATATGTATGCTTTGTAACTAACGGGCCGGACGGCGCGAGTCGATACTCGCTAACACAAAAGCACGTTGGCAGCCAAACAGGATCAAGCAAGCTCCCCCCCGTTGCTTCCTCGGCTGCACGGTAGATCTACAGGCACACGTTACTTAAGCTTTGGCGCACTAGCGGCAGCAAGCTTCCTGTCGTGCATCCCGGCAATTGCAGGATAGCGCTGGAACTTCGCTCTGCGCCTTCTGGATGAGGCTATACAGCTGGCATCGTGAGGCTTTGGTGAGACTTGATAAGTGCGAAATTCATTAATTGAGATGCGGGGAAGCTGGCGATGCGCTCGATGTGGATGGCGGGGAGCCAGAGACGCCCATGTCAGAGAGCGTGCAGTGTCGTCATTGGCATGCTAACCGCGGATCAGACGGAATAAACCAGTTGAACCTGCAGTGATCGACTGGCAAGTAATTGCCATGCCTGCGATCAAATAGCGACAGCTGCCCGCTCTTGTTTGCATCTTTGCGATTGAACTGGACTGAGAGGCCATTATGCATTGGTCGAGCTTCATCGTTGCGCTGGGCGCCTGCGGCGGTGCGCTGGGCGCGCCCGTCGAACAGCAGCCATTGTCAGGCAATTTGCGACACCACGCAGGTCCGCACAAAGTCGCGGATCCGTATACGCCTGACAACCGCAATCCATACGACAAGAAAGTTGATGCGCAGGCCAACAAGCTGCATCCTCTGCCATGGGTGAGTCGAGCATCGAGGACCCACGAAACACCAAACATTGCATCACGAGTCAGTCAACTAACAAAACGCAGCGGGACGGAGATGGAGCAGACATGCTGGGTCCGCGCAACAGGGAACGTGAGAGACAGAACCCAGATCTTGTCCGCCCACCCAGCACCGACCATGGCAACATGCCCAATATGCGCTGGTCGTTCGCCGATTCACACATCCGCATTGAGGAGGGTGGATGGACGCGCCAGACTACTGTCCGCGAGCTGCCAACCAGCAAAGAGCTAGCAGGCGTGAACATGCGCCTTGATGAGGGCGTGATTCGCGAGCTCCATTGGCACAAGGAAGCCGAGTGGGCCTACGTGCTCGAAGGCGAGGTGCGCATCACAGCTCTTGACACCGAAGGCGGCAGTTTCGTCGACGACTTGAAGAAGGGCGATCTTTGGTACTTCCCCTCCGGACATCCACATTCTCTCCAAGGCCTGTCGCCTAACGGCACAGAGTTCCTGCTCGTCTTTGACGATGGCAATTTCTCCGAAGACTCAACCTTCCTGCTCACCGACTGGGTTGCGCGTACGCCCAAGTCCGTTCTGGCAGAGAACTTCCGCGTCGCACCTGAGGTCTTCCGTGCCATTCCTGAGAAGGAGAAGTACATCTTCCAAGGCTCGAGCCCGGACAGCATCGAGAAGGAAATCCCAAGCGACAGTCCTGGGTACAAAAAGTCGAAGTTGCAGTTCACGCACAAAATGCTCGATCAGGAGCCGCTGAACACAACAGGTGGCCAGGTCCGCATCACTGATTCAACTAACTTCCCGCTCTCCAAGACAGTGGCGGCGGCCCATCTTACCATCCAGCCCGGTGCGCTCAGAGAAATGCACTGGCACCGTAAGCCCTACCCTTGCTGCTTCGATAACTGAATGTAATCCCATACTAACTTACCCCAGCCAATGCAGATGAATGGTCCTTCTTCATCAAAGGTCGCGCACGCGTGACCATCTTTGCCGCCGAAGGCACAGCACGCACCTTTGACTACCAAGCAGGCGACGTTGGCATCGTGCCGCGCAACATGGGGCACTTCATTGAGAACTTGTCCGACGATGAAGAAATCGAGGTTTTGGAGATTTTCCGCGCAGATAAGTTCCAGGACTTCAGTCTATTCCAGTGGATGGGCGAGACGCCGCAGCGCATGGTCAGAGAGCATCTGTTTGCTACAGATCCCAAGAGCGGCAAGAAATTCGAGGAGGCAATCAGGAATGCGGAGAAGGACCCCATTAGGGATACGCTGAGTGGGGAAGAGGAGAAAGAGGAGCTGTAAGCCACTGATGGTGAAACGGGAGAGGTGGGAGAGTAGGAGAGAGGAGGAGATAGGAGAGGAAGCACTCAAGTCACCATGGCGGGGTTCTTCAGCGAAGGACGTCGAGCCCAGGGGCAGGTCGATGCTGGACCAACTAACGAAATGATAGTGTAACGATAGCCTTCACAACGTAGATGCGTACAACCTCACTGCGATGTAGAGGTCCCATGATCTGTTGTTTAGTAGATGGCAAACGGGTTGGGTGTGGCGTGGCAGGCGTACGTGAGGAATTCATAATTGAAGTTAATTATCAGATTGTCTTCAGGGCAGTGAACCTAAGCCTGAAGATACCGGATCTAGTTCTTCATCCGCCACCTCACCAGCTCCTTCGCTCTCAGACACGATCGATCCCGAACGGTATATCAAGGGTGCCATCGCGGAGGTATGTAAGGAGTATCCAGATTCTCTCCTTCGTCCGTCCATAAGCCCGCCCACCAATGCTGCGGAGAGGCATCGTCAACCACATCTTGCTGTACCGAGAATCATTCAATCCGCCTCATTTTGGGCACAAAACCTTACTGACAAATACATTCTTCCGCAGCAGCTTTGAAAACATGATACCCGCGTTCGTCATACCAATGGTCTCAAGCGAGTTGGAGGTGAAGATGGGAAAGCCTATTAGAGGTGAAAATCCCGCTATAGCATTGTTGCGTCATCATGGCAAGACGAGATGTTAATGCAATGGGCGTGGACGAATACTTACAAGTAGCAATTCAAGGTGATAAGAGAATCCATGGTTCGCTTAACGACTCGCGACGGCTATAAGGTCAAATTTGTCTCCATCGCAGGCGGTGAAACTGCACACGAATACGCGAAAGACGATGTGAATTCTTACGCTCAGCCTCCTCATCTCATGTTTAGCAATCCAATACGGATGGTAAATTTCTTCAATGAGACTGAAACCCTCGCTGCCGTGGAAGGTTGCAGTACTCGGGAGCCGAGTCCCAAGGGCGACGAGCAGCTTAAAAAGAGCGTTCGAGAGGGCCCCCTCCGCGCATTTTACGTTCTCACATTCCTGTATCCACATGAAGCTCACGTATTCGCACAGAGCTTGCTTGCCAAGGAACAGATCGAGGAAGGTTCGCTGCGGGGTCTGGTTAGTTATGAAGGTGCCGACATAGCCTGGATTCAGTACATTCCTGTTGATAATGTCGGCTGGTATGCCTAGTTGGACACGGGTGCGTAGACTCATTCGAGAGACTCCACAAGATGGGCGGTTGGAGGCAATCGCAAATATCGCTCTCAATGCAACGAAGTTGTTGGTGATTGTGGACAGTAGCCATTCAGCAGAGAGAAAGAAAGCTGTGTTTGAGCTTGGGGGAAGCGATGATGAGGAGTAGTAGGTGGGTGCGCGTTCACGTGAAGGTTTGGGTCTGCCAAGGTATGAGGTCATTGCTGTGGAGACCATGAAGAGACAGTATTCGAGATGCAGGTAGAGGTAATTTTCAGGTTGATTGAGGCGTCATCTTATTGAGCTAGGCATGCGTGAGCCATCGCGGGGATAAAATGGGGGCCATATGAGTTGTGAAGACGTGAGTAGCTCTAACCGCTTTTGGTACTAGAGGAGAGCAATGTGAGGGATGAACAGCACGGGCTGCAGAAATATCAGGGACTAAATCAGCAATGAAAGAAAGTCATTGATTTGCTCCGTTCGATTAAAGTGGGCTTGTTAACGAGTTCAGTAAATTTCGAGCCGCTTCGGTGACCTTCCCATGACGCGCGCGTTCAAAGCAAGGGTTTGGGCGAGATTGACGTCACCGCGGCTTTGGAAGTCTTAGTTAACTCAACAGCTGCCAGCTCTGCGTAGAACCGTCGCAAATCAACAAAGCTTCCAACGCTATCAATTGCACGTCTAAAACCCCTTTCCATTCACGTTTAATTTTCCAGAGCACCGCACATCACAATGGGTTGGTTCAGCAGCGACGAGAAGAGCGTCCTCAAGGCAAACCCCGTCAACCCCGACGTCACCACATCCGCCCGCTCTGGTGCTGAGCAAGACCGCTACGGCGAGCACTTCTCCCAAATCGGCCAACAGGCTGGAGAGAAGATCCGTGAGGGTATTCATGACCTCAATGCCCGCGCCACAGGCAGCGGCGCCGAGCAGGACCGCTACGGCCAGCACTTCGCCGTCGGCCAGTCCGGCTACCAGGCAGCCAAGAACGAGGCACAGCAAGGATACCAGAAAGCGAAGTCGGAGGCACAGTCTGGCTACGACCAGGCCAAGTCATATGCCAACAAGGCCCTGCATGCCAGCGGCAGCGGCGCTGAGCAGGACCGCTACGGCAACTACTTCGGCGGACAGTTGTTCGACCCCGTCCGTGCGGCTACATTGAGCATTATCAGCTCCGGAGGCAACACAAGCAATGCCAACTACCACTGGCTCGGTCACGACGGTCGCGAGAGAGCTAAGTTCCTGGCTGCACAGAAGGGCACAACAGGGTCCGAGCAGGTACGTAATGTCAGAAGCTCTGCTCTTACCATATTTTAACATCGCATAGGATCGTTACGGTGCTCACTTCACTGGTTTTGGTGAGGCGGCCGCACAATCGATCAAGGACGCGTGGCACGAGGCGAAGAAGCAGGTTCGATAAACAGATACCACTGATCGATAGTCTCATTCGGCAAAAGATTGTAATGAATACGAATATGTAAAACACCACCATTGTGTAACTTCACCATTTCATTCATCTAGTCGAAAGCATCCTCTCATAATACAAGCCATGCTGACAGGACAGACGTACCCCTCGAGCTGCTGTTGCCTACTTGCTAAGCAAGAGCAGGGTTAGCATTCTTGAGGAGCATCTCAAAATACGCGTTAAACCAGGCGCCAGCCTCAGGTGCTGGCTTGAAGGCAGAAGCGCGGCCACATGCAGCGTCGTAGCGGGAAGCAGATGTGTCCGAGGTACCATCAGACTGCGTATCGTCAGCGACCATATACCAACAACGAACAAGGATGCAATAACGTACCTCGCCGCCGGGCTTGACCCAGACGAATGCATCAACAAGCGAGTTACCAGTGTTAGTTGTAGGACGAGGACCGAAACCAGCACCCTGGACATTGCACCAATCGCCCCACTCCTGCTGACCAGTAGGCTGCTTGCCACTGCGTCCAACATCGACAATGAAGCGTGCGGGAAAGCCTTGCTGCTGGAGAAGGGGAGCAAAGGCTGTGATGAAGCGTTCCTCATCGCAGTTAGCGTTAGGACTGGTGATAGCCGGGCAGGTGTTGTGTCTGAAGGCATTGTAATTCGAGACGTTGGTCACAATACCGCGGACGGCGCGAGGAGATCCAGCAGCCTTGTACACCTCAGCAAATAACTGCGCCGCAGGGCCAATGTTAGCGCCCCAGCCGAGCCATCCAGCGTGGCCACCATCGAGGTACATGTCAACGTTAGCCAGGTTGAGGCTGCGGAGCGCGTAAGCGGTAAGATCCTTGTAGTAAGGCGCAGCACGAGAGCATTTCTGCACGCCCATGTTGGTGACCATGTTAGCGAGGGAGTCAGGCTCTGCTTTGTGTCAGCCATGCTTCTTCCATTCTAATTTTTACAGCACTCGCACTTACCAATAGCAAGATTGACCTTCACGTCAGGATACTTTTTAAGGATAGTCACGATCTTGTCGATATATTCGACTTTGTACTTGTTGGCACCGTCCTCGTCGATCTTCAGTTCGCCATTTGATGCGAGGGCCGCACAATCGCGATCAGGCAAGTTGTACACAACAAATGTGGCCATTAGCTTCGCGCCCGCGGCATTCTTCGCCTTGATGTCGGCGAGATAGGTGTCCAGTGTCGGTACCTTGGCGCGAGTGTCAAGCCATACGAACGAGCCTACGTTGGCCACGGCGGAGGCGGCGGGCTTCAAAGAGGCGGGCAGAGAAGGGATCGCGAGGCTGTGCACTTCCGAGGAGTAGTACGGGTTTGCATAAAACGAGTAGCCGGCGAAAGGGTTAGTGGAGGCTTGACGGGCCTCGAGCTCGGCAGCAGGTGCTGGGGTGGTTACAGCGCGGGCTGGTGTGGCAATATTTGGAACGGATGTCGGCTGAGGCAGAGCAGCAACGCCAGCCGCGAAGGCGGTGATCTGTAGGATGATGGAAAGCATCGTGACAAGATTGGGTGGGCTGAAGGCTTGGAGAGAGAAGCTGATGCTGGCCGATGGTTCTATTTGTACTTGATCCTTGAGTTGGGGTGATCGGCATCCAAGAATCTCTCATCTATGTCCAGATTGGCCCATATAGTCTTCATAACGCAGAGCCGTTTTTTTATGAGGCTTGCAGCTCCTCCGGGTCGTCAAATCGGTCATTTGATATCGTGAGCAGCTGGAATATCAAGGTGGACGTTGATGGTCGACGGAGTGCAGGATGGACGTTCCGCCGCCGAGCAGAAAGAAGGGCTGCTTGCTGCCTGCCAAGGTGATACAATGGCCCCTCAATGGAATCTCAGTGGTGGTACTGGGCTAGCGAGGCTTGGAGAGCTTGGGGGCTTCTTGGTTCGCCGCAAATCTGGGGTCGCACTCAAATGCGTTGCAAGCGGCAAATAGATGCGTCGCGCAGACCTTGTGAAGTATTGATGTGTTCTTCAGGTTGAGACTCAGGGCACAGTGAAGCGTACTTAGTCGCAGCCAAATGTAATTGCAATTGACTACAAAGCTGTCGTTCATCCTATGAGGCTCAAGTTGCGATTCTTGGTAACGGGTGCCTCGGGTAATATACACATATTGCTTGTAACAGATAGATTGGGGGACCATGCCGGCCAGCATCAACATTACTCTCGAGATCTTCGGGCTGTCAGGCAGAAGCCTAAGAGCTTTATGCAATATCGTAAACTCACTAAAAGTCTCACTCGCTCTTCGTGCCTGACTGCATGTGACGAACGCTCTCATTTTGCTCGTGCTGCAGACATCCCGCGATTGCAAATGAGTGTTACGCTTTGCATGGGTAAACGAAAACTCAACCTGCGATGTTTTCCAGACCACACCACTCTGCGATGAACAATGCAATCGTTGTTGTAACTCGCTGGATACTGCTGATACTCACTCTCTCGTCAAACCCATGCAAACTCTCGCCGATAGGTCCGTAGCACAAGGCAGGGATCTTTTGTTCCAAAGCAAAGATTCTGGTATCGAGATAAGCGGGCATGGTCATGCTTGTCAAATCCGTGCCGGTAACCTGCTGATGCGCAGTATTCAGTGTTTCTTCTGCTTCGCTGCCGGGCTCTAGCACGTAGCCTTCTGCGAAGAAGCCATTCCATGAGATTTTCGCTGGCGAGTCGCGCAGGAACGAGGTGGTCTCCGATACCTTGGCGACCTTCCGCTCGATCTTGTCTGCAACTTCCTGTGCAGTCACTCCTGGGAAAAGCGCTACGCGACAATCGATTGTGCACCAGGCAGGTACTGAGCTGGCCCAATCTCCACCTTGGATCATAGCGACATTGAGGTTGATTGGCGAAGCCATGTGCTCGAAGTAAAGCCTCCCTTGCTTTTGGTCGTTCATCTCCTTCTCCAGCTCTTTCAATCCACTCACAATCGTCCATATCGACTCAATGGCATTGGATCCCTCTTTCGCCTTCAGAACATGGACTGGTCGCCCTGCGACTGCGATCTTGAACCAAATGACCCCTACATTGGCGCGGACAAGCTCTTCGTTCGTAGGCTCAGGGATCAAGACTGCATCTGCGGTATACCCAGCAAGATGCGTGGCCATTGTACCGTTGCCGGTGGACTCCTCTTCGGGTACAGATTCGAGTATGACTTTCGATGCTGGCTGTTTGCCTATGTTACGTAGAGCGTCCAGGGCATACATATTCGCAACTGCACCTGCACGCATATCTGCACTCCCGCGGCCATATAGCCAGTCGCCTTCAATAAGTCCGGAGTAAGGGTCATTGGTCCAAAGTTCCTTAGGTCCGTTCGGCACGATATCGATATGACCATTAAGAATTAAGCTCTTTCCGCCAGGCATGATGGACTTCGGTGCATGCACGCCGATTACCACTGGAGCCTTGGAGTGCGAGTCACTGATACGACCGGCACTGGAATGTTGTGAAAGGACACGTGCGTCCATCTCGAGTTTGGTAGTGTTGTAGCCACGAGAGGTGTATTGACGGTACATCTCTTCTAGTGCTTCATGCTCTTCTCCTCTTTGTCCGCCATATCGTACCATCTTCTGAACGAATGCGACTTCATTTTTCAAGTTTTCTGCAACAGCCTCCTCGATGGCTTTCTTGACTTCCGGTAATAGTGGCATTCTGAGTGGTGGCAAAGAGAGACCGTAAGCAACGAAAGAAAGGAAATGCTGGGACTTGATCAGGAGTAGCGAAGGCCATCGAATAGATCAAAAGAGCTGATATATACACCTTATGCGCTCGCAGTTGCTGCTCTTCGGCAATCGTGAAGAATAACACTTATCCCTCTTTGGCAGGTACATGCGGCTGGTCGCGGGGCTTGTCGTCCGACAATGATAAGGCGGATGCAACTGCGAGATAGGAGCATGTTAGATCTGCATCTTTGTGCCATGCGAAGCTCATCTTTGCAAGAACCCGACCATTACAAAGTCCGATAGAGACGCTCACAGGCAACGCAATCAGCCTCGGGATGACGCGACTGCGCACCACCGGTAGTGTGGCTTAGTCAGGATCTAACCGCGAAACAACGCGACATCGCGCTCAGCGCCATCTTGATCGAATGCCCAGCTCTCTGTGCCGCTGAGAAGGTTGATACCATGGCCTCATTAGCACTAAGGAAGGCCATGCTACATTTTCGATGGAGGGTGCCAGATATGTGGTGATCTCGCGACAGGTCTTTCCATTCGAGCAGGACCCTTCCATTCAGGATTCCTGGAAGCTGCCATCCAGGTGGTCGTTTCCAGCCGCGATACGAGGATGTATGACGTTCAGGGGATGTACATGCGATCCCCTATTTCTCCTGTCGCTGTCGATGACGTCGATCACCGAGATCTGCGTCAAGGATACTTAGAAACTTACCACGAAGCGGCAAACAGCATCCGAAAGTGCTGGTTGCGATGCTGGTTACGTCTCGATGATTCTCACTTGGGCTTTGGAGCCTTTATTACATCTCTCCAAATCCTGCTGCAGTCTTTGCAGCGACTTCTCTATACTTCTCCAAAAGCTTTTGGGGTGCAAGAGTGTAAAGTCGAGGAACTGACTTTGGCTTGTTTTATGGTCGGGGGTAAGTATTGACAATGTTTCTAGATCTACGTTATCGCCTCAGAGTCTGAGACGACTCGCCTGCGCAGACAGTACGCGAGGTCACTACGATGCGTTGGCGGACAAATGTCTCAATCGAGCATGCTGCCTCCTAACGGCCATACAGGTTCTCTTTAGCGAACCAAGAGGCAACATGCCTTCATAGGCGTATATAGTTGTTGAAAGGTCTCGTTGGTTTCTGCGCACATCAGTCGCCTATCTCAGTCACTCTAAACCTCCATTTCAATCGTTTCTCTGCCTTCATCATGCGCTTCTCTCACTTCTCGATCATTGCCCTGAGTGGCCTCTCCATGGCCAGTCCCGTTGTTCAGAAGCGTGCGGACGTTGTCAGCCTTCTGACCGGTCTGTACGCTACCGTTCAGACCTATACTGAAGCAATCAGTAAGCAGCCGCTACAATTTAAGGCCTTGCTCTGACAATCTGCAGATGCCAATCTTACTCCCCTCTCCGCTTCTTCTCCTCTCCTTGAGAAGGCCGCCGCGACAGCCGAAGTCGGTGTCAAGATCAACCTCATCACCACTGCTGTCACTGCGACCACAAGCGAGATCAAAGTCCTGCCTCCTGTCAACTCGACTATTGAGAAACGCTTCGCAAACATCGATGAAGACATGCACGCCCAGCCCAAGGAGAAGCGTCAGCTCATCGCTGTCAGTGCGATCCTGGCTCTCATCATCGTGGAGACCTTCGCTACCGTCACTGCTGCTGTTGCTATCTTGGGTCTTGCAGGTCTGCTTATCTTCCTGAACCCACTGACGGGTGCTATATCGGCTCTTATCCTTGCGGTGCAGCTGATCCTTGATGTGGTACTTGCTGACGTCATTGCGCTCCTGGACGGACTTCTTACGTCGCTGGCTCTGGATGTCTCGGGATTTTAGGCCGTGGCAACCGTCGACAGGACAATCCGTAGACAAGACAATTCGTCTCCAAACATGTCAGAATTCAGAAGAGACATGGACTTGTGTGTTGTAAAAGATTCATAGTGTGAAGCGTTGCGTTCGGGGAATGGCGTAGACTGAGCTGTATCGTCTCCATTGTGCGCCTCGTCACGCCCGTGAAGCACATAGAATAAGAAATCCAAGGAATAAGATCATCATATCCCCAGAACTCTATTCTGATGCTAAACTAGCTGGCACGGCAAGCTCGACTCTCTTACAATCATGAGCATGCCTCGACCTCAATCACAACTGTTGTTGCGCATCGTGGCGGACTGGTGCAGTACTCGGTAGATGGCCCATACGGGACATGGCCCCAGAAGGCATTGTGCAATCCTGATGCTAAATATGAGGTGCTGCAGCCCGTCGGTAGTTATCAGTACCAGTAGCAGTGTCAAAAAACACTGGACTTGAATATGGAATTTATCTTAGAGAATGCCCGTAGTCTCGTAACCTGAACGAGTTGCAGCTGCCATGTGCTGAGTTGGATCCTTTGCCACTCTCACCAGCCTTGACACGTACAATTAATGATAGACATGTGTGAGCCATTGATGCTCTTCAATTTGGAACATCGCCTTCCACCAGACGATCTCTTCAAGAGCCCACTTCAAGACCGCCTGAATCACCCTGACTACGAGCACAAATTGGCAGTGGAGCCTCGTGATGATAGCTGTATTGCAGCTTTCGGATGCAGTCCTGAGATCTGTGGTGGGTTAACAATTCGACAGTCAAGTTCAGACGAAAGGCATACGGGCGTGTGGATCACTCTACAGCGCCTGAGGCACCTCTAGCCTCGCCATGGACAGGTGTTGACATATGACTTAGCCCACGTCAGCACTGAGTTTAAGAGTGTCAAGGTAGCACATCTGAGCTTCGAAATGGACGCTGGTTATCAATCCATTCATCACTGAGCTACGTGAGACCAAAAAGAGCGAGATCATGTCGATCAGATGGCCTTGAGCAGGAATTGAGAGTTCTCGGCTTCAAAAGGCGCATATGTGATAATCTCCGTGCCATTTCCCTGTCCAGATCCACGCACGTTGAGCTGTTTAGCAGTGCCGACATTGTCTATGCTGCACGTTTATCAGTATTGAACATGCTGGACAGAGCAAAGAGGTGTACACGTACTAGAAACATCCGTTTCCTGTGTGACGTAGCTTCCAGCGAATACTTGGATCGAGAGGCGAGCGGAGTTCAGTCGTGACCTGGACGCCATCTGTGGCATCGACGCTTAGTAACATCTCAGAAGAGGGCACGGCAGGTTTGACTGACCACCCGAGCCGTTTGCCGCCACGTAAAGCCCAGAATTCACCGCGATGATGAGATACTCGCGATCACCCGTCTCGGGCTTTCCCTGAGTGCCTCCAGCTGCCACGATCGCGAACTGGTGGTTCTTAGCACCTGGAACACGCTCGCTGAGAGCTTCATCAGTTCCTTCACTTTGGCTGGTAGAGAAGATATACTAGAGTTTGAGGGGGGTACCGGCAGAAGTGGCACCGCCCCAGACATCCAAGCTCATGTTGGGAGCATGCTTAGGGTGGATCGTGTAAGTGCCGGGGCCGGAATAGTCGGACATTATTGAGGATGGAGACAGATGATAGCAGGGAATTTGACTGAGAAAGTGTGTGGCTCTTGTGTGTGAGCTTCAACGCGGGCTCAGAGTTGTAGTGATGAGGGCCATGATGCTTTATAGAGTGTCCGCAGGCCACGATGCGTCAGTGTTTGATATGGCTTCAGCTCTGCTTGTCAGCAGGCAATGAGGGGTATGCTCAGAATGCAAGCCAGCTTGAGAACTTCCCCTCATAGTGGGTTCTGCATACTGCATTGAGACATGATCACAGCTGTTCTTAGTGGTGAGCTGCCTTCCAATCATTGTCGTCGTGTGCAACATTGAGGGCCTGCATGTCAGCTTCTCAGGGCGCTGTCCAGCACAGAAGTGGAGAAGGTTTCGTCGTAAGAAGCCACTGGGTTAGCTACCTCGTCTAGCAATAAAAGATAAAGACGCCTGAATTCTGAGGTGTGGCACCGAATGGCGCCCATCGTCCAGTCATCTTCAACATCAAATAATATCAATACTAAGAGGCACGCTGGGCGGCCCGTTGGTGACGCAACACTTCATCCCAACAACCACCATGTGGCTTCTTTCTTTCCCAACATCTGCAAACCGGATGTGCTCCGGTCAGCTTTGGCTGCACACAGTTCCCACTGCGTCTATCGTGTTGCGTAATCAGTCGGACATGCTCGCTGTTCCAGAAGCACCAGGTGCATCTCGTAGCGATCGAGAAGACTGCCACAACCTACTGGATTGTGACAGCTGTTCACAGAATGGAGAGTCGAGGCTGCTGGCTCCACGATTTGCACCTGCTCAAGGCGTGCAGGGGTGACGCGTGGGGACGCGCCGAGGATGGAAAGAGGTGTCGGTCGAGGGAAACGCCGACCAGCCGAGGCCTGCGACTTTTGTTTGTGATACAGCTCTCTTCCTCGACCACAGCCAGCACTCGCACGACTCACCACTTACGCCAGCAACAGTATCGTAGTCCAACGTACAGCCAGCATACAGCCAGCAGACGATGCAATGAGCGACACAACTCCCCTCACCGGGCGTCTCGTCCCACTGCGGACCAAAGACGAAGTGCGCGCCAGTCTGGAGACGCACGTTGTCTATGTCATCGAAGTGTCTGCGAAGCATGCCAACGCTGTCAAGGAGTGAGCCATTCACTCCAGACACGCCAATTGATCCCTGACTAATGGTGCAGTGTCGTGCAAGCAGCCGTCCCCGACTTCAAAACGTCAGAGATCTCGCACCTTCGCCGCGTTGTGCAGTTCAAATACCTACCGGCCCATCTGCAGAAGCAGTTCTACCCGCCCGCGAGGCTTCCGAGAGGTGATGAGGATGATCCTGCACCAGCATCATTGTCCCCATCCACTGTATCATTGCCCTCCTCCTCTCCTCCGTCCACATGCACTGGCGACGATTGCACTGCTGGCGAGGAAGTTACTAAAGACATGGATCTAGTGCGCTACTTCCTCTTGTGTCCCACGAGACACATCCCGCATGCAGAACTCCACAGTCTCCTGCTCAAATGTCCTCCCTTCGACAACGGCAAGACGAGGCCGAGGATCCTGTACGTCACCGTCCCCTCGCTGGCACCCATATCTGCCGAGCAGTCCGAGCAATGGAGCGAACAGTACTGGCCCATCTCTTACAAGAACACCAACCCATACGGTCCGCACCCTAGCCTTGTTGCACGCAATCAGGCGGAGATCGAAGACAAAGTGGGCAACTGGCTTGCGCTCGCTCGCACGGCTGGACAGTGCATTTCGGAGCAGTGCCTGGGAGAGTCGCTCGGTGTAGTCGTCGTGGACCAGACCAAAGCAGAACCCGAGGTCATTGTTGTTTCGGGCGACTGCCGCTGGAGATCCCCATCAGGCGCCATCGAGCGTCACCAAGGTACCGGAAACATCATGGCTCATGCTGTCCAGCGCGCCATCGCTATGGTCGCAAAGAAGAGGCTTCGAGCTGCAGGCGCCGACCCTGCACTGCTCGATCGCTCGCTGTTCTGCGACATACCTCTCACCGAGATCGAGAAGGAGTACTACGTGAAGGACAACATCAACCAGAGCGGCTATTTGTGCGTCGATCTCGACATCTACCTGACCAACGAGCCCTGTGTAATGTGCTCGATGGCGATCCTTCACTCGAGGTTTCGGCGATGCATCTTCGCTAAGCGCATGCCGCTCACTGGCGGGATGACGTCCGATACAGCAGAAGGATACATGCCGCTGCAGGGCGGGTTGAAGCATGGCATGTTCTGGCGACCGAGCGAGCTGAACTGGAAGTTCCTGGCCTGGGAGTACAAAGAGGAGGGCGAGCAGGCACAGCCTGAGGGCATCAAGGACACGCTGCATGTCTAGAACGGCATGACGAGGGGAACGGGACCGCATCGCATTGGATATGAAGCATTACACGGCGTATTGGATTACATGTTGTGTCGAGTACAGTCAGGAGGCCATGGATTATGGAGCATGAGATACCCACATATAGATTACACGCTCGGACGCAAAACCAATGGAACGCAATCAACATTTTCAAACATCCTGTCTTCGCTGACGTTGTTCGCATGCACGTGCCTTCGCGTTTCGCTTGAACCTAGCGCGACGTCAATGTTTAACGCCCGACTGTCATCAATAGCCAACGTCAACACACAACGATGCTGCCAGATGAGATCATAGCGCAACTGACTGGTGAATTTGTATGTCGCGAGCAGCAGATCCAGCATCTGGCGGCTTTGTACACAGTACGTCACTTGGCCAATGCAGTCACATGACTGCTAACAAGCCAGGCGCATCTCCCCTCACCACCCTTCGCCAATGTCCACGGCCTGACAGCAACCGGCAAATCATCGGTCCTGCGCGCATACTTCCACCTCGCTCAACTGCCGTATGCCTTGATCAACGTGCGCGAATGCATAACCACACGGCACCTTCTCGAGCGCATTGTCGCAGCGTCCCTCGACGCACTGGAAGAGGCACACGATGAGCAGATCGATCGAAGACCGTATGCACGGACAGAGAACCTAAGCGCGTTATGCGTCAATCTGCAAAAGATGCTGGAGGGGCGAGGGAAGTTTGTGTTGGTACTAGACGCCATCGACAAGCTGAGGGAAGGCGGCGGTACGCTCGTTGCAGCACTGGGCAGATTGGGTGAAGCGGTACGTCTACACATCACAACACCTGCATTCCATACTGACAACCAAACCAGATACCAAACCTCGCCCTCGTCCTCACAACCACCCTGTCCATCGCGCCCTCCCTCCGCCACTCCTCCTCCATCCCCTACATTGCCTTCCCGCCATACACACGCCCACAACTCCTCGCCATTCTCTCTAAGACGCCCCCAAAAGTATTTCTCACAGCCCCATCTGCCGAGACATTCCCAGACTACACGCCCGACCTCGCCGCCGAAGACGACGTCTGGCTGTGGTCCCGCTTCCTCGGCGCTGTGTACGATAGCTTGAGCAAACACACTGGTCGCGATCTAGTTAGTTTCCACTCGACTGCATTAAGGCTGTGGAGTAAGTTCGTGGAGCCTGTCGTGAAAGGTGAGTTCGGGACACGAGACTTCTCGCGCCTGATGGTGAACCGGCGGCACTTATTCCAAGGCGAAGAAGCAGTGCTAGACCGCATCATCAAATCCGGCCAAACTTCAAACGCGAATGCGGAGAGTGGCGCGGCGAAGAGGACGGTCCCGGGTATCGTCCAATCGTTGCCGTTCTACACCACACACCTCCTCATCGCAGCATACCTTGCAAGTTACAACCCGGCGCGGACTGACGTGACGTATTTCATGAAACACACGGATAAGCGCAAGAACAAGCGTCGCGCACCGTCGGCCGCGAGTCTGTCAACCACAAGCAAAGGCGGGGTCAAACATCGCCGTATTTCGCGGCATCTGCTCACGCCCAGTCCGTTCAGTCTGGATAGACTGTTCGCCATCTTCAAAGCGCTATTGGTCGATGGGGTCCCGCAGAGTGCGGACTTGTACACGAGTGTAGCCACGCTGACGAGTTTGAAATTGCTTGTCAGGACGGGTCTAGGCGGGGCGAGTGATGCGCTGGAGCCGGGAGGGAGGTGGAGAGTCGGGTTTGGGTGGGAGTTTGTGAGAGGGTTGGGGAGGAGTGTGGGGGTGGAGGTGGGAGAGTATTTGGTGGGTGGAGTGGATTGAAAGCACTTGCAATATCTGGAGTATTCCGCAAAGTTCGCAGTCCGCAGACTGTGGTGAACTTATTAATAGAAAACCGCTACCACGAGAACGAAGCTATATCCTTCCCCCACGTACTCCACAGGCTCACGGCTCCGTCTTCGTCATCAATCCACTTCAGATCCCGTACCTTCTGCGCCCTCTCTCCAGCTTTCGTGGCAGGTGGCTCGAATTCCCGCACCGTCTTCCCCGTCCACATGTTGCTCACCCTGATCGCATTGCTGCAATTGGCCATATCCTGACTGGCCGCCACAAGACCAAGTCTCGGGTTAATAGCAACCCCAAGATCCACATCGTCCTGATTCGTATGCGCAAAGCTCAGCACGGGCTGGCTCCACTTCGCAAACGCCTTCCTGTTCATCAGTTTGCGGCGCTTGTGATCGTGGCCCCCCGGGTACAGTGTCTTGAAATACGCCTCGTTGTAGTGGTGGTCCCGCATGTTCAGCTTCCCGTCGCGATCGCGGTGCGACGAGAGGCGTGGCATCCGGATGTCGTAGAGGAAGAGCGTGTCTTGCAGCCCCGCGCAGAGCAGGCGGGTCGGGTCGTCTGTGCGCGAGAGGGCGCTGATGGGGTACGGGTGCGTTAGGATGTGCGAACTCCCACCCGAGCGTAGGTCGTGCAGGTGGATTTTGCCATTGCGGCAGCCGGATGCGATGGTGGAATGGGAGAGCCATGTGAGTGACAGGATGTCAGCGTGTAGGTCTGGGAGGACGGTGGAGGAGTCCCAGGAGCCGGAGGGTGAGCGGGTGAACATGAGCAGGGATTGCTGGGCGCCGACGGCGAGGTGCTCGGTTTCGGATCCGGCGATGCTGTTTGGGTGGTGTGCTGTTGAGAGTTTTGGGGGACGCGCGGCGGAGCAGAAGATTGCGGCGCAGGCTTTGGGAGTGAACTGCTGCGAGATGTGTGGTCCGTCGCGCTCGGGGTCGCTGAGTTGGACGATTGGTGGTCTGTCTGAGCCAATGGTTGTGACTGCGAGAGCGCCTGAGTTGGGCATGTATTGAAACGACGAGACGGTTGATGTTGTGCGCCCTATCTCGTCCCAGGGGTAGTAGCCATATCTTGACTGTGTGTTGAGGGCTCTCAACTTCTTCCTCGATTGCGGATTTGGCAGATTCGCTGCCTGGTCATTGCCGAGATAATGTCGTCTCTTGATCCTGTTCTCTCCGCAGACTGCATATATACTCCTCGAAATTGGATCGCGGTCGAAGAACCTGATCACTCCCAGGTCGTCGCTGCTGGTGATGGGCTCCGGCGAGGAATTGACGCCTGACATGCATGCTCCCGGCCAGATGTTCTGTATATAGACGGACCGTCTCTTGAACCCTATCTCCCGGTCGAGATCAGTTTGAACGAAACTATGCGCATGTCTTCGAACGACTCTTTCTCTCTGTGTCCTAGCCTTTTTCGCAGTCGCTGCTCTGTGTACATTTTCCTTTCTCCTCTCTTTGACAAGATTCGAAGTCGAGTATTTGAGGTTCAGTCCTCTTGCGGCAGACTGACTCTGTATTTTGAAGTACTTCTTCTTCTCCTGGTCGTAGTAGAACCCAGGAATGTGCTGGCCGTTCATTCTGAGCTCTTGAGAGAAGAATGTTTTGTGATTGGCCGAAGGATCATCACGCAGACAGTGTTAGCGCGAGTCAGTCGGAGCTTTCTTATCGATTAGCGCCTAGGCTCGCCGCGGCATGACGCCACTCCGCCGGTGATGGTCCAGGCACATCACTCTGACAGATATTCGATGTGATGGCATCCTTCGCCTTCCCCTCCCTTCTGCCCCCTTCCCCCGAATGTCAAATACCACCTGTGCACTCTGACAGCTCATGCCCCGCCTCTCACGACTGTCGAATCCCTTGACCTGCGGGACAAGACCCTCCACAGCAAGACATCTCCACCGCTCGACGCGTCTAAGCCAAGTCATGGCGCACCTTTACGGCTCTGCGCCCAAAGGCGAGCACACACTGCAGTCGCTGCCCAAATCGAACGTCTTCACATCGAATCTGCCGCCCGACGCCGCCTTCCCCACACCGAAAGACTCGCACAATGCGCCTCGGCAAAGCCTCGGACCGCGCATGGTCAAGGAAGCGCTCTACACGTTCGTGCGGCCAGATCCCCACGGCGAGGCTGAGATCCTCGGCGTCAGCCTGCGCGCGCTGCGAGATGTCGGCCTGAAGGACGAGGAGGCGCAGACAGAGGAGTTCAAGCAGCTCGTCTCCGGCGGCAAGATGCTCACATGGGACCCGGAGAAGCCCGACGACGGCGTCTACCCCTGGGCACAATGCTATGGCGGCTACCAGTTCGGGCAATGGGCTGGCCAGCTTGGTGATGGGCGCGCCATATCGCTGTTCGAGGCCACAAACCCGTCGACGGGCACACGCTACGAGCTGCAGCTGAAAGGCGCCGGCCGCACTCCATACTCGCGCTTTGCAGACGGCAGGGCAGTCCTGCGCTCATCCATACGCGAATTTGTCGTCTCCGAGTACCTCAATGCGATCGGCATCCCCTCCACAAGAGCGCTGGCGCTCACGCTGAACAACGGTACGCGGATCGTGCGCGAGCGAGCCGAGCCCGGCGCTATTGTCACACGGTTTGCACAGAGCTGGATTCGCTTCGGTACCTTCGACCTCCAGCGCATGCGCGGCGACCGTGAGACACTGCGCACCCTCACCGACTACACCGCCGAGCACGTCTATGGAGGATGGGACAAGCTGCCCTCGAAGCTGCCAGCTGGCGAGGCAAAAGCCACACATAACAAGGTCCAGACTGGCGTAGCAAAGGGCACAACTGAAGGCGAAGGTACAGAAGAGGAGAACCGATACGCTCGTCTATATCGAGCCGTCGTCCGCAACAACGCAACCACGGTTGCCAAGTGGCAAGCATACGGCTTCATGAACGGTGTGCTGAACACCGACAACACATCCATCCTCGGTCTGAGCATCGACTTTGGGCCCTTCGCCTTCCTCGACACGTTTGACCCTACCTACACGCCCAACCACGATGACCACATGCTGCGCTACAGTTACCGCAACCAGCCAACCATCATCTGGTGGAACCTCGTCCGACTAGGAGAGGCCTTCGGCGAGCTGATGGGTGCTGGATCAAACGTCGACACCGCAGAGTTCGTTGAGAAGGGTGTGAGCGAAGACGGTGCTCCTGACCTCGTCAAGCGGGCAGAGGGCTGCATTGAGCGGGCAGGCGAGGAATACAAAGCCGTTTTTCTAGCCGAGTACAAGCGTCTCATGACAGCACGCCTTGGTCTGAAGTCGCAGCACGATAGTGACTTTGACACACTATTCTCCGAGCTGCTTGATTTCCTTGAAGCGTATGAGCTCGACTTCCACCACGCTTTCCGCAGGCTGTCCAGCTTGAGTCTTGCGAAGCTGGACTCGGATGAGTCGAGGCAGAGCGCTGCAAACATTTTTTTCCGCAATGACAATCTGCCAAAGGATGGCGCGGAATCGCGAGTGCGCATTGCCAAGTGGCTCGAGAAATGGTCTGCGCGCGTCAAGGAAGACTGGGGGGAGGCCGACAGCGGCCGACAGGAGGCTATGAGAGCCGTCAACCCAAGTGTAAGTACCTTACGTTGCAACCCAGGATAACTTTGTGCTAATCCAATCACAGTTCGTGCCCCGCTCATGGATCCTTGACGAATTGATCGACCGAGTCGAGAAGAAGGGCGAGCGCGAGATTCTGCCACAGATTATGAAGCTGAACCTGGATCCATTCCAGGAAGAATGGGGATGGAATGCTGAAGAAGAGCAGAGGTTCATTGGCGATGTACCAAAGTACAAGGGTATGATGCAGTGCAGCTGCAGCTCGTAGGTCGTTAGACACCAAGCAGCCTTTTGCGGCTGAAGATATCACCAATGTTTGAAGCCGGAACGCCACCTGCCCTTATCTCTCTTGGAGGACTTCACGGTAGCCTGTGCATGCCATTATCTGCAGCACTGTGATCCCGTCTGTCTCTATTCATGACTTCGGTTCCGAGACGGGAGGCGCTATCCGATGAGGCAGGCTCTGCTCAGCTGCTCACTTATAATGGGGCCCAGCATGTTACCCATCATCATCAGCAGCAGCAGCAGATTCCGGCTGACCAACCGGGTACCGCAGCGCCCAGACCTTCGCTTCAGGAACATTAAGCTGCCCCTCGTACGTGTCCCCTCACCGGCCAAGCTCCAAGCAAGAACACCTACTATTGCCTTCCATCATCAGGGCATGTGAAGACAACACTGATTTGTCCCAATCATCATCTTGCTGACCGGTAACCCACGTGTACAACGTACCATTTCTCGCCTAGGCTCGTCACATACAGGATTTGCTCACTCGTGCTGAAACTCTGCGGACAAGAAACGTCAATTGAAGCCATGCAAGTGCAACAAAGCACCCCAACTACGAAACAGTGCCCCACTCAATCTCCCAGACATGCATAGCGTCCACGAACACGGGGACATTCTGCGTTCCCGCCGGCCAGACAATCTCCAGCTCAATCTCCATCTCGGTCGCACTCGTAAAGACCCCGTCCGTGCTGTAAAAGCTCCTAGTATCCATGCCGTACCGCTGATACAACTGGCCGTCCGCACCCACAAATTCGCACTCTCCCGGTCCACCAATGAAGGGCAGACTGACTTCCCCGCACAGACCGACGCGCCGCTGAATGTCGCCCGTGACGACGCTTTTGTAGCTCAGAGTGAGCCAAGGGGGCAAGCCGTTGAGGAGCCGGAAGCTTCCGGGATGACCGACATGAAGTTGTACGGTGTACCACTCATGGGAGGAGTTGAGGCTGGTCATACGTGTTACTATGTTGATGGTCCGCTCTGTGGATGTGTCGGGCATGCGAGGTGTGATTGAGCTTGGGGGATCAGCAAAAGTCAAAATGGTAGGACGGCGAAGCTTACGCTGCAATAATGCCCTCGAAGGATTGGTTGGTCAGCGTGATGTCGAAGTCGCCGGCTCGCGGAAGGAAGTCCCAGTCTCTGAGTCCGTTTTCGAAGCCGCCGTTCGATAGAGTCTGATTGGTGATCTCGGTTTTTGGTCGATCAAGGCATGCTTCGGGTGTCTTACACGTTAATTCCAATGGCGAGCTAGTCTTTACTGCGGCTGTTGATGCTGTTGTAGTGAAGGCGACACTGGGGGCCACCGATACTGCAGCTGTCGACGAAGAAGAGTTCGAAGACACTGTTCTTTCGAAGGCAGGGGTATCTTCAAGTGAAGGCTTGACTGTGATACCGTCCAGGTATAATGGAATGTCAAAGTTTCCATTGTACCACGACATGTACACAGTCAGTGTCTCTTCAGTGCTCTCAGCCCGGAACGGCAGACTCAAAGTCTCGTATATGGAGTTGTTGCGCCCAGTGAGTGGACAAGGAGCGTAGAAGAAGCCGCAGATGGCACCAAAATCCAAGACATTGTCTGACAAGCGGATCGTGTACTTGGGATCTGAGTAAGCATTCTGCCCAGCCACAGGCCCATGGTGACCAATGGATACATCTATCGTGTAGCTTTGTTCGGGCTCCAGATTAGTGAGAAGAGTAGACGTTTGGAAGTGGTACGACAGCGACTTGCTGTCTGACTTCGGCACTGCTGTACTATTGAAGTGTTAGTCCATGACTCAGAAGCGACGTGAAACACTGACAGAGCAGTACAGCCGTCCAAAGCATCGTTGGTGACTCCGATCTCGAAGATAGATGAAGAAGAATTGTAGGCCACAGCTGTCCAATTGGCCAGTCCATTCTCGAATCCACCGTTGACAATGTAGGAGTCTGTATTGGCTGCTGAAGTGCAACTTGGTGTGGCGGAAGTGTTGTTCGTAGTATCTGTCGGAGTAATGATGTTCAATGCATAGCTGGTAAACGTTTAGCTCAGTCAGTTCGCAGTCAGCAGAGCTTCGCTCACAGATCAAGTCTCTGGGACCCTCCGCAGAATTCGGATGAGTTGCCAGTACACCGAATATCGCAACCCTCGTCAGTGATTGTGGCGTTGTTGTCGAGAGTATCGCCACACCAACATTCTCGACCGTACTCAAGGCCTGCCGTGCTATAGTTTGCTGCCTTACAGCTGGAAGTACAGTGTGCAACTGTCATACTGTCGCCGCTAGCTTGGAAAACAGACAGAGCACGAGCATATACATTGTCGGCCAGACAACCAATGCGCGAGGTGCCATTCGGGCCTGTATTGGTTTGCGTAGCGTCTGCCAAGCTGTTGTAGAATACGCTGAGTCGATTGTTAGAACCGCACGCTTCGCTGACATTGCCCGGACAGGGGAAGTCGCATTCGGTTTCGTTGCTTCTTGCAGAGCCTGCGCCAATAGCAAGTCCACAGTAGCACTCCTGACCATACTCGATGCCTGCGTAAGGATAGTTGTTCTGGTCACAGAAGGCAACACAGCTGGCCTGGGTCATATTTCCAGTGTCGACAAATAAAGACCCGGCAAGCTTCCTCCTGCCATAGTCGGTGTAGCATCCGTGGTAACTCCAGCCAGCTGGCAGGTTTGCGCCTACAGAAAGAACAGACGGGTTGTTGCCCATCCTGCGTGATGAGACTCAATAATTGTTGCAAGGATGGCCCTAAGATCGAAGTTGCCCTGATCAGTAATGGCAGATCGAAAAGCTCTTATCTTCTCCATTCGCAAATGCCACGTGAGTGCGTACTCGCCTTCCCTTGGGAACTTCGCATTCTTGCGTAACGGTGGTGACCCTTGCCTCAAAACAAGGCCAGTAAAACCTTCGTCCAATCACCACCATATGGAAGGCATGAGAAACCCACGCCATGCGTCTTTGGCTATCCAGTAGTCTGAAGCTGTTTCTGCGCTTCGATTTCAAGTTTGATGATACTGTGAGTACGGAGTCAATGACGTTCGGGTAGTGTGCCACATAGTGTAAGCTTCGAGCAATGCATCGGAAGACATAGTCGCAAATGGCCGTCATGATGTGCCCCGAGAAAGTTGCGATCGCGACAATGCAGGCGCCCTGCGAGCCAGACAGACAAGGGTGATAGAGGGAAGAGAAAGAGTGCATTTCAGCGTTGCCATCGCTCAGACATGCATTTGTGCATTGGCGTCCTGATAGTTCGGCTATGGCTTCAGCATCCCTTTTCTCAATTTTGGGTTCGCCTATATGTATTGGAGTCCCACTTTGCGGCGTTGATGTGTCGAGAACTTCGCGCGCCCCTTACACACGTGGCTTGCGAGCGCTGGCGCGATGCGGCTGAAGACGTGGGCAAGGCTTGTCAGCTAAGCTACATGAAGGTTGCACTTGCGCTCGTATGTTTGGTTGGTTGATCAAGAATTCGTCCACTTTAGGCTGGGCGTCGAATAAAAAGCTGAACGCTGGCCAGATCCAAGCACGATCTCGCGAGTGCCGAGCTGCTTGGGTCGTTCCCACCAGAATGGAGGTGAGCACCCGCGCTGAGGTCGGTGTAGGCGCCTAGCAACGCTTGCCTTTTCCACGCGATGCGGTGGGGCTGGCGTAAGGCGCAAGGCTATGTCACTCTAGATGCACTGACCGGAAGAGGTCGAGATGCTCTGTATGGACAAGCAATGAGCGTGGTCGAACTTGATAGGACAAGGTAGCTGGCAGCGAACGGTTGTGCAGTAAACGGTTCTGCATGGCGGTGCTGAGATCATTGGGTTACCTATCGATGTCTGCGTCAGTGGTGCCAGAGGGGGTGTGCGACTGCACAAGTTAGTTGACTCGGTAGTTCGGAGTGCACTTGGATGTGATATGTCTGAGTATATACATCAGCACTAAAACCACTTCAAACTACATACCAGTCGTGAAGCAACGCACTCGTTCACATATTGAAGAGTTCAAGCAGCCTTGTCTTGCCTTCCTTCTCTTTCACACGTTCTTCTTCACCTCATCGGACATGAAGCTATTCGCCTGCGAGGCCTCGGGCGTCCCCATAGCCGGCTTTTCTGACCTTTCGACAATATTCGTCACCTCTCACTTTGTCTCGCCTCTCGTCCTCGCGTGTATCCGCACCGTCCTTTTCGTATACAGCTTCACCACCATCATTGTCTCATATGCCTGGCTCTCAAATAACACAGCAACCGTCGGCCTGAAGGATGTCAACATCGGCTCGTATAAGGTCCAGCAGAGTGAAGCTACTATTGGGCAGTCGTTCAGCTTCTTCACCTATTTCACTTTCTGGTCCCTCGGATTCTACTTCTTGGTTTCAGCCGTACACACATTTATGTTTGCCTTCATGAAGCGTACCTGGCTGCACGACTGGCCCAAGTTTCTCCAGATCATGCACTCTTTGTACTACTCGTGCATCACATGCATGCCCTTCCTGGTTAATATCGTGTTCGGGGGCACTATGAACAGCGGCTGGCCGTTCGGTCGCTTTGAACAGTGGATGAATCCCTCAGTTCACGGTTTAAACTCGATGTTCGCGGTCGTCGAGATTTTGCTGTCTGCCACGGAGGCACCGCCGGTGTTGCACCTCAGCGTCATTCTGCTGATCATGTCGGTATATCTTGGTCTCGCATACCTGACCAGGTACACACAAGGGCTTTATGTGTACGAGTGGCTGAAACCAGCGCATGGAATCGCCAGCATTATCTTACATGTGTTGGGTTACGCTGCTGGTAGGATAGCAATCTTCTTCCTTGCGTCGGGCGCGATCAGGCTGAGGAACATACTCGCCCGACGACTGAGCGAGGGCAAGGAAGTGGGAAGCATCCAAGAGAAGGGTATGAAGTTAGATGATGCATGCGATACCTGGTCGAGTACCGTCAGCGTGTCAAGGCCAGAGTCGGCGCGGAGGAGAGACGAGTCTATTGTTTGAATGAGACACCTTCGTTACAAGTGATATAGCGTAGCCAATGAAACTTTGCTATTACATCAACTGGAATCCTGTTTACTAAGGCTGTCTTACGTTCGCATGCCAGATACACCGTCATAACGGGCACTACTGGCAAGCCACAAGAACATCTGAGACAGTGCAGCAACACCAACTATCAGAAGCCACGTAACCTGATTGCTTCAACCTGTGTACCGGCAGTTTGACTGGAGGACTTTGGTCAAGTCGCGTGTAGCGAAGCACTAGGAGCAGATCGAGATGTTACTAAGCCGGTAAGATTACATGTGGTCTCCAAGTTCAGAGTATCCTTGGAGCCCAGGGTCCGCACAGTGCATGGATCGAGAAAGACTGCGAGCAGCAATGGCTTGCTAAGATTGATTGTCCTCTGATAATCCTGTGCAATATTCTGTACGGCGGAAAATCTGCCTTGCGTGGATCGTATGGGGAAGTAATCGTTTCGGCGGTAGCGGGACCGCTCCGTGGAAGAGCACTCACGCTCGAGACTGTCTGTTCAGATGCCTTATGATGACTCGTTCGTCGCTGTTCGTGGTTTGAGGAGGCTCACCTATGTGGAAATGAGTTAGGCCTCCCACGGTCTGAGGCTCCGCTATATCCGATTGCTTCCATGTCCTTAGACTGGAACAGCAGATTATGTTCGTGCCCATTCGCTGTCGTTTCTTTCGTGCAATGGATGATCGCTGGGCAGCTGCTTTTACGCCGTCTCCATTTTGGCAAAAGACGTTTGCGGAACTTTACGGCAACGGCTGTCAGACTCGCAGTCGGTCTCTCAAGAATACACGAGGCGAAACTTAGTGTTTTGACCCTTCGACCGAAGTCTCGCAGGAAAATGAAGAGGGCACGAGCCTCGATGGAGCCAACGACGTCGCTGCCGCGCGCTTCTCTCTCGTGTCTCTACTGCTCTGTGTGAACTTGATGCATGAGGGCGGCGTTGTTATAAACCAACGGAAGTCCGCTTGAAGGGTGTCGAGGAATGAGACAGCTTGGTTTGGCGCTGAAGAAGGAGAAACATCAACGCCTCCTAGCATAGTATTGTGACAATCGATTGACTATGAGCAAGGCTCCAAGTGTGCGCCACGATTCAGGAGAACCGCCATGTACATGACGTGCTGCGAATCACTTCTGTTGTTACGCTGAAGCAGGTTAAGAAGTCCAAACAGGGTATGTAATATCAACAAAATTTTCGTGATAGAGGCATGTGAAGCGCGAGTAACGCGTCGACAGTCACCGTCTTCGTTGTCACGATGCTGTTATGGCCACCCCTGTGACGTGCGAGGAACCGCAGGGGTCTGCCCAGTGCTTTGTCGTGTGCACTAGCGCAAAGCTCCTTCCAAAAATAGGTGGGGCAGTGCACTCTCTTAGCGGATCATTGTGCCGCACACCACTGCCACTTTGTCTAGCTTGCCATCTGTACAGTTCCGTTTGTGGTCGCATCGTCATACAGTAGACTATCAGGCTGCTCCAAGCCGAACGTTGCTGAGGAGAGACGGATTGTTGCCCGGTGCTCGCGCGAGCAAGTTCTGAAGCCTTAACTTGAATCCGCACCAGGCCCTCCACGTGCAGGGTCTCCTATAAGCCCATAGCATGAGCTTCGTATCCGTTCATCTCTTATTGAATACATGAAGCCTCATCGAGCGATGAGCCAAGTTTGTGGATGTCGGCATGCGCCTCGGATCCTTGTGTTCACTGCACAGGCTAGGACAAAGGGATCCTTCAAAGAAGCACTTGCTGTCAACTAACCTCCTTGCGGACACGAGTGTAGTCAGGCCAGCATCTTCTTCGCCTCCGCCCCGTTGGGAACTAAGTATTCTAGCATGAACGTACCAGGCATTTTTGATCGTACTCCAAGGACTCTCCTCTTCCGACTTCTACACAGTACATCCCATCTGGTCGCGCGCCCTGTCCCTGCGCGTGGGAGGCTACGCCACTCGGTCAATCCCTCCCCATGAACACTCCTCTCGTCCTACTTGAGCTGACCACAGGTTCGGAACACCGCTAGCCCTGAAGTCGCGGAGTTCGACTTGGTCGGTGTCCAGCATTTTAAATTGGCCACAGTTCCCTCTCTGTGCATTAGCGCACACCAGACAGCTGCAGCTCCGTCCTCACACGCCCACACCATCGCTGTTAGACTTGCTTGGCCTGTCTACCCCTGCGTATCCGAGCGTACAGTTACAGCTTCGATATCTCTCTCACAATTCGACCTCAGCATACTTGAGTGTGCTTACAGATTGCCAACTACTCACCGTCTCAACCACGCTTACCAGGCTTACATATCACAAGTTGCATCGACTTTCCTTTTCCGCGAGTTCAGCTGTGTTTTGAAAGAGCACGAATCCACAATCACAATGGCGGATGGCAGGTCAAGATCTCGGTCACGAAGTCGAGCTGAGGAAGATACCGAGCTGTGGTTAAGTATGCCCCGCTCGGACAGATACCTGCCACCTGAACAGTCGGCATACCACACAACATCGAGCCGGTTGGGTGTAGGATCGACTATGTTTAGTCTGCCTCAAACACCGTTCTTAGTCCCAACCATATCTACGACACCAGACGTCAACAAGTCGTTGCCACCACCTCCACCCGACACAGAGAGGACGACCCGGAAACAAGCTACCGTGAGATCTTTTCTACGAGGTCGATCTTCAAACAACCATCTCGATCTATCGCACCTACAGCCGGACTCACACCTACATCCTCAGCGCCACTTGTCTGCAGGAGCCCATTTGAACGTGAATGTACACAGCTATTGCCAACAGCAGTATTCTCGCAGCATGCCAAATTCGCCGTACGGGCAGAGTCACGATGCTGCGCCTTTTCATCCACCACCTCTTGCTCGTGTACAGTCAGCAAGCCCGGCTTTCCAAGATGACACCCGGTATCAACCTTACTCTACCACGCATGGATGTTCATCGCAAGTAAGCGCGATTGAAGAGTCTTTTGAATTTTCATCGACACCTGCTCGAACATGTCCCGATACGATGGTGATTAGTCGTACCGCGCTTGGTGGAGGGTCTAGCAGGCCAAGACCACATACATGGCTTTCTCCGACAGAACCGTTCGCCGACCCTTCACAATTCCACCTTTTCGTGGAAGCAACGACTGGTCTTCCAGAAGGTTCAGATCCCTGGTCCCCGAATGGACCAGACCGACTACAAAGCTCACTGTTCGCGCGAAGATCTAGCAGAGGCTCTATCCCAATTCCACCACAGTACGTACCGGCGCCTATACCTGATCGAACACATCAAACAGCAAGCTGGCAGAGCTTCGAACCACCCCTCACACCCTCACGATCGGTATCTGCGCCTGTGTCGAGTGTACTTCCTCCAGACGCATTCTCACCATATAACACCGATCTTCCGTCGCACATGAATGCTATAAATGCCGAATTAGAAATGTTGGGTCTCGACCGTGACCATTCACAAGACGATGACGAACTCCCAGACTACGCACAAAGTCAAGCCGAGATGAACTCTAAGAAGCGTGCAGAAGCAGCAGCAAGAGCAAGAGACCTGGAGGCCAGATGGCGTGGTGCTAGAGGCAGAGGTAATTGATGGTGCATCGACATGATTCATCTGCCAAGCGCGGTTAACGCTTGGATTGTTACTTTAGTTCTTGAGATACCCTCGCTTGATCGTCTCAATACGAAACATGTTTTCTTCAATCCCTTTACGTGTAGTCCTGCACAAGTCTCCAAATGGCCAAGTACACTCGTTGGGTATTTTCAGTATCAGTGATACACCCGTTTCATGAGAGGTCGGTACGCTCCAGTGTGCCTCGTAGAAAGCCTTTCGTCAGGGTCATGTGGGTTCCCGTCTTGCATGCGCTACTTACTAGACCTCCGGGTCTGCCGAATTGCCCGAGTACAGGGATAGCGAGATTGAAGGACTAGCTAGCCATGAGTTTGGGTTCACTTACCCCCCTCGGTAGACACCCGCTAGAATGTTTTGTTGATATCTGCCGTCAAGGAACCCTCGTATTCGTGTCGATCATTAAGCAATGCACGGGCATCTATCTTTGTCTGTTGCAACGTGTCTGTACTCGACTGTATAGCGCACACATCTATCTAAAGTCAACACTCCAAGTGGCAGCGCCCGAGCCATGCACTTCAAGCAAGCTTAAGATCTAAGCCAGTAATCTAAGCCAGTAATCTATGCCTGAAAGCTAGACGGAGATGAAGCAAAAAACGGTTATTACAGGCGTACAAGAACACCTACCCTGCTTCAAGCGCCCGAGTACAATGCGGGGTGTCCGGGGGCTGGAAACTCGATCAGGCAGGGTATCGCAGATCCTCCTTTCCCAAATCGTCACTCAACAGTATTCCACGCTGTTCACTGTTTCTGAATTGATCGTCATTTGTAAGACCACTATGCGGCCACTCGTAGCGAGCTGGAAGTGCAGCATTCGCCACTTTGTGTCGACACAGAATATCAAAAAGACAGTATTGATCACCATGAAAAGTACTGAATATGTACGGGCACCCGCTCCAGCTTTCGCTTCAATAGCGTCCGAGATCTACACAAGGTGGCTCGTGTGAAAATAGGGTCATGGTTGGGGCGACGGGTGGCAGCCGACAGCGAGGCTGTGCACATGCAGATGTCAGACGCGGGCCGGGAACAGCGTTCGAGCACAGCGACCGAGAATAGAAACAACGACATCAAGCGTACATACTATAGACACTTGGTGGCAGGGCTGATGAGAGCATGTGATCTCGCGAAACGGCGGTGTACTGTGTCGTAGATTAAGGCCGAATTGTGTAGGTATGAGGAGCTATGATGTGTTTCTCCACACGGCAAATGCGCATGTACTAGGACTAAAGCAGTGGTATTCTGAGCTTTGAAGTACTGGTTTCATGGAAGAACATTACAGGAACATGTGAACAAATGAAATCGAAAAGAGTGTCCTGGGGATACCCACACTGCCAGTACGAAGACCAATTCACGTCAGTGCCTTGGTACGTACACGCTTCCTAGTTGGCGGTAAAAAGTCGGCATCGTCGTCGTTCGCTGGTTGCTTCCAACGTATGCTACATGGTGATGATGCACGATGGACTGCGATCAGAGGCGTATTGATTGGTGTGAATCCAGATGCCGGTGGAGGTGGACGTATACGCTTCGAAACCGGTGGCAAGAAGTAGTCATCGTTATCCAATGGTCGCTTCCGCTGCGCACCGCAGGCTGAGATTCCGCGGCGAACCGCGACGAGAGGTGTGTTAGTCACTGATGTGTACTTGTTTGCTGACGGAGTCGATTTCTTCATGCTCTGCCTTTTCGACGACAGCAACTTCCGTATCATGGAAGGCTTAGGCGCGTCGCGTACCCGCTGAGGTACTGGTACATTCGGGACTTGTAACTCTGTTGCCGTGAGCCCGTTGTAGTAGACCAAGTTGGAGATCTTCCTGCTGTCGAAAGAACAGTCTTCAGCTTCGAAGCGTTGATTGTACAACTGCCACAGCCTGTACAGAGCCGCGATGTCTTTGCACACACTGGGATTGTCTGACCGCACTATCCAAGCACCGAGCTTGTGAGAGATCTGTATCTTGAAGTGGGTTGTTGGTAGTGCGATAGCGGTTGGGCCTTGTTTTCTAGCAATGTTCCAGGTCTCGTTACGGAACCATTGTGCGATCCAAGACATGGAAACGTCACTGTATTCCTTACCGCCGTTCACATTTGCTGCTTTGGCGTCAGCCCAGACTTTACACATTAGTATTTGTGTGCCAGCTTTGGTCTTATCCTGCGGATTGATGATTCTGCCGAACATGAAGTTTTCCCAAGCATAACCCCACTCGGTTTCGGGAGAATTTAGTCGATAGTGAGGCTCATTGAGGTTGCCTCGACGCATCACGCCTACAGCATGCACGACCTCATGCACAAGTGTGACAGCGAAAAGGAAGTCGTGCCGAAACTGGCCTGAACGAGTCGCTGTCGCGTACCCGTCTGCAGCATAGTAGAATTGCGAGAACTTTTCAGTGAGTTCGATCTTGGGAGATAATCGAGTTTGAAAGGCTCGACAACAACACGAATCCATCAACGTCGAGTCATCCATGATTGTACGAGCCCAAACGCGTTGCTTCTGACTTACGAAGCTGATCTCAAGTCGATCAGCAAGGCAGTCCAGCGACTGGCGCACTGATGAAAGTAACAGTGCCTGCTTTGCTTTAGACGCATGGACTAGGGGATCGCACAAATACTCTTTCGACGACTGCGGATCGTGCATCACACAACCGTGAAGCAAGGGCACGAAGAATTCGAGAAGTCGATCATGTAAGAGAAAGTGCGATGCCACCTGTAACGCTAGGTGCAGCCGCTCATCGCCCTCAAGCTGACGGAATAGGGGATGAATTGCGTTACTAAGGTTCGCGGGAAGTATTGCATCGTCTTCAAGCAGTTTGAATCGATCATTCGTGTTGGCGGCGCTGATAAGGTCGTTGATAAAGTAGCTTGACGATCCGTCAGCGCGCTTCATGCATGGGCGCTGGTGTGTCATATTCTCTGCTTGGAATCTGGTTGCTGGTCTTCTGATCCCGAGGAATCATCGCCGTGTATACATGTGGTGAGTGACTCCATTGTTGGAACCAGTCGCGAGAGATACTGCACAGTGCTCCGTTATTATAGCTGCGAACATTCGGAGGTTCCAGAATGTACTGGCCAAGACAAAGACAAGAGTGTACTGGTCAAGACAAAGACAAGAATGTACTGGCCAAGACAAAGACAAGAATGTACTGGCCAAGACAAAGACAAGACAACAACACTGTGGCTCCGTGCAGTTGCGCGAAGCTCCGACACAGCGTCGAGACATGGCTCAGAGCGCGCGAAGCTCCGACACAGCGTCGACACATGGCTCAGAGCACACGAACAGAAGCGGCGTGAAGCATCTGCACAACGGCAAACATGTATGGCGAACATGTACCGCTCAAAGAACAAGCGCGCTGTTCATGTACATAGCATTGCGTTCTCAGACGTCGCGGGGCGCAACGGTGCGGCTGTCTAAGCGCTGTTCGTCTGCAGAGATGGCAACAACGGCGTATGACGACGCAGATGGACAAAGGTCGAAGTGAGGAAAGGTTTGCACCTCTTTTGTGGCCACCACGTGAGAGCGCGATCAAAGTAAATAGCGGGCCTAGTGGTGTCGATTACCTATAGGCTATGACGGGTACCCAGCAATCCGGTCAGCCTAGAGGTGTACACTAATTCGCTGCAGATGGCGCAAGACGCGCTCGAAGAGCCCACTACCCGCTAGTCCTGGTGTTGCATTAAGAAGGAGGATAGGGACAGTGTCGCGAAAAGGGCAGAGTTCTCTCTAAAAGGGCAGAGTTCTCTCGAAAAGGGCAGAGTTCTCTCGAAAAGGGCAGAGTTCTCGCGAAAAGGGCAGAGTTCTCTCTAAAAGGGCAAAGTTCTCTCGAAAAGGGCAGAGTTCTCGCTGTGCCGTGTCGCCTACGGACGTGCGAGGCCGGTGAATTGTGTTCAAAGCTGCCCACCTACAACGGTAGTGGCCAGCTCGTTCTCCGCAACGTTTGCGATTGCCCAGCCAGCAGGCACTCTGCAACACTCACACTCTGCTGCAACATATTCACGCCCGTTTGTGTGCAATTTGCTACAGCAAGACTTTCTATTTTCCGTGCCACCATTCCTACGCTCCATTTTGGCGCAGCTCACACTACAGCCCCGGGATCTGCGGAAAGTGAGCTCTTCAAATGCGTCTTGCTAGTCCAACGCGTCTGACGTGACTTGGTGTGCGTCTGATTGAGTTGCTGCACATGTCAACCGACACGCAACATTGCACCAATGGATTGGGACGCCTTCGAGCGCAGTGCAAGCCTGGCTATCCTGGCCACCCTCAGCGATGCTGGGTCGGTGTCCTGCTCCATGACAAGGAGCCCGCACGGCAAGTCGAAGAGCTCGATTTCACATGGATGATGGGTCATTCGGTGAGTCCTGCCTGCTGATGATGCGCTCTCTATTCTCCGCGACATGGAACTCGGCTAACGCAGAGAGAAAATCACAGTCGAGAAGATCTGGCAGACTGGCCGAAGAAGATTTGGCAGACTGGCCGAAGAAGATACCAAGGCCAAGCTTGAAGACTTTGTGTGTGCGGTAGCATGACGCTGTGGGGTTGGTTAGGGCATCATCTTTGTGTTTTCAGCGGCACTGGGGGCTTTTCACAGCGAGGAGTCTGCGGCATCCTGGTTTCTGGCGCGGTGGGCGTTGCCGTGGCGTTTCTTTTGGATAAGTAAGAGGGTGCGGTGGTGAGAGAAGAGTGTGGTGGTGTGAGAGGAGAGTGCGGTGGTGAGAGAAGAGGGTGCGGTGGTGAGAGAAGAGTGCGGCGGTGTGAGAGAAGAGTGCGGTGGTGAGAAGAGGGTGCGGTGGTGAGAAGAGGGTGCGGTGGTGAGAAGAGGGTGCGGTGGTGAGAAGAGGGTGCGGTGGTGAGAAGAGGGTGCAGTGGTGAGAGAAGAGGGTGCGGCAGTGTGAGAGAAGAGTGTGGTGGTGTGAGAGGAGAGTGCGGTGGTGAGAGAAGAGGGTGCGGCGGTGTGAGAGGAGAGTGCGGTGGTGAGAAGAGTGTGGTGGTGAGAGAAGAGGGTGCGGTGGTGAGAGAAGAGGGTGTCGTTGTCGTGGTGCAACGATTCGAGGGAGTGCTGTCTGTTCGTGACTGCCTGGGTCTCGCGGTCAGTGGTGTGTTTATTCAAGGGATGACGAGATCAGAGAAAAGTCTATCCATGGCATTGTGTCTGCAGACGCCGGCTAAAGATGCCCCTTTGAACGCCTGTACATTGCCAAAGAAACGATATCGAGTCCGTGTCGAGTCGCCCCGCAAAACGATATCGAGTCCGTGTCGAGTCGCCCCGCAGAAACAACACCGAGTCCGTGTCTAGTCGTCCCGCGTCTAGTGCCAATTGTCCCTAGTCGTCCCACTCCTCGTCCAGCTGGTCGATCAGACGGTTCTCGCTCTCGTCGCGGCGTCCGCGGCCGCGGGTGTCCCTGTCGGGGCCCAGGGTCAGGCGACTGTAGCCGCGGCGCGAGGGCATGAAGCGGGCGCACGAGGAGGTGAGGATGATGAACATGTCCTGGAGGGTCAGTCAGTACAAGACGTCGGGTCAGAGCGAGGTCGGGTCAGAGCAAGACATCAGGTCAGAGCAAGACATCAGGTCAGAGCAAGACGCCGGGTCAGAGCAAGACATCGGGTCAGAGCAAGACATCAGGTCGGAGCGACTTACCGCAAAGAAGCGCCATATGCCGGCCCACATGGCGTAGTTGGGCAGCTGGCGCCAGCCGCGCTGGTGCATGACGGTGCGCTGGTAGACACACCCGCCGACAAAGTAGACGCCGACGGCGATGAAGGCGATGACGCCAAAGACGCCGCCGGGCGACAGCGTCTGGGCGTCGGCGTGGACGATGCCGCAGGCGTGGCGCGAGCGGCCCTCGAAGAAATAGGTGCAGTCGTCGACGGCGGCGACAAACGAGATGCTGCTCTTGCCCAGCGGGTCCGACTCGCACAGCAGCGAGATGACGGTCGTCTTGCGACGTGTCGGGCTGTCGCCGCCGTGCTTGCCCTTGTCCTTGTGCCCGTCGTCGCCGTCCCTGTGCTTGTCGTCGCCGTCCCTGTGTTTGTCATCGCCGTCCCTGTGCTTGTCATCGCCGTCCCTGTGTTTGTCATCGCCGTCCCTGTGTTTGTCATCGCCGTCCCTGTCCCTGTCGTCGCCGTCGTCGCCGCCGATGATCTCGCGGGCGCGCAGGTCGACGGGCGCGCGCTTCGGGCCGCTCGGCGACGGGCACAGCGACCCGCCCGTGTAGTTGAGGATGAGCTTCTTGCCGCGGAACATGGGCTCCGAGTTCTCGAGGCTGGCGGGCGTCAGCGGCCGTCGACGTGTCTCATTCCGTCTTGTACGGCACTCACCCGATGGCATACTGGCGGTCGCCGCGCTCGTAAAAGGCGCTCACGTTCCGCCACAGCTTCTCGTCCAGGTCCTGCACGTCGCGCAGCTCCTCGACGACGGGCCCGCAGAAGTTGATGGTGAAGTTGGCGCCGTAGTCGTACCCCTTGGCGTGCCAGCTGCCCTCGTCGGCCTCCTTCTTCCTGTCGCCGTCCTTGGCCAGCGTGCGCCGCAGCCCGCTGAGGTCGAAGAAGCGCTCCGTCGTCGGCGATACGACGGTGCACGGCTTGAGCGGCTTGTCGCTGGCCGCCGTCGCGCGGAACACGCAGCACGCCAGCAGCACAAGCAGCGAGAGCAGCGAGGAGAGCGCCGACTTCATCGCGTCGGGAGGGACTGGATTGGGTGTGTGGGAGGGACTGGATTGGGTGTGCGGGAGGGACTGGATTGGGTGTGCGGGTTGGTTGGCGAGGCCGTGTGCCGTCGTCGTCGTCGTCGTCGTCGCCGTCAGTCGTCAGTCGTCAATCGTCAGCCGTCAGTCGCCGCCCTGCCTGAGCTCGCGACACGTTTGCCCGGAGCTCTCGCCCGCCGCTGCATCATCGCTCGCGGGAGCCACATCCCTGCTGCGCGTCGCGTCCCGAAGAGATGCCGCCCGCGCCTTCAACGCGTCATTATTCGACCTCTCGTCCAGCACTCCCGTGCGCTTTTCTGCCCCTGAAGGTCGCGTCCGTCAACATCAGAAGCCCCCAACATGGCATCGAAACGCAAAGCCGACGAGTCGCTCGAGAAGCCGCATGGCTACGAGTTCCTTGGCCCGTACGTCTGAACCTCAACCCAACCTCAACCCCGACCTCAACCTCGACCGCAACCTCGACCTCAACCCCAACTCCAATCTCCACCTCCACCCCAACCTCAACCCCAGCCCCGACCTCAATCTCCACAACCTCCTCAACCTCCACAACCTCCTCAACCTCCACAACCTCCTCAACCTCCTCAACCTCCTCAACCTCCACAACCTCCTCAACCTCTTCAACCTCCTCAACCTCCTCAACCTCCTCAACCTCCACAACCTCCACAACCCACTGCTAACCATGCCAGCCCCGGCGCCTTTGTCATCTCCTTTGGCCTGCCTGTCCTGGTCTACGTCTTCACCTTCCTGTGCAACGACATCTCGGGCTGCCCCGCGCCTGTCCTGCTCTCGCCCTCAAACTTCAGCTTGGACCAGCTGAAGAAGGAGGTGGGCTGGACGGGCGTCGAGGGTCTGCTCAACACCAACGCCGTCCTCGGCACCCTGGGCTACTACCTGCTCAGTCTGACGCTGCACGCCTTCCTGCCCAGCACCAACGTCCAGGGCACCGAGCTCAGGAGCGGCGGAAAGCTGGACTATCGCTTCAATGGTATGTTGCGCCCGGGGCCGTCTGCACACGAGGCCGTCTGCACACGAGGCCGTCTGCACACGAAGCCGTCTGCACACGAAGCCGCCTGCACACAAAGCCGTCTGCACACAAAGCCACCTGCACACAAGGCCGTCTGCACACAAAGCCACCTGCACACGACGACTAACGCCTCGCAGCCTTTAGCTCCGCCATGTTCACCATGGCCATTCTCGGCGCCGGCACGGTCGTGTACGGCGCCGACTGGTCTGTGTGGACCTTCATCACCGACAACTACGTCGCCATCCTGACCTCCAACATACTCATCTCCTACTTCCTGGCCACGTACGTCTACGTGCGCTCTTTCAGCGTCAAGCACCCCAAGGACCCCGCCATGCGCGAGCTCGCTGCCGGCGGCCACTCGGGCAACGTCCTCTACGACTGGTTCATCGGCCGTGAGCTCAACCCCCGCGTTGTGCTGCCCATGTTCGGCGAGGTCGACATCAAGGCCTGGTGCGAGCTGCGCCCCGGCATGCTCGGCTGGATCATCATGGACCTGGCCTTTATCATGAAGCAGTACCGCAACCACGGCCGCGTCACCGACTCCATCATCCTCGTCACCGCCGCCCAGGCCATTTACACCTTTGACGCCCTGTACATGGAGCCCGCCATCCTGACCACCATCGACCTGATTGCCGACGGCTTCGGCATGATGCTGTCGTTTGGCGACCTCGTCTGGGTCCCCTTCACCTACAGCCTGCAGGCCCGCTACCTCTCCGTCTACCCCGTCGACCTCGGCCTCCAGGGCATCGTCGCCGTCCTCGCCGTCCAGGGCGCCGGCTACTACCTGTTCCGCGCCGTCAACAACGAGAAGAACCGCTTCCGCACCAACCCCGACGACCCGCGCGTCGCCCACCTCCGGTACATTGAGACGGCCGCCGGCTCGCGCCTGCTCGTCTCGGGCTGGTGGGGCACCGCCCGCCACATCAACTACCTGGGCGACTGGTTCATGAGCTGGTCCTACGTCCTGCCCACCGCCCTGTCGGGCTACGTCATCCGCAATGTCGCCGAGCACCCCATCCAGGCCGCCCAGGCGGACGCCTACTTGTTCAAGAACAGCTACGGCAAGTATGTTGTGCCCGACGGCGCAAAGGGCTGGGGCGTCATCTTCACCTACTTCTTCATGGTCTACTTTGCCGTCCTGCTCGTCCATCGCGAGCGGCGCGACGAGGAAAAGTGCAGGAGGAAGTACGGCAAGGACTGGGACCGCTATGTTGAGCTTGTGCCCTACAGGATCATCCCGTATGTCTACTGAGGGGCCGTCTGCCTATTGAGGTGCCGCATGTCTACTGAGGTGCCGCATGTCAAAGGAGGTGCCGTCTGTCTACTGAGGGGCCGTCTGTCTACTGAGGGGCCGCATGTCAAAGGAGGTGGAGACGAAGAGGAGATGAAACCTGCAGCGCTATCACTTATGATCAAAGACGCGCAGGAAGTAGAGATGTGTATGTCGGAACAGCACGTACTGTAGCGCTATCGCTCACGATCAAAGACGCACAGAGAAACTGTAGGATACAGATGTGGAGACTGCATACTGATGTAGAAACTGCATAGCACCAATGTAGAGACTGCATACTGATGTAGAGACTGCACGCTGATGTAGAGACTGCATACTGATGTAGAGACTGCACGCTGATGTAGAGACTGCACACTGATCTAGAGACTGCACGCTGATCTAGAGACTGCACGCTGATGTAGAGACTGCACACTGATGTAGAGACTGCACGCTGATCTAGAGACTGCACACTGATCTAGAGACTGCACACTGTAGCGCCATCGCACCGCAATCAAAGACGCACATCGACTACTGTATAGGCACCAAACCTCGCCTTGCCGTGGCTTTCCGCGGGCAACATTGCCGAATCGGGGAAACAGACTCAATCTGTACAAAGTAATCCAGCACGCAGTTACGATACGATGGCGTGCGCGGTTGATAGATGTAAATACAGCACTTGAGATTGAAGGGAACAGGTGGTTTTGATTTATAGCATAGAGACGCATGTCGATAGAGATGCATGTCGATAGAGACACATGTCGATAGAGACGCATGTCGATAGAGACGCATGTCGATAGAGATGCATGTCGATAGAGACGCATGTCGATAGAGACGCATGTCGATAGAGATGCATGTCGATAGAGACACATGTCGATAGAAACGCATGTCAATAGAGACACATGTCGATAGAAACGCATGTCAATAGAGACACATGTCGATAGAAACGCATGTCAATAGAGACACATGTCGATAGAAACGCATGTCAATAGAGACACATGTCGATAGAAACGCATGTCGAAATTGACCCATGACATGTGAGAGGCCCCAAAGTCGCTGACAACCAACAATCAATCACAGTGGGACCCAGCTACCTCGGATCGACTTGGTTCCTTACCTGTTCGAGCCTAGCAGCTACCCGTCTAGGTCTCATCCCTACCGTGTTGGGTAAGCGCACGAATGCGAGGTCAAAGTTGACTTGATTGTTGACTAAGGCTGCAAAGTCGCCGGCCAGACTCCCGACTCCCGTGCCGAGGTGACGCGACTCCTAGCTACTCTGTCGAAATGTCGTGCCGGCTCCGCATTTGAGCGCATCATGCACGTCGATCGAGCCTGTGATGACCGTTCTGGATATTCATTCTCGACATCCGTTGTCGAGCCTTATATCGCGCACGACCAGCGCTGCTTGTGCTCCGGATGAGATTGAACCCCACACGGGGTGGTAGACGCGCGCCATGGCCGACTCAGTAGGTGGGTGCAGCACGCAGTGGCAACGACCGAGTGCATGATATTGATCTTAATCCAGACCGAGTCTTCAGCCATGCGCTCAACACGGTAAACAAGATCCGCACGGGGTCGCAGAAACCCCCCTCGGCAACGCGGCTACGGCTATATGGACTCTACAAGCAGGCCATGGGTGCGCAGTGCCTTGTGGGAGAAACAACACCCGGCTGATGTGAACAGAGGGCCATGTCGACGGCATCATGGACCGACCCGAGGGCGACAGCGAGCAGGACCAGAGGGCGCGAGAGAAATGGTACGCACGCGACCTCCCCTCCATACCAGGATGCCATGTACATCAAATCACCACGTACTGACAACAGCAGGGACGCCTGGAAACAGCAAAGCAACCTCTCCCGCACCGAAGCAAAGCGCCGCTACATCACCACGCTGATCGCCACAATGCACCAGTACGCCTCCCCCTCGCCCGACTCGCGCGAGCTCGTCGCCGAACTCGAGTTCGTCTGGGACCAGGTCAAGTCCAACGTGCCGTCGTCGTCGTCGTCGTCGCCGCTGCAGACGCTCGACCACGCCCCGCGCATGGCCGCCTCCTACTCGGCCCTCGAGCGGCAGCGCACCAGAGACGGGGATGTGGACGCAGATTCCCCACACGCCGCCGCCGCCGCCGCCGCCGACGACGACGACGACGACGACCAGCCCCTCCAGATCAAGAGCCCCATGTCGCAGAGCGAAGAAGCGCTCGAAGCCGAGGAAGCCGACATGGAGCGGGAAGACGAAGAGTTTGTCGACGCGCCAGACTCGCAGTACGCACTAGCCCTCTACCGCCAGGGCGCAATGGACCACAACCTCAGCGAAGCCAACGCCCAGCCGCCCTCACGCCCACCCCAACGCCGCCCAGCACGCCCCTCCAACCCCGGCACCCCAACGCCGCGCCCGCGCATGCGCACCATTATCCCCCAGCCCATCCCGCTCCCCTCCTCCCTCATCTCCACCAAGAACACCACGCCAGATTCCTCCGCAGACGCAAAGTGGCGCCTCCGCGTCGAAGCCAGCCTGATGAAACTCACAGCCGAAATCGCCGCGCTGCGCGAACAGCTCGAAGCCCGCCGGTTGTTCACGCACAAACCGCACTACCGGGCGTTGCGCGCGCTGTGGCGGTTTGTGTGTGCGGGCGCCCGGCATGTGGTTGTCGATGTGCTGGTGCTGCTCTGTGTGTTGGCTTTTCTGCGGCGGAGGGGGGACACGCGGTTTGAGGGTGCTGTTAGAGTGCTTGCTGGCGGCGCGGTGGCGCGGGTTAAGGGCGGGATTAAAGTCCCCGAGTTGCTGAGGGTGCCGGTGCCGAAGCTGGGGAGGAAGAGCGGGTGAGGTGACTGTGTAGAATTGGTATGTAGTCTGCTAATGTTTGATATGCATTTAGCGCGCTAAGATACGTGTATTTGCTGCGGTGCTGCGAGTGACTTGTGTAGTTACATCCAATAGTCGGCACCGCTGGTTGTGGGGATTGAATACCGAGATACATGTGCTGGGTGCTGGTTTTGTGAATATAGGTAGCTGGGTGTATATAGGACTTCTTCTAGTTAGTATGCAATACTCTGATTAACGTACTTGACTTACACACCCCTCACATGTGTCAGGGCCGGGCTTCGGCCCACCTGGCCAGGGCAACCGAAAGGTATCGGTGCTCACTCAGATAGTGAGCACTTGGCTGGAACAGTACGTATCGTCGTCTCAGGAGGGCGACAAGTGCAAGGAGGTAAGCCACCCAGCTTCGACAGCCGTGGGCGCCATACTGACACACGGTGATGGGCATGGATCTGCAAGGCTGACCCGATGAACTGCGACAGGCTCTGCAACGGCTACACTGGTATCTGGGACCGCACTTGTTACGACCGTTACGGGTACAGTGTTTGCGTGCACGGGAATCAGCTCCAGCACCCGAACCCCAGGCGACCCCTTTGATGAGTAGGGGTCCGTTCAGGGCTTGTTCGTGGCCGCTGAGAAACCCGATGAAGGTGTTTTAGGAGTACATTGTCTGCTTGGGTTAATGGTGTACCTATCGAGAAGTTAAAACCATAATCATACTACAACGAATCGAGATGAAAGTCGAGATGAAAGTCGAGTTCTTTCCAGGCGCGGTTTGTGACGTCACTCGTCTCCTGAGTCAGTACCTTCCCACTCGTCAATCAGCATCAGCACAGCGCCTTCGTGAACTCACTTGCAGTGCTGTTGTTATTCATTCAAGCTAGAGGTGGTAGCGACGACTCGCCGTGTAGGAGTCGGTCGGCCTGAGTTACCCCACTGATACCCCGGATCTTCATGCAAGGCGGCACGCCTCATCCTCCTTTTGCGTCGCTGTGATACGTTCACGCGTCGAGGCATGCCGTCACGCGCTTATGCGTGACGAGAGACCAACGCGCTGCTCGCACTGTGCCTAGCACGATTGGACCGGACTCGGGGCTCCTTTTCATCGCACGCTGTGCAGTGTGTGTGCAGCAAGAGGGGAAGCTGCTACTCAACTTCTTACCGCGGCTCGTAGTGCTGCACCATGCGGCATTCTGAACACGTAGAATCTAGCGCTGACGCCTGGGAACTTTATCACATCGAGAGAGTGCACCTTTGAGGCTTCGGATCCTCTTTCACGTCTCGTATGTAATCCCGCCATGACCACCGCAAAGATCGTCGCCCCGGCACCCATCGCTGAGGTCCCCATCCCACTGCTCGCCGATAAGTCAATAGTCAAAGTCAATACCGGCGACCTGGCCGAGCAGGAACCGCTTCCGTTTGACCCCAAGGCCCTCAGAGAGAAGTACCTCGCCGAGCGAGATAGACGTCTTGCGAGAAACGAGGGGATCGAGCAGTACACGCTTCTCGATGGCGAGCTCTCGCGTTATCTGAAGGATCCCTGGGTTGAGCCGGGATTCACGAGGGATCCGGTGGAAGAGGAGACGCATGTTGTGATTGTGGGTGGAGGGTATGGGGCGCAGGTTGTCGCTGTCAGGCTGATTGAGGCTGGGGTCGAGAACTTCAGGATCATCGAGAAGGCTGGAGACTTTGGTGGGACTTGGTAGGTTGCTATTACCGCTGGGTTCAAGCACGTGTTAACGGCATCCTAGGTACTGGAATCGATACCCGGGTAGGTTCCGTCAAGGCCGTTTCTGCTGCTGCTGATTCAATCCTTAGGTGCTCAGTGCGACATCGAGTCTTACATTTACATGCCTCTACTTGAGGAGCTTGGCTATATGCCTACAGAGAAGTATGCGAAAGCAGGGGAACTGCTCGGGCACTCGTGCATGATTGGCGAGAAATACAACTTGTACTCCAAGGCCTTGTTTCAGACCGAGACTCGCGAGATGCGCTGGCTGGAAGAGGAAGGCAAGTGGACTACTCGCACATCACGCGGCGATGTGATCAAGTCGCGGTTTGTCATCCCTGCGGCAGGGCCGTTGCATCGGCCCAAGCTTCCTGGCCTGGAAGGACTCGATGAGTTCAAAGGCCACTCTTTCCACTCTTCGCGGTGGGACTTTGACTACACTGGCGGCGACCCTTCTGGCAATCTGCACAAGCTGAAGGACAAGCGTGTTGGTATAATCGGGACAGGCGCTACGGCTGTTCAGATTGTTCCTCACCTGGGTGAGTGGGCACAGCACGTCTATGTCTTCCAGCGCACGCCGTCATCGATTGATGTCCGCGGCAATCGACCTACTGATGATGAGTGGGCTAAGAGCCTCAAGCCGGGTTGGCAAAAGCACCGCATGGACAACTTCGATAGCCTTGTCAATGGCGGCAATGAGCCTGAGGATCTGGTCGGCGACCGCTGGACAGACATCATCCGTTCTCTCCTCACCGTTAAAGGCGATCCGACCGAGGACCCCGCTGCATTTGCCGCCAAACTCCAGCTCGCGGACTTCAAGAAGATGGAGAGCATCCGCGCCCGCTGCGATGACATCGTCAAGGACAAGGCAACTGCGGACGCCCTGAAGCCATGGTACAACCAATTCTGTAAACGCCCGTGTTTCCATGACGAGTACCTGCAGACTTTCAACCGGCCAAATGTCAGGCTCATCGACACCCGCGGCCAAGGCGTCGACCGCCTGACAGAGAAAGGCGTCGTGGCCAACGGCACCGAGTACGAAGTCGACTGCCTGATCTACGCGACCGGCTTCGAGCTCGCAAACGAATGGTCGCACAAGACCGGCATCGAAATCTACGGGCGCGACGGCACAACCATCACCGAGAAGTGGAAAGACGGCGCCGCAACGTTGCACGGCTGGTCGAGCCGCGGGTTTCCAAACTGCCTCTGGGTGTCCATCGTGCAAGCCGCGCTGACGCCAAACTTCATGCACATCACCGCCGCGCAGGCACAGCACTTTGCGTACGTGATTGCGAGGTGTAATGCGCGCGGGATAAGGACAGTGGAGCCCACAAAAGAGGCCGAGGAGGAGTGGTGCGATACAATTGTCAAGGGCACGGCGATCAGGGCGGACTTCTTCAACGAGTGCACGCCGGGGTACTACAACAACGAAGGCAAGCCGAGTGCAAGCGCCGCGCGAAACGCGACGTATGCATATGGCAGCCAGGCATTCATCAAGATCCTGGAGGCGTGGAGAGAGAAGGGGAATCTAGGTGGTTTGGACGTACGGTACTTCGAGAATGGACGGGCTAGCGCAAACTTGTAGCTCTTAAACGTACGTCTGCTACATCAGACACACGCCCAACCTTTGCATGTCGAACTCGGCCCTCCGTGCCGAGCACACTCAGAACCCACCAGCCCTTACCTCGCCAACAAAACTCGGCTTCAAGTAATCCCCAATCTCACCCTCCTCAGGCGGCGTACACAGCCCCAGCCCCCTACTCTCCCGGCCCCTTGGGCTCGCACTTCCACCCCGCCCGACCCCCACGCTGCTCGTCTTCCTCCTCTTCCCCGTCCCATATCGCTCATAATCCAGCTCATCCCTCAGACTCTCCACCTCACTTTCCTTCTCCTTCCACAGGCGCAGCACTTTCTCACGCTCGTCCTCGATCCTGCGCGCCTCGTCCTCGGCTTCGAGCTTGATGAACTGCAACACCGCGTCTCGGCCCGCGGCCGCCGCGTCCTCGCCCTGCAGACTTGTGCCCGTACTGCAGCCGATAGCGCCGAGCAGCGCGCCGGCGGGGGACAGGATGGGCAGGCCGCCGGGGAGCGTGCAGAGGCGCTGGCTCGCCGCGAACGAGAACGCAGATGCGAATGGTGTGTTTGTTTCTGAGAGCGCAGAGGTGGGGAGCCGGTTCGCTGCGGAGGTTGCCGCCATGCACAGTGCGGTTTCGATGCTCGAATGCTTTGCCGCGTCGTGCCGTGTGAAGGCTAGCAGGTGCGTGTGCGCGTCTACGATGGCGATGCTCATGGGCAGGCCGAGGTCGGCGGCGTACAGCGAGGCGGCTTGGAGCGCGATGGTGGCGCCGGTTTGGGTGAGTGTGGGGAGGGATGCGACGGATGTTGATATAGAGGTCATGGTTGTGCGGTGTGTGCACCGAGGATGCAGGTCGTGGTGTGCGGCGTCGAGATGGATCTCTCAGGCCAGACGTAGAATCGCAGAGACGGTCCTCAATCTGTGGTATCCTCTGATGCGTTCTGAGATGCTGTTTCAAGCAATGGCCATGTGGGTGTAGAAAAAAGGATGACTAAGTCGAGTGTAGTATGGCAGATGCCGACTGTACTCTGCGACGAGATGTGAAAAGCTCTGAAAAGGCCGAAAGCAAACAGCCCAGCCCAAGAAACAGCAGAGTCTCAATCATCGAGTATCACAGAGACACGCGACAGTGGGCACGCCTGCTCTTGTAGGTCACCATGTGACAAGGGCCGTCGGGAGCCCAGGACAGAAGTGGAGAAAACGGTCATAATCACACCAAAGCCAGGACGCAGCGTGGATGCAACAGTCAAAATCTGGGGCACAAACAAGCATCATATTTCGCACATATCCCAGGCTCCTGACTCGAATTTCTTGAATAACCGGTGCGTTTGGGCGCTGGGCGGGTGCGGGCGCAATGAGGCCGGGTCTGTTCTCCCGAAAGGGAAATACTTGGTGCTGTGGAGAAACGCAAAATCTCGCTTCTGGGAGTTGAGATGGATACCGAAGCGGACTATCACTCGGCAAGAGATCCGGTAAGTCGATTCAGCAGTGGAGTTCAGCAGGAATAATGGACGGATGCGAAGCCGGATGAGACGGTGCTGCATCGCCGCCGCAGAGGTGCGGTCAGATTACAGTACTTTCCTGTCATCGGGTTTGAACCGAGGTCTAGGCCGAAAGGTATCACGTCGCTATCTCTATCACACAGTCAGCTGCGAGTTTCTCTATAGAAGATGATATTGTCGTTGGAGTCGTCGAAGACACATTGCATTGCTCATCGATGAGTGACCCTGAAGATCGCGTTGCGTTAGTCTCAAAACGTACTAGCTGGACAGTCTAACGGGGCAGCGGCACTGAAGATGCGGGTACAAAGAGACACCTTCATCGCGACGGATCCCACTTTACTAATCAGAAGGTCACATTGGAGCTCCTTCGCGTGTACCATGGCAATAAGGTCCGCTTCTCTCGCGTGATGCGAATCAAAACGCCCCACAAAAGGACGCGTGCAAAGAACATCGTGCAGTTAATTTGGATGTTATTGCAGAAACAATGCCAAAGAGACGCTTCTCAGGGAGGAAAGAGGGTAGCATCATATGATGGGGGTAGGCCTATACTCCTGCCTTTGTGACAATCCCAGGCCGTTATTTGGTGACTTTCTTGATCTTCAAAACCACTCTCCCTTTTGTTGCCTTTGTCCAGTATCTTACGAAGTCTCCTTCCGTGCAGACTGTCATTGTGCAGTTCGGTCTGCTCAACGGACGCATGCGAGCGCGTTCAAGGCCGATTCTGTCAGAATGGTGCCAGCTCCGTCTATTTGAACGCCTCACAGAATACATTACTTCTCCCGCCCGATTCCCAGAAGGAAGTTGAAGCTCGACACTGCATCTCATTCAAAAAACAACAGTTATTTGCGCCATGTCTTGCGCCATGTCTTGCGTCTCCATGGTGTATCCCAAGTCAGTATCATACATCACGGAGACAAATTACTTCAGCATTGAGCATACGAGAACAATCTACGATATCCTCCCAACTACATCTGGAATACTACCCACTGTTACTGTATACGCTACGCCAGCCGTTCAAGTACGTGATGAGCCCCGAAATGATGACGATGTGGTCGTTTTCTGCGGCATCATCGCACCTGTGATAGCTTTCTTCCTAGACTGCTAGTATACTGCACTCGTTAGAGATGATGAGCTGCCAGCTTTAGGGGTAAAAGATGATCAAAACGCTACCGTGTGCCCGGTCCCTGGTTCCTCGCAGAGTAGTCAGATGCCAGAACCCCATCAAAATTCTAGCGCAACCACGCCAAGTGCTCGAACACGGACAGAGCATGCAGTCCGATCGTGAACGACGCCGCGACAGGGGCAGTTTGCTGGAACTAGATCATCGAGAACGCATATCAAGCTTGAGAGCTACATGAAACTATTCATCGAACATGCATCTGACCAAGAGTCTGACAACAATTGCGACGTAATTACCTTTCGATGGCAACAGAACTCTGTGGCGTTCACCATACATACATCTAGTCATTCTCCGTTGCCCAAAAAATTGCCCGTATATTTCTGTGCCCATAATGCTAGCTACTTGGTTGTCGGATTCTGGCGTTTCGAAATAGTTCGATAACAAAACGGAATGGCTCCTCGAGATCAGTGCATGCTTACAGAAAGCTGCGGACACTCCAGAGACCTGTTTATTATGCGGACCGATTTATAACAGACGTCAGTGTTTTCAACATCATCGTACTGGCAACATACCCATCAATATGGTGTCCAAGCCTGGCACTGAATCTGACCTTGCGAGACTGCAGACCTAGCTAATAGCGGATGTGTTCTTCCTTAAGCTCATCATGCCTTAGACGATGGCTCAGAATTGGACTGTTAAACACTCGTTGAATCAGATTCCGGCCCGAGTCGTCGTCGACCACTGACCAGGCCGGTAATGCATTCACCTTGAGCTCGCCAACTAACCAACCTAACATGTGAGACACTCCTGTATCTTCGAGGCGGTCTCGCCGCATCTGTCTCGATTATACTCCCAATGATTGAACACGACGTACTTTGCTCTCACCCGAATCACCTTCGTCCCGATAGGTATCACGCGCTGTTGTCGTTGCTACTGTGCTTGCATTCACCTAATGCCACTTCCAGCTACTGAACTGTTGCAGCAGACGCTAAGCGACTTGATCATCTGACTCTCCTATAATAGCTTCTATTCTCAACTTGATTCTCGCGATCGCTTACTCGTTCAACTCAATAACAAACTTCTCTTGCACACTAGAAGATTTCTCAGCTCATTACACTACTCAATACTACTTCCGCATCTCTTCACTTTCTAGGGTAATCTCAAGGCACTCCAGAGCAACAACAAGGCTCTCTAGGACACCATCAACACCCTCCACCACAAATGCAACACTGTCGCAATAGAACATGATAGCCTCTAAGAGCAGTTCAACGTGAGTAATTTTTATTCCTGTTTATTATTTCGCTCCAGCTCACCGTGTTGGGATTTGATCGAAATCCACTAGATAGAGCTCAAGGACGCGGATTCCCTCAAGTGTAAGGGTTTGTCGGGCTGTCCATCATGCGTAGTCTACCTTACGTGCGCACTGCGTATCCCCCGCGCCACTAAAGTCCGGGCCCTCCAACTTGTTGACCAGGTCAACTACGACTGAATGGTCGCATGGAAGCAGCTCCACAAGCACCAGACGAGGGTTGTCCGCGCAGGGCAGCGCTTCTCATAGGCCAGCTCGCTTCTCGATTGGGTTAGGTCTCCCGCTTTCACGCACTGTAGATAATCGCTCCCTCAGGTAGACTCAATCGACAGTTCACATAGCCACACTCATCAGGTTATGAGCCCCTCCTTTTTTGATCGCGATACGACCGTGGGATAGTACACCTTGCCAGAGCGCAGGTACTATCGCAGCGTACCGACGATATTAAAGAGAGCGTATTTCCGCGGCACCTGTAGCCCACCGTCTCAACTCCGGAGCTACCCTACCAGTACCCCTCCATTACCCATGGTATACGATATATTACCCCACAGCAACATGGCTCTCCCGGATAGCGTCGTACCGAAGCTTCGGCTTGACGGCTCTAATCACTTTCATTGGGAAAAGGCCTACAAGCTCTACGCCAAATCACAAGGTTATCATGGCCTACTTGACGGCACATGGGAGGAACCTGAGGTCAACAAAGGCGACACTCTGATCACGCCTAGGACGATCAACACTACATACCCAGACCAAGCGTCACTGCTCCAGGCCCAGGAAGAGGTCAAAGAACACAACAAGGCCGTTGAGGAACAATACGTTGAAGAGTGGAAGCAGCGTCGACGATGGGAAGCCGCGTCAGCTGCCCTCGGCCTAGTGCTTCTCTCCACTGTCCCTCAGTCTCTCTATGAGAGCATCAGCGACTTGCCAGATATTGCTGATCAGTTCAACACCATCGTCGGTCGATTCAGAGACCAGGGCGTCACAGAGTGCTCTATTTGGGCTGATTTCTTCAAACTGCGCGCTCATGAGTGCAATACCACCATCACATTCGTCGACAAGTTCAAGGCAGGACTTGCCAAGCTCACTCAGATAAAGGACTGCAAGCTCTCTGACAGACAAGCCGTCTATCAGTTCATCCTCGCCATCGATACGTCGTACCCAGACTACGCCCGACAGCGCCGGGCTGATCTGCGCAACAACCACCTCCCAGGTATCACCAAGATGTGTGCCGAGTTGCTCGATGAGGCTCGTCGCGACGATCCCATCAAGGCAGCTTACTCCTCGGCCAAGCACCATTCTGGGGGTGACAACAACAACAACAACAACAACAACAACAACCGCAACGATACGCGTGGCCACGGTGGCTCTCGCGGCGGACTCGGCCGTGGCAATCGTGGCGGCGGTCGAGGTGGCGGCAACTCACAAGGCAATCGTGGTGGCGGTAATCAAACTGGCAACAAGTCCACTGCTGAGCGAGCTCATTGCAAGCTCTGCAACCACACTCACTACGGCGCCGGCGATAATTGCTGGCATACATATCCACACAAGGCCACGCCTGAGTGGCGTGAGCGAAATGCGGAGCTTCTCAAGTCCAAGAAGGACGGCTCCAACGCAGCAACGATAAAGGACGATGCTGCTGGCGACCTGTACTTCACCAACGGCGGCGGCCTCAGCTTTGCAACAGTCCGCAAGACACCCGTGATTGACATTAGCGACACGGTGCGTGAGCTTGCTGGACGCAGTGAGTACCACAATCGTCTTATCCTTGACACTGGTGCCACTGATCATCTCTGTAACGACCACAGTAAGTTCGTCAACTTTGACCAAGGCGGGTACTACGCCATCATCAACACCAGGGCTGGTCCCATTACTGTCACGCAGAAGGGCACCATCAAAGTCACAGTCCTCTGCTCTGACGGCTCCAGTCAACAGGTTTCATTCACCAATGTCTTGTACGCACCCCAGATGTTTGTATCGGTACTCTCCCACTCTCAGCTGCGTGAGAAACACCTCTACTACCATGGTTACGACCACAAGCTGTACCTGCGCCAGAACGATCATGACACCGAAGTCGCTTACACTCCAGAAGTCGACAGGATCCCCACGTTTCTGCTTGCCGGTGACAATATCCAGACAGCTCAGTCTCTTGCGTTTGCTGCAGTCACAACAAAGACTCGCAACAGTATGCTTACACCCACCCGTGATGTGACTCTACAAGAGCTCCACGACCTCTTTGGTCACGCCGACGTCCGTACGTTGAGGCATTTGGTCAACAGCACCACTGGTCTCCGTCTCGTTGATGTCAAGCAATTCTCATGTGAAGCCTGTCTACTCAGTAACTCACACCTGCAAGTCTCTCGCGTCAAGCCCAATCGCTCCGCCACCTTCCTCCACCGAGTCCACGTCGATATCGTCGGGCCGGTGACGCCAACAGGACCTGAGGGTGAGAAGTACTGGGTCATCTACACCGACGATTTCTCTCATTTTCGGTGGATTGACATTACCGACGACAAGCTAGGTATCACAGGCAAGCTTTTCTCATATCTTGATCGCATGAAAACTCAGTACAAGGTGACCGTGGCGGTCATCCACGTTGACAACGACACAGTCTTGGTGAAGCAGCGCACTCGCGCAGATTTCACACGCCGTGGCACCATACTGGAACTCTCCACTCCGAGGACCGCACACCAGAATGGTGTCGCTGAGTCCAGCAACCGTATCATTGAGTCCCGCGCCCGCACCATGGCTCTCGCGGCTCCTCATTTTGACAGAAATATGTGGCCTCACGCGGCACGGTACGCCGTGGAGCTGGTCAACCACACGCCTAGCGCAGCTCTAGCTGATGGTAAGACACCTGCCCAGCTTCGACTGGAGCATCTCCGCGTCACTTATCCAGTCCCCAACCTCTGCTCATTTCGTACGTACGGTGAAGTTGGCTACGTCCATCGACCTGCACAAACCCGCGTACAGAGCGCAAAATCCTATCCCCGCGCCGTCAAGATGTACTACGTTGGCCGAGAGGGTTCCCAGATCTATCTCATGTGGGACCCCGTCAACCAGAAGGTACACCGTACGAGCAGCGTACAATGGGCTCGGCGTGAGCTGGCCACTGTTGTTCAAGCTCACCAGCAGTCTCTCACCGAAGCGGTGGACACTAACAAGCCAGTTATCACCATCCCCTTTCGCCCACTGCAGCCTTTGCCACCGCATCAACCCACCGTCACTGCGAGTGACAATAAGGGGGTGGATGGTATCAAGCAAGGCAGCGGCTTTGGCTTTGGCGGTCTCACTGAGGCCTCCAGCTTCGATTTTGACAGAGCTATTAACAACTCAACAGTTATTGAAACTGACAATCGTGTCACTAAGCCAGACGATCGCAGTCTTGAAGCTGTGGCCAACGCCCGTGCCTCTCCCAATCCACGCCTCCGGCCAGATTTTGCCTATGCCCCCGTCAATCCCACGGCGGATGCCACACGTGGCGGCAACCAAGCCTCTCGCCGAGAAGAGATTGACGGCGATCTCAACAACCGCAATATCGTCTTGGGCAAGCGAGTTCGTCGTATCCGACAGCTCTACGTCGCGATCGCGCTTCACAACCCACATATCACACCGCAGCTCGCCCGCTGCTTCGCCATGGCCATCTCTGGAGCCTCGGCTGTCACCAAGGTTGAGCTCCCGCCTGAGCCAACCTCTGCCAAACAAGCTCGCCAGCACCTATACAAGGATGGATGGATTGAAGCTGAAGGCGCCGAATATCAAGCTCATGATGATAACAGAACTTGGGAGACCGTCATCACGCTGCCAAGCGGCGTGTGGGCGTTGCCAACCAAGTGGGTATACAAATACAAGCTGACAAATGATGGCAAGCTCGAGCGCCTCAAGGCCCAGCTCGTCGTCTGTGGCAATCGTCAAGACGTCGACTTCTGGCGTGAGACCTACGCGGCAGTCGCCCGTGCCACTACTCTAAAGGTGTTGCTCGCCATCGTAGCGGCTCTCAACCTTGAGTGTGACCATGCTGACGTTGTCACTGCCTTTCTCAACAGTCTACTTAACGCTGACGAAGTCGTATACATTCAGCTGCCAGACAGTCGTAGGGCTCGACTCTAGAAGGCCTTGTACGGTCTCTGACGCTCACCTCGACTCTGGTATGAGGAGCTATCTTGCTTTCTCGCCACTATTGGATTCATGCCATTGGAAGCTGACCCGTGCGTCTTCATCACCCAGACACGCCAGCGTATGACTGAGGTCAAGCAGCAGGTCTTCGACAAGTACAAGTGCCGTGACTTAGGCCCTATCAGCCATTATCTCGGTATCCGCGTCCGTCGTAACCGCCAGCGTCGTCTCATCGAGCTCTCCATGGAGGGATATATCGACAAGCTGGTCCACGACTTCAAGCGTGAAAACTCTGCAGCTCGCCATACGCCGCTTGACGTGGCAGTCCTCGGCCTCAAGATGCGTCCCACGGACGATCTTGCGCCTCTCCAACAGCTGCGTAACTATCAGACTATCATTGGCAAGCTGCTCTACCCAGCGACACAGCTGCGGGTGGATATCTCATTCCACATTGGCTTTCTTGCCTGCGCCATGAGCAACCCCACGCTCCGTCACTACGACTACGCTATACAAGTCATCGACTATCTCAAGACCTACAAGGATCTCGTCATGACGTACAAAGCTCCTCGCGGCGCCACACTCACTATTGACATGTTTGTCAAGTCGGCTCCCACCGACCTAGGTCTCCACGGGTACTCTGATGCTTCATTTGCTGACGGCGAAGACCGCAAGTCCACCTCCGGCTATCTATTCAAGTTGGCTGGCGGGACTATCTGTCATAAATCCGTCAAACAGAAGCTTGTCACCACCTCCACGACAGAGGCAGAGTACGTGGCCATGACCTTCGCAGCTAAAGAGGCCACCTGGCTTCACCGGCTGCTTCATCAACTCGGCTACAAGTCCGACGATACTCACCCTATCAAGCTGTTCGGCGACAACGAGCCTTCTATCAAGCTTCTCCACAGTGACGGCCACCATGAGCGTACTAAGCATGTGGATATCTACTATCACTACGTCAAGGAGCGCGTCCGCGATGGTCATCTCACGGTTGAACACGTCCGCACGACAGCCATGGCCGCCGACGGCCTCACCAAACCTCTCGATCGCGTAGCTCACGAGCGATTTCTCCGTCAAATCGGCCTCGGCAAGCCTACGATCGTCAACAACACCACCAACGGCACCTCCGACGTCACCACCGGGCTGACAATCAACGGCAACTGCTAGACGACGGCGTCAGCAGCCACACACAAATTGAGTACAATGGAGGACAGGATAGGCGACAACAGGCGGAGGATAGTCAGGGTTACCATGTTTCCAGCGTGAGCTCCCGGAGCTTCAATTCACTCGCTGTGGGGGTGTGTCCGCGCAGGGCAGCGCTTCTCATAGGCCAGCTCGCTTCTCGATTGGGTTAGGTCTCCCGCTTTCACGCACTGTAGATAATCGCTCCCTCAGGTAGACTCAATCGACAGTTCACATAGCCACACTCATCAAGGGTCGTCCGGGAGCACTATGCCGCCGTTGGTACTCAGGTTGCTTTTTGACAGGCTCTTAGTCTATCCTCCAAATTGGTGTCACCCACATTTAAGCCTAGCGAGGGTAGTGGCAACAGATAGAGGATCTCAAACAACTGCGGTTCTTCCAACAGTAGCAGCGTTGACTCTAGGATCTAGGTTTGAGATCCAAGGATTGGGACACAACGGTATAGCACGCAGTGAATCATTCTTTCTGGGTTTCTTGTTGTTTCAGCTGGTCCAAACGCACGATTGTTGGACTCATGGCCTATATTTTTCTTGAGTCAACGTTAGCAGTATCATTTGTTTATTGCTCAGGCTCTCATCTCAGCGCTGTTGTCACCTCGCATCCGCCGTTTTTAGACTTGATAGCTCTTCGGTGCATTCGTATACTCTGAGCTTATCCTCTTTCGATTACACTAACGCATGTTGCTGGTGATGAGAGGCTTCGTGGAGGGCGGCTTGAGAAGGTGCAGAGATTACCTAGGCTGCTTCGGGACTGGTGCAGCTGGCAGTCCTCCCATCATGAGTGCTCTCTTCTGGCCTCAACATCACGCACAGCATTGCGCCCATCTCATTCATCGTTAATCTTTAATTGATGGGTATTTTCTATCTGACTAGTCGTAACGCGGCAGCACCAAGGCCCAGAAGGTATCATCATGGCAGTGCACCTAGCGGCGGTGCCTGTTACCAAGAGCCAGCCCGACCATGATCATCCTTACAACTTTCTCAGCGCCGTCCTTTACCAAGTTATCGGTCTGTACAATTGCTTCTTCCAGCGTCAGAGGCCCTCGCATGATGCTTGTAAAGGCTTTGATACCTGCCCCATAGCATCCGTCCGCTCCTTCTCCGATGGTGCCAGCCAAGGCGACAACTTGCGCTCCGCGCCGCTTTGCTCGGCGAGCAACCTCCGTCGTCATTTTGCCCTGGGTCGACTGCGAATCCAGACTTCCCTCGGCAGTGATGACAAAGTCCCACTGCTTTTCAAAGACGCGATCAAACTCGAAGTACTCGTTGATGGCATCGCTCCGAGCCCGCAGTCTGGCGCCAAGCATCATTAAGCCAGCACCAAGACCTCCGCTGGCACCGCTACCAGGGGCATTCGAAATTTTTGTCTTTAGTGTGCCCTGCGCAACGAGAGCCAATTGTTCTAATGCTACGGCGAGCAAGTCGACCTGCTCTGGGGTGGCACCTTTTTGAGGACCGTAAACTCGTGCAACACCTCGGGGGCCGCAGAGGACGTTCTTGATGTTGCACACAGCTTCAATTTGTACTTTCTCGGCTGTCCAAATGTTAAAGACCTGAATACAGAGGGCTTCAGGTAGACTAACCGGCATCTTTGCGAAGTCTGGGATGGACACCGCACCAACAAATCTTGTCCAGGCGTGAGAGAGCCCGACCTCCATCTGCCTTTGGCAGCTCATTTCCTTCTGCATCAAGCAGACGGACGCCAAGTGCTTGAAGCATACCGGCGCCGCCATCGGAAGTCCCTGAATCCCCGCATCCAATAATAATCTTGGTGCAGCCGGCGTCTAGCGCTTTCTTGATCAGCTCTCCGACCCCATAGGTGGTAGTCACAGTTGGGTCGCGTGAGTCTTTTGGAACAAGACAGAGCCCAGCAGCTGCAGCCATGTCCAAAACAGCCGTTTTGTCATTCTGAACGAAGCCCAGGTGTGATTTGACCGCAACGCCGATCGGGCCCGTCACTGTCTCATTCGAGATACGTCCGCCATGGGCCGCTACCAGAGCCCGAGCAAAGCCCTCTCCGCCATCGTGCAGAGGTAGCTTCTTGATGATGACGGATCTCTCGTCCAAAACTTTGCGGCAGCCGGCTTCGATAGCATCTGCGACTTCTTCTGGACCAAGGCTCTCCTTGAAACCAGACGGTGCAATCAGGATTCTGAGAGGGTGCCCCCCAAGGATCTCTGACGTCGGTGTCGACAGTAGAGTGGAAGTCGAAAGCCAGACTTCGTCAACTTGCTGTGGTGGCAAGTTGAAGGTCTTCAAAGTGCGAAGTCTTGGGAGCTTCGGGCGGCTAGCCAGTGTCTCTGATCCGACTGCTGGAACGCAGGCTTCAGCGCTGGTAGGAAGCATAGTGAGCATGGTTCGGTGGCAATTGTAAGTGGGCTTATGGTGATGGCAATCTTAAGCTGGTAAGCGTCTTGATGAGTGTCGGATATACTGAGGCGAGTGTCGCCCAGATCTGCTCGTCGATGCTCCTTCAATGTGAGCACGCGACACTCCTTATATGTTCCAGGAACTTACTCTCTCCGCGTTAAGTCACCACCACCCGAGCCTATCTCATGCCACACAGCCCTACAATTGTAGTACCATCCCGGGTGATTCACATTACACCGCCATAGGACCACACTTGCAGCCTTAGGACACAGCCAAGTATCGAATTCAAACGCACACTAGGTTGAAATTTGGAAGCCACTAGTGGTCTGTATCCATTCATAGGTATCGCGTCTGTACACCCGGGAGTTACGATCGCTGAGACACAGCCATTCACTAAGGATGTCTGGATCGCCAGCATCTAACAACAAGCTCTCCTTGTTCCACATAAAGCATCTTGACCCACGGGGTTGTCTAATGTCCTCCAGGTCCAAGTCTCTTGACGTTGCTGGGCCAGCCAATCACATCAGATCACGTGCATTCACCAAGAGGGTTGGCGAATCTAAGTCGCGCAGCGTCCAAGACTTCCTTGGCGATACATCTGAGCACAGCCAGGCTGGTGACGTCTACAAAGAAGGCCGTCTTTCATGGCGAAGATCTACACTCGATACCAGACTGGGATTTGGGAGCCTTCCCATTGGTCTCGAAGTCAAATCTACTTTTGCTTGCTACGCGAGCAAACGGTCCTATTTCTATTCCTGTTCTGTCACAGCCTGGATACCTGGACGCTACGGCCTGCGACTATGCTTTGGTGTCGCATGGCACCAGAAGACACGGCAAAACAGGCTTGATTTAGCTCTTCAGTTCAGAAAGTCACCGCCAGCCTCGTGTAGAACACACAATCCGCCTCATCGATGATCGTTTTCGCAACACTGCCTCAAAAACTCAGTATTGATGCGACAAGCATCTCAATATATGACAACAGCACCTCTGCGGACGACATCGGACATAGATGAACGATCGTTTCACTAATGCTCTCCTGCACATTCGTTTCACGCAATTCGCGACATTCTTTCAGCATGCGTCTTCCAGAACGTATGTACAGAAGAGCTTCAGCCAGCGATGACGGCAGCCCTCGAGACTCACATGAGCTACCAAGATTCTCTTTCGAAGGCGATGATGGTATTGATAGGCCACTTTTTAGCACTGAGCGTATCTTCAACCAGTGGTCTAGGGGTGAGGAGACAGCATATAAACCCACCTTCAACGCAATAGAGAGCGCAGTGAAACTGGAGCAAGATATTATCGTGAGTAAAGAATTTGTGCATGTATACATAACGCTGACGCGTAACGCAGATCACTTGGGATGGACCTAACGACCCCGCGAATCCGCTCAACTGGTCACAGTCGCGAAAATGGGTCGTCACCATGCTTGGTGAGTATGAAGAAATGCTATGGACACTGATCAGTGGACTGACTGTTGGTTAGTATCGATGTTCACCTTCATCAGCCCATTCTCGTCGACGATGATCGTACCTGTGCTACCAACTATTGGTAATGATTTCGACATCCCAGAGGGCTTCATGCGACAGCTGATTATGACTATCTTCCTTCTCGGCTATGCTCAAGGTCCCTTCGTGCTTGCACCGTTGAGTGAGATCTATGGAAGGGTTACTGTTTTACAGTACGCCAATTTGATCTACCTCATCTTTAACACCGCATGTGGGTTTGCTCAGACGAAGAACCAAATGCTTGCTTTCCGCTTCCTAGCTGGCATCGGTGGAGCAGCACCACAAGCAGTATGTTATGATTGCGGTCGCACTCCCCTTGATAATACCGCTAATTGAGTCCAGTTGTGCAATGGAGTCCTTGCCGACACCTGGCGCAAAGAAGAACGCGGCAAAGGCCAAGCCATCTACGGCATGCTTACTTGGATCAGTCCTTGCGTAGCTCCCATCTGTGGTGCTTATATATCACAAAGTGTCAGCTGGCGATGGATCTTCTGGGCAACCTCGATCTTCACCGTGTTTGTCCAAGTTACCGCGCTTTTCTTCCTCCGCGAGACGTTCGCGCCTGCTATCCTGACAAAGAAGGCAAAACATGTCAGGAAAGCTATGAAGGGTATCCGGCAGGATGTCGTTGTGCGCACAGAGTATGAGACCGGTGACCGGTTCAGTAAGATCCTGCGCAAGCGACTGATCCTGCCTTTTATCATGCTGTTCACGCACCCGGCGACCCAGGCGCCCTCGGTTTACCGCGCATACCTGTACGGCGTCATGTATCTCATGCTATCCACCTTTCCTCTTGTCTTTGAAGAGGTCTACGATATGGATGTTGGCCCGGCGTCACTAAATTACCTATCCTTGTGTCTCGGATTCATGATCGGTCTGCAGATCTCGCATCCACTCATGGATGGTGTAAGTATTTCCTCACTCCTGCACACCATATCACCATCTGACATGTCGTAGCTGTACGCCCGCCTGAAGACATACTACGGTCTCGAAGAGGGCCTTCCCGAGTTCCGCGTCCCGCCCATGCTCATCGCTAGCATTCTTTGCCCCATCGGGCTATTCATCTACGGATGGACAGCGCATTACGGCGTACATTGGATCGCACCAAACATTGGTTGCGTCATTGTGGCTATCGGCATGATCATTGGATTTCAATGTAGCCAGGCGTACACTACGGATGCGTACGAGGCGAATTACGCTGCCTCTGCTGCGGCGGTAGGCGCGTTCATGCGCACGATATGTGGATTCAGCTTTCCGCTGTTTGCGGTGCAGATGTATGAGACTCTGGGCTTGGGCTGGGGAAACAGCCTGTTGGCGTTCATGACCCTGGGGTTGGCATTGGTGGGCCCGGTGCTGCTCTGGTTCTACGGCCCAAAGCTGAGGGCTATGAGTACAAGGGGACTGTTGTAGAAGTACATTTCTGCGGAACATGACTGACGATGGATGGCTGTATGTAGCAGTCTGTATCGCGCTGTCAGACAGGCATGGAGATTACCACTTGTATAAAATAGGAAATCAACCTAAAGTCTTGATAACGTACACAATTTGTACATCTCTTCCAAAGATTCTCACTTGGTTGCAACGGTGCGCTCGCAATCCTCGTTCTTTTCGACTGCATCGCGTTGCTGGCCCGCCGATCTCGGAGGCAACCCCTGCGCGCCTCCATCACCCCCGCACCCCAAGACCCCATAGCCTCACGCGATCTCTAGGAATAGGCAACATACGGACCGATCCGCTAACATGAGATACGACCAGCGTTCTTACCAACCGCATGGCGACCTCCTGGGCCTGGTCTGGGCCGCGGCAAAACATATCGGCACTTGACTTTGATAAACCCTGGATTTCGGATACACGTACACGGGGGAATCGTGTTTGCACCTTCAGCTCCCCTTGTCACTCAACTACAGTCGCTCTTTGTGCCATAGGAGAGACCGGACAATATGCCGTACCTCAGTTCACAGCCTAAGATTCTGATCGCCGGTGCCGGTATTGGAGGCCTCACAGCTGCGCTGTCTCTGCACGCGGCAGGCTTTACCGACATCCAATTGTTCGAAGCATCTTCGACTCTTACAACGCTCGGGGTCGGAATCAACGTGCAGCCTTCTGCAGTGCTGATTCTGCGAAACCTGGGTCTTCTGGAAGCCCTCGAGAAGACAGGTGTTCAAACAGCAGAGCTGAACTTCTACAATCGCCATGGCGACTCCATCCTCAGCGAACCTCGTGGCAAACACGCCGGCTATGCAGTACCGCAGTTTTCGATCCACAGAGGAGAGTTCCAGATGCTGCTTCTCAGCGCGGTGAAGGAGCGCCTGGGCGCAGACGCAGTGCACCTCGGTCACGCCTTGACCGGCTTCGAGCAAAATGAAGAAAGCGTCACAGCAGAGTTCTCACGACGACGAGATGGCACATCTACCGAGCTTTCAGGCATATCCGGCGACATTTTGATCGCAGCCGATGGCATCAATTCAACTGCGCGACGCATCCTGTACCCGAAGGAAGGACCCCCAAGGTTCTCTGGACGAATGCTCTGGCGTGGCTGTCTCGAGAGAGAGCCGTATCTGACGGGAGCCTCGATGGTGTGGGCAGGGCATGCAGATCAAAAGTTCATTGCATACCCCATTTCGCAACGTTCAACAGACAAGGGCAAGAGCCTAGTCAACTGGATCGCAGAGCTACGCATCAGAGGGAAGGATGACAAGGATCTCACACCGCCAAAGACAGATTGGACTAAGGCAGTAGACAAGAGCGTGTTTGAAGGACCCTTCGAGAGCTGGAAATGCGGTGGTCTGGACATGAAGGACTTGATCGACAAGACAGACAAGGTGTTCGAGTTTCCTATGTCGGATCGCGATCCGGTCGGGCAATGGTCATTTGGCAGACTGACGCTACTGGGCGACGCAGCGCACGCCATGTACCCAATTGGATCGAACGGCGCATCGCAAGCCATTATTGACGCCGAAACATTGGCAAAACACCTCAAGACCATGACGTCAGATGTTGCAGCTGCATTGAAGGCTTACGAGACTGAGCGACTACCTCCTACCGCGAAGATCGTGATGGCAAACCGAGCGAATGGGCCAGATCACGTCTTGCAAATGGCGGAAGAAAGGGCGCCAGATGGGTTCAAGAATGTCTACGATGTCATCCCGAAGGAAGAGCTGGAGGCCATCGGCACTGTCTATAAGAAGGTGGCCGGATTCGAGATGGACAGCGTCAACATCAAGGTGAAAGAGACCGAAGGGGAAAACAGAAGATTACAGCTGCAAAGCCCTAAGGACTGGATATAGTCAGGCGAGATTTCAGTATCGTTTTCGAGAATCAGAACAGCAGCTGAGTAAACTCACCGCAGTCGCCAACACGTCTGTACGACCCTGAGCACCCAACCATCCACATCGTCAAGTCGTACGTTTCCCGAGTTCGTGACTGCTCAATAGCTACGCTGGTAATACGGGTATTTAAGACTCAAACACCTGTGGCGTCCACCCAATCAATGGCGTCGACGCCCAAAACGGTCGCATGTCAATTCGTGCGACCTGAACCGTGGTGATGACGCAGCTGACAACTAAAGACAGTCTCTTTCCCATGCATGCGGGTATGCATTTCGTTGACCGAATTCCACTGCGGTCAGCTAGGGCGCTGAAACTGTCAAAGAACGGTGACGAGGACGTATCAAGAATATAGCCAGGTGTGACAGGCACTTCATTGTTGAAGCCTCCACATATCACCTACGCTATATGAACAGTGCAGCACTACCGTTTGACGATGCTTTCAAGTCATTTGTCGTCTTTTCCCTTGCTGTCACTTGACGTGAACGCAGGTCTGATTTCGATTCGGAGTTACGAAGCTTTCGTGGACGCAACTTACATCCACATCGAACATGCCAGGCCTCGAATCCATGCGTCGGCGGCTCTCCAGCATCGCCAAACCCACCCCAGGACCCACGACTCCCCCTTCGCACACACAAACAGACAAGCGCCTCCTCGACCCCGACTTCTTCAACATTGACGCCGAAGACCTAACATGGTTCCACAAAGTCAACCTCGCCGTGCGCCGCGACATAGGCAAACTGATCCTCGCGCACGACTACATGCACATCCAGCGCGTTACCGTTGCAGCTTATCAGCTCTACCAAACCGATGCCTCGCAAGTCTGGGCGCATGGCGTCGACTACCGTACTGTGATCGTCGCAGCGATGGTGTCCTCGCTCGGTGCGGTGCTGTATGCCAAAGACCATGCCGAGAATCTGAAAGGCTTTGGCCCAAGTACATCGGATAGTCCGGATGTGGTGCAGAATATCCATCATGAACTACTCTTCGACTTCCTCCGGCGCCTGGACTGTCCGCCCGATGTTGCCGGCCCGGCGGCGCTGATGGCAAGCCTGATCAGTTTCACGCAAGAGTGCAGGGATAGGGAGAAGATCAAAGATAGTTGCGAAGCGTATCCAGCGCTACGGTTTGTGCAGGATGCTGTCAGGCTGGATGAGCTGGGGTGCGTGGGCATTGCGAGGCTGGGCACCATGAGCAAGACGACGATTCTTGAGGCAGTGAACAGGATGGATACCAGACTTTGTCATTACGTGGAGTTGATGAAGACAAAGACAGGCAGGAAGGAGGCAGAGAGGAGGTGGGCGCAGATGTTGGAGTTCAGGGAGGGGTTGCTGCTTCAGGTTGATTGTTCTGTTGGTCTCGAGGCGGGCCGGAGAAAGTCGTCTTGAGGAATTCTGTACATGGTGTCGTTTTGCATCTTTCCTTGACAACTTCTTCACAAGCAAATACAACATCGCAGCGATTTTTGTATCAGTTGCAAGAAATCAGTAAAATGCAGAGTCCCCCGAAGCCAGGTCAGGTGAGAGAGTAGCTAGCTCCACCTCGCAGCTCCACCTTCGGGCCACGACCTAGAATCGGCAAAACGCCGGGCTACACAGCTGAGTCAGCCTGGCCCAAGCGGCTCAAGTATATAAACCCGCTGGCCCCCGTCCCCTTCCATGTTTCTCATACTTACCTTCTTTGGATGACTGGGCTCAAGATTCCGGTTCATCTATCTTGATCAGCTGCATTGCACAGCGCGGACTGGTTGGGGTATGGCTTTCCTTCGGGGACGCCACAGGGGCAATTTTTGCTTGCTTTCTCACTTTATGTGGGCTTTTTCATTGCCATCGTTGCTATAAGCACGGTGTTGAGGAAGAAGAATAGGACAAGGTATATTGGTAATAGGTGAAACGTGTGCGGACATGAGTTTGGAATATGTTTTTGTTGTGCTATTGTGTGTGATGTAGCCCATACGGCTCATAACCCTATCCACATGACCGCTCTTATTGTCACTGTGCTGGCTGCTTCTCCATAGCTTCATAGTCTCACGGCACGTCGACGCGTCTGCTTGCTGTCGAGAAACGAGCGGTCGCTGTCTCCAGCTGCAGCCTCTCGCTCTCATGTCTGAAGACCTGCGCCCTTGGTGCCTCCAGCAGCGTTGTGTGATTATGCTCCCGCTCATAGCTGAGCCTCATGACTTGTATAATGCCCACTTGCCATATGCGCATTCAACCCGCTTTGTCGACGCCCTCCCGTTTGCTGGGTGTGTCGGCGCTCTGGTCAGCAGCCTCACCCTCAAGCTCCGCATCGCCCTCCTCGTTGTCTTCCTCAGGCTCCTCAGCGCCTTCCTCGCCCGCCTTGCCGGCCTCCAACGCGCGGTACTTCCTCCGCTTCTTCTTATCACTACTAGCCTTCTTCTTGCTCTTCTCTCTGGCCCTGACCCTTGTGCGCGCCCCATCCCCCAACTCAAGCTCTTCCAGTCTGTCCTGCAGAAGCTGTCTCGCCACCTTGCGATTGAGCGCCCTCGAGCGCGTATCCTGGTACTTGACGACGATGCCCGTGGGAATGTGCTTCAACTGGACAGCCGAAGAGGTCTTGTTGATTTTCTGCCCTCCGGGCCCGGAGCCCTTGAGGAAGTTCTCTATGATCTCGGATTCGGGGATTATGCGCCGCGGCGGCATTTGTTTTGCAAGCAGCACGGCGCTGCTGTGGAGCGCATGGCGAAGGGCGTGCTGGAGGGCGTTGTGCGGGCGCAAGAGTGCGCCGACGGACGGCAGGAACGGCATGGCCATGTTGAAGGGATTGTTACGATTGTAATCGGCACAAGACGACCATTGCTGCTGCGCTATTCAAGACATAGACATCCTGTAGCTCGCTGTGACCACTACGAAATGACGCGCCCAATCCCCTCGCGCCTCATCCCCGGGCTCTCCCGCGCCAAAAGCGAAATGACTTGACAAGCGCCGACCGTCCCCGGACTACAACCGTACGCAGCTCACGAATTTACGCAACACCACGCCATAGTTGAACCTCCCACACAAACACACGATACGCAACATTCGCCGCATGCCCGACTCAGCAACCGTCGCAACCGCGCTCCTCCTCGCCGCAGCCGCCGCCCTCCTAATCGCCGCAATGCTCTACCCATCCGCCATGCTGCGCTGGTTCCAGCGCAAGCGATACCAATACGAAGTCACGTTCTCGCTGTACATGTTAACCTCAACCGAGAAGTTCATCTTCAGTACGTCTCTCATCGAAGCTGGGAAGAGCAGCTCAGCACGGCTCCTATGCTCGTCTGCCGCACTCCAGGAAAGAGAGGATACACGAGAATGCAGTGCTGACGGCTTTTCCCAGACTCGGTCCTGTTCTTGCTGTTGAGCTTGCTGATAATCGCCGCGTCGCTCTACCTCCCCGAACACCTCAGCATCATCGCGAGCCGCATCTTCTACTACTACAGCGGCAAGGAGAACGCGCACGCGGGACTCGCGCAGAAGCCGGTCGGCGAGCCGGCGCATGCAGGGCTGGCGGGGCACGGGCGGGGGTTCATGGAGCCGTGAGCGCAGTCTGAGCGCCGTGGGCATAATGTGGGCACACAATGGTCGAGCATGTGATATGGGGAGCGATAGCATGGGAGGCGTTGAGACGGCGTTGTTGAATGGCAGCTCAACACGAGCGTTTAGCTACTCGGAGCGTGTAGCCACGATAGATACCACTTAATTGTAATACTTCACATGATAGGTGTCCATGACAGTGCCCTAGTGATACTGAGCCAACGCACATTGGGCTTCTTGAGCATAGTATCAATATGTAGAGCTGCTGGGTACAGGGGACTTGTTCACCGACAACGACACCGTTGTGTTCACCGTAAAGCACAGGAAGGTGAAACGGACCGGAGGCAGTAGCGATAGGATGCTGACATCTGCGAGACGACAGGTCTGGACTGAAGAAGGTGGATGGTCTGGTAGGGGCCCGCAGGTCGAGGTGTGGGTGGCATGCAGTCATCGTGGAGTACCATATGCGCATTCAAATCAAACTATGTACCGCAGCTAAAGAATGTTCGCCGAAGAGAACGAGCAGCTACCACCCAATGCATACGCTTACGCAGAACATGTCCAGAAAGCCGCTCAGTGTCTACATACAGAGTAGGAATAGATTATCATGTCATCGTGAGGCCGGTATATGAGATCGAAGAGAACCAAAAGACAAGCCATACTCGAATGCTCGAGAGAACGCAGGTGAGCAAGATATGCACTCAGCCGAAGATCGTTCGTACGCCACGCTCGAGCGTCGCGGGCGTGTAGTCTTCGAGAGTCAGGACGACCGGAAAGTCGCGCACTGCTTGCTCGTATGATGTTGTCATCGCGCCATTGCCAGCAATAGCGACGAGAACAACCGGCACTGATGCCATCGAAGTGTTCTTTTCGACTTTGCTTGTGATACTCTTCGCAAACTTGAGTTGGCGCTCGAAGGCTTCCGGTTTGTGATCAAGCACGTTTTCTGTAGCGCAAATCACCACAACGACCACCCCGCTGGCGGACAAGAAGCACGGATGTACGTCCGTCATACCGATGTCCATGCGAAAAGGCACATGGCGGACGGGCCGTGGGAGTGCACGTCCAAGTGGCTCAAATGGGTCCATATCTTTGACCAGTGACGCTGTCGGGAAGTGAGGGACGACTGGAGTAAACAGGGTGATGATTTCCGCTTCATTGAGTGTTCGCAATCGAGTGAGAGTCTGGGCGGGGCAGCGAACCATGAGTGCTTTGCCAGCAGCTGGTTGTTGCGAATCCGCCCTCGACGAACGCTTCATGTTGTGATCGCGCATCTCGAATCGAATTTGATGGCCTTAGTCCGGTCTGGCGCTCGAGCTCCGACTGATAATTCCAGCAAGTGATGCGGACAAGAGTGGTGGATGTTGCGAAGGAGATCTAGCGAATGTCGCGGTCCAGCTGCTCCTCACAATCTCTCTTGACTGAACGATGTGTGGATATCCAAATTTTCCAGTCGTATGCGAAAAGGACTAGCCTCTAGCGAACAAAGATACAAGGAAGGCTCCAAGCTACGACAAGATAGCACAACTTAGAAGTGGATCGCAGAAGTCTCAGTGCCCGAGAAGAGGTAGACGAGGCACGGTGAGCTAAAGGTGAGCGTTTCGCTGATCAGAATTGCAGCAACGGGATGGCTGCATACGCGTGAGGTGCCCTGTAGATATAGCTGTCAGTATGTCGCTCGTCATGCTTCGAGTGTTACAACAGATGAAAACATAGCTTGTGGCACAAGACTACAGTACGCATGCTCTGTGAGAGATGAATGGCAGGCAGGTCGAGTCCGCCAACCAGCAGTCAGCGAACGGCTCCCGTTTCTTGGAGGCCCTGAGCCATCGCTGACACACGACATGAGTAGGCCTGCGGCGTGGGGTTACACAAAGTAGTGGATGATAGTGTCCAGTAGATATTACTTCGGCCGGTCATGGAACGTTGGGCGAAGGGTTGACCTCTCCCATACTCGTTGCAAGAGGTAACCCCAAGATTAGCGTGGCAACGTCGACTGGAGCATGTCAGCTTCCTTGAATTGACTTGTAAACGAGGCACCAGGAGAGCTGAAGAGGCTGTTCGCTGCTGGAGATCGAAGACAAGGTTTGCAGCTGCTGGCCGTACACCCTCTCGCCGGCCCGAGCAGGGATCCGTGACATATGAAGCCGGCGAGTGAAGGCAAGTACCCAGCCAGTGACCGGATAGAGATCAGCTGCATCTACCCGCCAGACGCACGGCGTGGTTCGTTCTGCATGTGGCGCACGGCGGTCAGTACAATTCGAGCGGGCTGTGCAGCACCGTTGTCAAATTGATCGCTGACGAACAGGGTATGTGGCCATTCAAGGCTTTGAGAATTGCGCGCTAGCCGAGCGTGAATATAAATCAATGCTGATTGTGTAACGTGATGTATGCGGTGACGGGCATCTGCGATGCATGCTCTGTAACAAGGCGAATATGCGTGACATCTGCAAGATACTGTGCATGACTGGCGTGTGAACGAGCCGCGGCGGACTAGCCGAGCGCTGTGCTCCCCAGAGGGTTCCCAGAGGGTGATAATGCACAAGGCAAGCCGTGCGGTGACATCCGCTCACGACAGAGACCGATGAGACATTCGGAATAATCGTAAGGCGACACAGAACGTGGGCGAAGAGCGGGTGAACATGTGAGGGACGGCTGGTTGTTTTTGACTCGCTTAATTATTTAGCGTCTCAAACTAGGTAGGAAGGCGCGTTCGGTGAAGCCATGTAAACACCATAGATGACGACGCGCCCAAGTGCCCTACCACTATAGGTCACGACTTGATTTGTTCAGAACCTATCATGATGATACCGTGATGCCATCTATTGCTGGTAATGCAGCTGTCGCTCTTCAGCATAACGAGCTAACACTGCGACAGGACAGCTACCACCGCTCGGCGACGCGCTAGAGTCGTTGCATAAGGGTACGTACATACATCAATGCGCATATGCAACAGGCGGCAGAGCTAACACCGTGCAACAGCATCACAGACTCCTGTAAAGCAGCGGACCGTCAAAGTCTCTGGAGTTGTCGATGCCATCTGCCGACACGCGTTTGCCGATGGCCTTGACGAGGATGCTTTAGAGACCGTCGTACACATTGCAGCAAGGAAGACAGAATTGGATCAAACAAGTGTGACAACATTGATCAAAAATCTATACCCTGCGCAGCGAGTATCCGGCGATGTCGTTGTCATCATTGTAGCCGCACTAGGCCAGGGCCAGGGCAAACCTTCGCCGGGCACTCAGGACAGCCTTGTAAAGTGGCTTGCTTTGGTCCACGAGATCATGGAGAACGCCAATGTCTTATCGAGGCTATATGGCGTCCTTTTTGGGATGTTGGACATGATCAGTATTAGGTGTGCCACCACACTGAAAATTCACCTAGACCTTAAGCTAACTTGAACAGAACATCATTGTGCCATCTGCTCTCCTTGATCACTCGGAGGAAGCATGTGAAACCTTTCAGGATCCAGCAACTGTGAGTCTTTGCTCTCTATTGCGCAATGTTCTACCGCAGCACGGGCTAATTGGCCTTTCAGGCTTGAGCTGTCCCGTGGACTTGGTAACGAACCTGCCCTTCAAGGTCTCCTCCGCGTTTACAAAGACTACTACCCGGATGTCATCCTCGGAAGCGCTTCCACGAGCCGAAAGTCGTTTGCACCGGTGAGTTGCCCGTACCCTGTGTGAGGTTGGACGCAAAGCGGTGGCCTTACTGCAAGGCTGTGGCTCCATGTGTTACACTGGTGGTCTTTACTGATGGTATAGACTCCTGATGCAGAGTGGCGAGAGAGGGTGCGTGCGATTCAGGAAACTCGCACAGCGGCGGACAACCCCACATCCAAACAACACAACGGCTTCAAGGTCCTGCGGCACGGACCGAAGAGGACTAAGGCATCGGTGCTGCCTGATGTCCACACTTATCATGCTATTGAGGTAGGATCTCTGTAACCCATGTTCTGAGCCGGATACTAATATCGTGTAGAGCTCCGTGACACTGGAGGGTATTGACACGGTGGAATCTTTCGTAGAGATGCTTGACAGGATCGAGCCACCTGGGCAACTGGTCTCTTTTCTGACCGACCCACTTCTGCAGAAGTACGTCGATTTGAGGCCGTCGCCGGTGGTCTCTGCACGAATAAGCCTGTGGCTTGCGACATGCCTGGAAGATCAGATCGCTTCTACTGCGCTGAATGCGGAAGACCCTGCCTTGTTGACTGAATTGCTTGATGGTCTTTTACAGCATGCGCGATACACCAAGGTACGTATGGCGCATAAGCGAAAAACTTTCGTACTCACACCATCTTAGACTCTTCTGCCTATCGTGCCAGCTTTCCTGAGGGAGTACCTCGCTACTTGGAATGGCAATGGAAATATCGAGGCTGTGCTAGGTCTACTTGCCTACATTCCTGGATCTTCCTTCGAAGACGTCTATTCCGAATTCCTTGCTCCAGCAGAGCGCGCGCTACTCAGCAATGGTATTTCATCGTATACGTGTCTGGCCGGATTCTACACAGATATGCTACAACATCGTGTAGCTATACTTGCTCAAGAACAGCCTGAGCGTCGCCAGCCTGCACTCAGCTCGCCGGAACAGCAATTTCTGAAGGACTCGGTCTCGCACTTTGCGACATTCTCGACATCAATGCTCTTGTCGCCGCCCTCAAGTATAGGAGCTGAGGTAATTTCTTCGATTCTCGCCTACTGGGAGTTGCTTTCCACGTCCTCCAAGCCAAACGTCATTCCCATCTTACTCCCACCGATGCACCTTGTTTATTATCTGATGCAGAGTTCGTCAGCCGATGTGGTATCTCGCACTTGTGGCATCATTGGAAGTTACAAACAAGCTTTCGACGCGCATCCCAGGCCGGTCAAGCACTACTACCCTAGCGAGGTCACAGATGGCCTAAACTGGTGCCTGCGAGATGTCTACAACTTCTTCTGGGTCGCTCGTGGCCTGGCAGTCGCCGAACAAAAGTCCGTTGGCATGCATTGCCATTCAGTCCTACGCTCGTCACTTGACGCACATCTGAAAAGACTGGATCGAAATTATGCCATCAGCCACGTGTTCAACCTATCTCATAACGCGTGGCTTGCGTCAATGTCATCTGCAGCGTGGCATGCTCTTGAAGAAGAGGAGATTGATCGCCAAGGTCACAATCGAGCCACTATCAAAGCACGTAATGGCCCGGTCACCCAGCAAAGCCTGGCAAGCTTGAAAAACGGAGGCATCAGCGTGGACTGGGATGGCGCAGATGGATACAAAGTATTTGTACTCAACTGGCTGGCGGAGAGAGGCCTAGGAGGACTAAGAGCGCTGATGTTTGCTACCGTCACCGACTTGAAGACAGGTCACGGTACCTCGTAGCGCAATCACTGCTAGAGCAGGCAAACAGACGATGAACGCACAATACCCTATACTTTCGTGAACACTATGATCGTCACTTCCTCGTCAGCCTTCAGCCTCGCATACTCGGCAACGTTCCACGGCAAGTCGGAAGAGAGACTCAACAGCGATATTGGAGTCGCGTGCAACGCGTATCATCAGCCACAAGAAGCAGGATATTTTTGGTGTTGACCGTGGCCTTGTGGCTGAGCAACGTCATGTAACGTCTCGGTCCTATCCGAAAGCGCCGAAGATGCCGACTTACCCTCTCAACTCTTCACACGACATCATCAACATCGATGTGACCAAATTTGGCTGGCGCAAACTTGCTCACAGTAGAAATACCCGAAAAGAAGACTCACGATCAAGCTCACCGAAGATTGACACCTGCTCATCGTCCAACTGCTAGTGACTCCGCCCATGCCCAGGAGACAACGCACCGTCATGCGCGGTCCAGACCTGATAAACTTCCGGCAGCATCATCCTGCTTCTCTATGAATGAAAAATCCTGGGCGTTCGTGAACTGAGTCTCAAAGCAGGCGGCATCGGCACTACATCCGGGCTGTACAATTGTTTCAAATTTCTGCTGCCGAGCCTCATGACATCATACCCAAGCGCGTGCGCCGACGCCACCACGCGTCGCGCACGTCTGGGGAAGTTACGTCTTAGCAAATTTCCGGCTTTGCTGAGTGAAGAGGCCAAGGTGAAGCTACGGAATTCGGCAAGGACCTCAGCCCAGAGGCGTTGCACAGGGCGGGGATCCTGCTTGCGTATAACGTGGCTGACGTTGTTGTCTTGGAGCTTGAACCTGATCTTCAGAATGTGATGCATGAAGTATATAACCCCTGAGAATATGGGCAGAACGAACATTATCCAACTCAAGACGCCTTTTCACATTCAACCCTCCGGACGGTTTTCACAAGACCACACCATTCTATCTACCCTTCTCTCTCACCTGATCATCAAGCAGCCACAATGATCTTCACCCGCCTCCTTTCTCTCATTCTGCGATTCGCGCAATTCGTCTTCGCAGCAGTCGTGCTGGGGTTGACATCGTACTTTATGTACCAGCGCACACGCAATAGTGTCGGACCATTCGGGCGCACCGTCTTCGCCATCGTATGGTCTTCGCTATCGATCCTGTTCTCCATCATCTGGATGATTCCCACCAAGTCGACCATGGCTTCGTACGGCTCTGATCTCGGTACGCCATCTTCTTTCAAACCATCCGTTGTTCTCTCGATCATGTAGCTAACAGCGTCGTAGTGTTCACGGCTGGTTGGGCCGCCGTCTTCGCGCTGCTCGTTATCTGGTTCAACGGCGCGGACTGCGGGAGCGCGTGGGCTTGGGGCGGCATCAGTTTGTCGCGCAGCAACTACTGCGGTCAGTGGAAGGCTGCGCAGGCTTTCTCTTTCCTGAGCTTGGTCTTCTGGTTCACGACTTTCGTCTTGGGTGTGATTACCTACCACCGCTTGACTCGCCAGCCTGTGATCAACGAGGGCCCTGGGTAAGTTTTGTTCAATGAGTGTGACATAGTCATGTGCTAATTGTGCTGTAGAAAGAGCTTCGGTGGTCGCCGCTCGCGAGTCTAAATGTGAGGTAGGATGGGATGTAAATGGACGTGGTCGTGCGAGGCCGGTCGGAGGGTGGAGAGGCAGTCACCGCACGACCGGGATGAAGGGATCTAATCTCCCCTGACAATGTTACGACTACGAGTGTATGAAACCGATGAGTTGCGTTTTAGCGAGCGAAAGAGCGAAGTTAGATGTCTCCTTTATGTCGTCAATTACGATACCTGATAGCTTCTGAATCAATGTTGTACCTACAACATATCTGCAAGTATGCCAACACACTGAACTACCACAACCTGTGCTATCACACCATCTTGGAGTACCTCACGGCGAGTACTCTTCCTTTCCGTCCCTGTCGACTCTTACCCATTTTGCTTTGTCCATGCCGTGGGTGGCGCGCAGATGGCAAGTCTGGTCGTAGCGACAGTTGCCAAAATCCCGCTCGTTAGCGCACTGGTGGCCCAGGTCTGCATGTTGTCAGTATACGGTTAACATCTCAAGAATGGAAACTTACAACAATCAATATCCTCGCAGTATCTGTTGTTGCACGCCAAACTGCGGGCCTTGTAACGCAGAGCGACCAGCTCGCCTGGTGTGAGTTTGGGCTCATGCTGGAATTGGCAGAACTTACCCTGGGTACACGAGCCACCCAGGTGGAAGTTGTTGCACATCTTCTTTCCGTTCTTCTTCATACGGGCATCGAGAGCCTCGACGGATGCTCTATCGCGAGCCGGAAGCGGCTCGTCAAGTCTTTGTTCTAATTTGTTGTAATAAGCATATTTTCGCTTGGTGTTTGCTTTGGAAGGCGCGATCGAGATGCTCTCCGCACGCCGTGAGCCGGTGTTGCCAACACTAGCCCATGTGGAATCATCGCTGGACTCGGTCGCTGATACGGATGGAGCTGGAGTGCTGGGCGACGGCGAAGGGCTAACAACCGCCGCAACCACAGGTTTTACGGGAGGTGTGCTACTCATCATTGAGCCATTCATCAACGATCGCACAACGACTGGAGACTGAGCTGGATGTGGTGGGCTTTGGGCTGCAGCTACGGTAGTACTGATGGCAGGAGCGAAGTCAGGCAAAGGCTCATTCCTGAAGACATCGTCGAAGTTGGCGCGTTTGAAGTTCGGCAATTCAACGAACCCTCTGTACGCTGGTGTCGATTCCAACAAAGTGATACGACCCGCCTTGGCCTCGTTATGCTTAAACTGATCAAGATTGAGGAGATAGCCGGCGTCGTGGCAACCGCCAAAGATGATGTGGCGACAGGTCGGGTTGTCACTGAAGGTACGCAGCATTTCTACCATACTGTCAGTTCACATCCATGTCATGATCCTCTTGTGACATACCTTTAATCTTGTGGTCGGCTCGCTCTTTGCCTTGACCAACATCGATAATACTAAATAGGGGCTGGTTGACGCTAAAGCGCTGTGCGAATGTCCGCATTTCCGAAGAATGACGCAGAAGACCAATTTGCTGCAGCTTGAAAGCGAGTTTGTCAAGACTTAGGTAGACCTGCACCATGACTGGCCAGTTGCCGGAGTTGCTGTATAGAGTCGAGATGTGGCTGTGGATAGCGTGGTACAGGCGAGAAGCAGCTTCTGAGCCGCCATCACCGCCAGCTGCCTGGAGTAGGGAATCTTGAAACTAGGAGATGTCAGCACGCGTGCCTTGAGTGAAACAACCTCTCCATGTACGCCATTCATGTGACCACAGATGTTTGCAGCACCAGCAAGCACATGTACCTGGGATTCGATGAGGCAGCGGTCATGTACCATGATGTGCTGAAGCAGTGACAAGAGAGAGGATCGAATAACTTACAATAGCACCATCTCCATCGATGAGGGCCAGGACGAATGAACTTGAATCCTGCAATTACGTATTAGCACAAAGAAAGCTGAAGTTCGTTGTCTGCGCCACACGGACGGGATTCTGACAAGCAGAGAGCTTGGTCATATAAAGCAGGAGCAGAACGGCCAAGTTCGAACAGAAGGGTGCTCCATGGGTGTTGAAGACTTACCACTTGACGTTCATGCTCGCTCATAGCCCTATGGACTTCTTCGACCCTAGACTGATAGTTCCTCCTGTTGTCTCGTTCGCTTAAGTAGTCGCTCTTCAGCTCTAAATGTTCTCGCATCAGACTGGAAAACTTCTCGATCAATTCCTGCACGTGTCAGCAGTCGTTCAGACCGCGCCTTCCGTCTCAGCTTCACTCACATTAACGAGGTTTTCTCTGGCATGATCAACAGCTCGGAAGCTCTCCATTTGCCTTAGATAGTTGTTCAAATCGTAGTTCGCCATACTGAGAAGTCCGACCATGGGTTTGAGCCAAGTTGACCGTGGTCCGTGAGAATCAGCGACCTCTCGGTGCAGGAGCCAAGTGCTAGCTCGTCTTGGATGGAAGTGGGGTCAACTAGACAGCGAGACTTTGTCCTGAGGGTATGTGAAAGGCGGACGCGCAAGAACCGTCCTATATTCCAGCGAACGATGGCTGCTACACTGGCAAGGCGCAGTGATTCTCCGCATGAGGTTGCTGTGGTGCGGGGCACAGGCGAGCGTATCGCTGGGCGTGGACATCGCACACGAAGGGGACGAAAACACTCAGCCCACCACCTCATGCACTTCGAGCCGCCATTACCGTATCAGCGACGTGCACGAAGCTGACAGAAGCTTCGAGCAACTCACCGGTCGTTTGCGTATGCAGTATCATGCCAGGCGACAATGCATTGCTTCGACCGCGCTTAGTGTTCACAACGGTGCCGCAACGCCCACCCAATAGCTGGCTCGCACATTATGGAAATTTGAGGCTCCAATGTACTCGTAAGCGTCGCAAGCTCCGCCAAGTGAGCTGCAAAGACGAGTACGTTCAAGGATGGCACAGATGAGGTCCTGCGGACCGTTATTAACGCCGAACAGCTCCGCTTGAGCTGAGCTGAGCTTCTCCACAAAATGACGCTGATCTCGAATCATCGTGCTGCGTACAACGTAGACACGGAAGCATTCCACATTTACGTTTAGATATGCTTTCTAGTTAGATATGCATAACTAGATAGCCTCGAGCAGTAATTGAATGCGCAGTACCTGTGCCACAAGCTTCCTCGTCTCTCACAGCTTCCACTCCCCGTCAATCCAAGTCGCCTACAGCATAGAACCTTCGGCACCTCAACACCATGGCCGCCAACAAGGGGGCCTGCACCAACCCGCCATACGAGCTTCTCTACTGGCCCGGCATCCCAGGTCGCGGCGAGTTCATCCGCCTCGCCTTTGAAGCAGCGGGCGTGTCCTACAAAGACACAGCCAACGAGTCTGAAAATGGTACGCTCTATGTAGCGAGGCGCCTTACGCAGGTGCTCGCCAGCATGCATGCCAGCCTCCAGCTATTGCTAACACCTTGTACTTGCAGGCGTTAAAGAGGTAATCGCCCTCATCGACCCCTCGTCCACCGGCACGGACGGCAACCCACCGCTCTTCGCGCCCCCCGCACTACGCATCCTGAGCGCCAGCCCCGGTGACGCAGCGCTCATAATCTACCAAACGCCCTCGATCCTCTCCTACCTAGGCCCTAAGCTCTCACTCGCCGGGTCCAATGAGGCAGAAGCACAGTGGATCCTGTCCCACACGCTGACAGTGCTGGACCTCAACAACGAAGCGCACGACGTGCACCACCCGATTGCCGTCGCGAAATACTACGAGGAGCAGAAGGAGGAAGCGTTGAAGAAGGCAGCGGACTTCAGGGCGGTGCGGGTACCTAAGTTTCTGGGCTTTTTTGAACGCGTGTTGAAGGGTAACGAAGAGAAGGGGCAGGGCAAGTATCTTGTGGGTGGGAAGCTGAGTTATGCGGATACGACGTTGTGGAATGTACTGAGTGGTTTGCTGTTTGCGTTTCCCAAGGAGATGGAGGCGAGGAAGAGCGACTACAAGTTGCTGTTTGGGACGTTCTACGATAGCTTGAGGGAGACAAGTGGTGTGAAGGAATACTTGGCGAGTGACAGAAGGAAGCCTTTCAACATGGGTGTGTTCAGACACTACCCTGAGCTGGACCGTCAGTAGACCAGATATCATGACTCGAGACGAATGAGATACGAGGCAATGACCATCACAGTAAAGAAATCAATTGCGGTGGTATCTTGAAGGGGTGCCCATCGCGGGCTCATATCATCTCATTCCATTTTGATGCCGGATACATGATGCATTTCCGAAGCCGAACTCCTGAACCGTATGATGCCCAGGCTAAACAAAACAACCGCCAGCAGCACGCTTAGTACTCAGCGGCGGACTGGGGGAACTCGAAGTTGACGCCCTTGCCGGTGAGGCGCTTGTAGACCTCGGAGTAGGTGTCGAGCCTGTAGTCGACACCGCCGCGCTCCTTCTCGTCAAGAACGACCTTGAGGATCTTGGAGCCGTCCTCGCGGGTGCGGAGGCGCTTGCCGACAATCTCGACGGGGTAGACGAGGTCGGACAGGATGGCGTCGTGGACAGCGGTAAGGGTCCTGGACTGGGGGCGCTTCTGGGTCTGGCTGGTGCGGGACCTGTTGGAGCGCTTGGGGCGGGGCAAGATGCGACGGGAAGCAACGATCAGGACGTGGCGGTCGGAGAACTTCTTCTCCAGCTCGCGGGTGAGGCTGGGGGATATTAGGACGTGATGCGCATGTTGTTCTGGACAATTCTGCTTACCGCTGCTGGGCCTTGTGCCAGCCCTGGAGGAGAGGGACGGGGACGAAGATTACAATAGCCTTGCGTCCATGGCCAACCTCGATCTAAGAATCCTGGTGTCAGCAAATTGTGCTGCCCAGTGCCCACCGCCTCTTCGATCACAGTATCGGTGTGGGTATGCGGGTGGACGGTATTCGAGCGCGTCGGTGCGCTGTAGGTGGAGGCTTATCTTACCTCGCGGGCAGAGACGAACTGCAGAGGGCGCAGAGAGCTCTTCAGGTCGGGGACATTGTTCTCGAGGTCAGTCAACGCCTGCGCAATTGTTAGTCTGCGATCGCATGCACATTGGGAGGGGAAACTTGCGTTGGCGATGCTGGTCTCGATCTCGGAAGGGCTCTGCCTCGAGGGCGAGTTGGGAGCGATCTTGTTCAGGGCGTTGGCAGACATGTCGGCGGCTGGCGATGTTAGTTTGTCGGCTGGTCAGAAGGTATTCAAGATGCCGGCTTGCGAGGACAAATTGAAAGGTGCGTCTTGGCGGCCTTTCGCTTAGCGAGCGTTTGGGTCAGGCGCTAGCTCGGCACGAGCCCTGTGCTTCCTCACGAAGCACGTGATCTTGCTGAACATCGATGACCTGCTTCGTTCCTGCATATGGATTATAGAGTCTTGTGGAAGACGTGTGACCGAAGCTATGTGTGGTGTTGATGCATTATAGGGTGAAAATTGGCCCCTCGTCCTTCTATAACCGATCGATGCACATGCAGATGTGCTCACCTGCTGGATTCAAACAGCTCCCGCTCCCGACAACACAACCTCACTTCGCAGACAATTACAACCTCTCAGCACTCACACGATGATGCGCTATGTCTCCGCAAATCTTCACAGCTGACTTTGAATGCTGCAGTCGCCGCTCGAGCTAGAAAGTGCCTGTTCGAAAAGGACAGCATGCAGGTCCCTAGCAAGTGCGCACCACGTGCAAGCAAGACATGCCAATTCAAAGATCGAATGTCAGCAGAACGATGGGCAATAGCTTATCGCATGTCCACACAAAGCCCTGCCGATAGGCCATCGACGCTCCGACGTCTCATGAGAAGCTGCGGCAGGAGCTTCCAGCATGAGCCACTCCGTTATGTTCGCCCCCCCCCCCTCCCGTCCGGCTTATATACCTGTTGCCAGAATTGTCTCCAGAAGGGCTTGTCAGATGCATCCTATTTCATTGCTCGATTGAGAGTCGTTACGCATGTCTCTCATACGGGTCGACTCGCGCGCTGCATCTCAGAAGTGACCGACATTCCGGATTCGACGAGAGAATGTGCGCACGTACATCTTGCAGAATACATACTGGGAGCGTGCTTGGATTGTACAAGAGGTGTTTCTCGCAAGAAAGCTCACCTTTTGGTTACATTCTATGTCAATGGATGCAAAGCTTCTTCGATCGGTCGCCGCATGTATTTTCAAGACACCTTTCTCCCTCAATGGAATCAACCAGCCGATATTTGACTACACTTATTATCTTTATTATCAACTCAGCCTCTCTCAGAAAATCGAGAAGTCCAGCCTCGTGTCACTGCTGAATAGGTTTGCCAGCAAACGATTTGCAGACCCCTTGGATAGAGTGTTCTCATTATTGTCGCTCTCTTATGCGGGCAACATTCAAGTAAACGACGAAATCCCTGCGGATCATTTGGCATACGAGCTACTGCGAAACCACAAGGGGCAGCTGTGCATCTGCTCAGTGATGGTCGTTATGCGGGCGCTCCAGCACGAGGATCAACGACAGTTGCGTGACTGGGAGGACTTCTACGACCAGGGGAGACATGATGCGCCTTGGATCGAGTTCGTTGTGCCCGCATCCGAGCTCAAATTTCATCGGTACGACTCGGACAAGATCTCGAAGAATCTCCGTTTCCTGAACTCTCAGCTGTACAAGATACCGCATTTGGTCGAATTCAGTGAGATATGCCAGTTTGCAGGTATACGCAACTTTTCCCAGGGTCGCGGCGACCGCACGCCCAAGTGATCAAAGATTAGACAGAGCTTTCGTGCCACACCGAACGACCGTAAAAGAACCAGCTACACTGTGCGGATCGCGTTGGGGATTTTCCATCACAGGCATCAGACTGCATCCGCCTATGTGAGAAAGCGAAGTCAACCTCGACAGATGGAGCGCTTGGACCTATTCGTCTTGGATGGTAATGCATGCCCTGATTCAGAAAGTCATTGTCAATATCTCATCGGACCGCACTCCGTGTATGTCATAAAGGCTCTGTAATTCGCAGGTGGAAGAGCTTCATACTTGCCTAAGGAAAATAACGCGGCTCGGCGGTATCATAGCTGTGCCATCTCCAAGAAGATGGATGACTTTGGCTGTGAGGCTGAGCACTTGGGATTCGGCTATGCAGGAGGGCGCTTAAGCTCCATGCACTGCCCCGTCTGCCATCTTACAGCCCTGTCAGCGTCCCGTCTACCTTAATTCTACATTACTATACCGCCTGGCCAGGATTTTCAAGCTGCAGGCTACATTGTCACCCGTGCAGCGTTGCGGTTCCAAGTTGTTTTCTGATCTACATTCTGCTCGGTCCAGCCCAGCTGACATCTGTGTTCCGATCCACTCCGGGGTCTGTCCACAGGATTGTGTGAAGCGATTTGATCTGCTAGTATCCCTTCTCCTTAGTAACGGACACCTCACAGTCGTGCCGAGCGAGCAAGATTGAAACCCGCGACCTTAGCGCTCATTCTCAACTGAAATATTCCAACACAAGCCACTCGATCACAACCGATCCTCATTGAAAGCTTGACGGACGAGCCTTGTCCGTCAAGAAGGCAGTTCGCGTGAAACCCTTTGGGGAATTCAGAAATCCATCAGATTCTGTTACATGAGTCTTTGACATGGGACGGTGTGCAAGCCTTCGCCTTCATACTGCTACATCGCATATGCATAGGTACACAAGTAACGAGACTTAACGTGATTGTTGGAAAAATTACTGAACCCTCATGTATGTTATCTCAAATCTAACGGATACGTCCTGTAACGATTAGCCATTTGCACAGTCACAGTACTGACGTGCAGACGATTCACCTTGCGTCACATCGCATTCCTACAGTGCCCACATTCCAGAATCATCGTGTTTACCAAGTCTGTGCAAAGCTTCGGGCACTGGTCCTCTTCTCCTCGTTCGATAAGCCGACCAGCCCGTCATCAAAGATGTCCTTAGCATTCCATGGCTCAGAGATACATAGGTGCGGACCCGAATCCTCAAAGGCAGCCGGCGAGGATCTTGAAGAAGAGATCTATCGTCTCCAAACGGTAGCGAATGGCCGGAAAACCGAACAAGCCCTGAACCCAAAACGGGAAACACTGAACCCTATGACGACATCTCCGGTTCTAGCTGATGCCTACGAGGTCTCAGTTGTTGTATCTTGTTTCAGTGCACTCACGTACCAGGAGCTATGGTCTGGTCCGCAGGACCTCTTTCACCACGAGCCGCTCAACCATCAGAGTCCCTCTATACGACTCCTGCGGATATCGAAGAATCTATCACGTGAAGGCCTGATACAGTGTCAAATCTATCATGCAATGATAGAGGCGACTTACGATTGTCTTTTCTATGTGCGGGGACTATTCGGCACTAGCGTCAACGAACGAGACAATGGGATCTGAGCTTTCAACGAGCAGCGTGCACGAGCAGAGAGTCATTCTATTGAGCAACCGGCTCTTCCTGATCCGTCCAAATCTATTTGCATTCCTGCAGATGGCACGTCAAAGTTTCGATGGATCAGTGGCTTTTGGTTCGCGCAATCCAATGTGGATTGATGCGCTGTGCATCGATCATACGAACATACTCGAGAGGAATCACCAAGTTGCGTAGATGGGACAAATTTACTCTCGCGCTTTAACTGTTCATGTATGGCTTGGAAGTATGTCACGACCGGTCTCGAGCTTGTCCTCGGAATCCGATACGCCGGCTCTCGCTCTCTGGAGGGACTGGAGGCAGACGGTGAGCGAGATTTTCAAAGGCGAGGGAGAACCTGACGCCAGTCTTGATCAACTCCTCTTCAACTGCCTTGTACAGAATCCGTATTTGCAACGCGCTTGGGTTATGCAAGAGATATTTCTCGCACGCGAGCTTGACATCTGGCTTGACATGGTTTCCATGGGACAAATAGAATTACGTCGAGTGTGCCGTCGCGTTCTGAACGTACCTTCAATCAAGACGCAGACTTTTAAAAAGCCATCACCGTATCTGAATTCCCCTATGAGCTTTAGTCGGAAGTACATAGCTTCAGACCTGATCTCGCTTCTTGCCCAATTTCGAGGCGGAGCATGTTCCAATCCCCTGGACCTGATATTTTCATTACTATCACTGTGCCCTACGGAGGGCATGCAAGTGAAAGTCGATTATTAGCTGTCCTTTGCTTAATTGATCTACCAAGTGCTTCATGCTCGGCTCTGGTTCTGCTTTAAGCCTAACAACCGCGAACGTTATTGACAGATGCGGAAATGGAGGGGTTCGGCACATTCTGGCTCGAGTTCATTGTGAATGTGAGAGAAGACACGATTAGACGACGCGAACTCTCAAAAGGATCCTTGGTACCGCACCTTTCGCGGCAGGTTCATCGAAGTGTTTCTTTTGAAAACATCTGTACAGCAGTACAGGGCTCTTTTCGAGAGAATCTTTTCGGAAAAGGCTACGAGATTGTGTCCGCTCAAGGGTCTGGAGAGTCTCCAGTGCGCTTGAGCTTAGGAGCGATCATGGGAATGCTTAACCGCACTTCCAACATTGCTCTTTGTGACAAGGCCAGAACTGGTACTCGAACGCCTCTCCTTTCGCCAAACTAGGATTGGTTCAGTAGAAGCAGCAAATGCACAGAGCACTCGATCGAAGGGACCCACGGCTGTAATACAAGGAAGAAGCCAATCGATAGGCACGCTTGCACAGCCCCACACGCTCGCTACCTGTACTATCGACCTTCAGCGGTTCCTAAGTACCGACGTCACGGCTTGCGAGAGGATATCCTTCGTTGAATCGGACCATCGCGGTTGGCAATCACTTATATGGCAGCGTGTGTGGGCTCGCATATGAGTTGTGGTCGTCCATGGTCGAGCAGACGGATTTCTTCGTCTTTACGCAGGACATCTCTTGTTGCGGTGTAAAGTGCAAATGTAAAACGAGTGGATTCTGTTGTTATGTTCTGTTGTTCTGCTTGTGTCGGCCTCTCGAAGGCTGGCTGCGGGGTCTGTTTTCATGACGTGTTCGTGATGCAGCTGAGGTAAAAGGTGCTCAGCAACATGAGGAAGCATCACCAGACCACCGCCAGCAACACGTGATCTGCTTCCCCTCACAACCATTACATCTCTCGTCTGCCTATTTGTTTGAAAGAAACAGTGCCTCGACACGACGTTAAGCAAGAACTTTCAAGAAGGTCGCCATCGTAGCGTTGTATATCAATCTACACGGCCAGCGTAAGTATATACAAGAATGCCAACAATAGTGGCTTGTTATGATAAAGAACCCCTTCCAGTCTCCAGTCATGCATCTCGCATGTGCATCTCCCTAGGGATCCCACCACCTGACACGATCAAATCTCCCTTCTAAGCAAACGCTTAGAAAGAGAGCGTGTTACCAGCAGTGCCAACAACAGCCGCCTTGACATTGGAAGCAGCGAGGAGGCTAGAGACAGTGTAAGGCGCCTTAGTCAGAGTGCCCTTATCAGCCGTGCTCGTGCCATCACCGAAGTCGTTGCCAGACTCAACAGCATAGCCAGAGTCGGTGGAGTACAGGGCCTTCTTGGAGCTGACGAAGACGTTGTTCTGGACGAGGAGCTGCGCGCCCTGGCGGGTGTTGATACCGTCAGACACGTTCTCGTAGTAGTTGTTATAAAAATGGCCGGTGCCGAAGCGGAAAGAAGGACCACGGGAGTTGAGGTTGTATAGGTAGTTGTTGGCGTAGGTCACGGTCAGGTGACCCTTGTCCTCGGATCCATTCGAGTCGGAGTGACCGATCAGCGAGGCCTTCCAGTGGTCGTGGAGAACGGTGTTGGTGACGGTGATGAAGTCGGCGGCATGGGTTATGTCGAGGAGACCATCGTAGTAGTCCTTGTCGTGGTCACGGTCGGATGAAAGGTCGAGGTGATCAACCCAAACATTGTCCGACTGGAATTATTGTTAGTACGTGGTGAAAGAAATTGGATGCGGGGAGGACATACCTTCTGAATAGCGACAGCATCACCACCAACGACCTTCTTGACGGCAAAGTTACGAAGGATGACGTTTTTGACATCCTTGACTGTGATAGTGAAGTTCTCAAGGATGACCTTGCTGTTCTGTCCGATTACGGACTTGTTGCTGCCGACCTTGATATTATCACCGGAGCCCTTTATGGGACCAGTGATGAGCACAATGGCCGCGTCGTCACCCTTGACGGCAGCGGTGAGCTCGCTGAGAGTGGACACCTTGACGGTCTTTCCGCCCTTACCACCAGTGGTTCCGCCGTTGGTGGTAGCGTAACCGACAGTGGCTACATCCTCAAGGGAAGCAGCACGCTTAACAATGTTACGCTTGACATTGATCATGCTAGGAGTAGGCGCTGCCAGAGCGGTGATGGCCGTAAGGCCGAAGGAGACAAAAGTGCTGAACTTCATTGTATTGAAGTATTGACGAGTTCAAGAAAGAATGACTGTTGATTGAAGCGAGGGACTGAAGTATTGGGCTTGAAAAAGAATGGAAGAGCTGGGCTAAAGAACAGTATCACAGCAGAGTGCTTTCTCTTAAATGGAAACGGCAGAATCCAAGATCCGGCTTGTCATGTGTTCGTAGCCTCACGTTGATTTTCGAGCCCTACGCTCCGTCCAAGTATGCCCAAGCGTCGTCCCTATTACTTTGTTTCGACCGTTTCCGCACCATTAACTGAAGCGTTGCCAAGTTTGGCCACGACAGCGGAGGCCATGCGATCTTGACGGGGCACATCTTATTCCGATCAGGGACCGCAAGACAAGCAGATTCAGAGGATGCTGGGCAGGACTCGGAACGAACATGTTTGAAACGGCTAACCAGATGCAGTTGTGACACTCCACTCTTCGCGCTGCCAAGCCAAGGGGCCTTAACGTCGAAACATCGCGGTAACTCGAAAAGGCGAAAACAAGATTGAGCGGATCTCTGCACACAGGCGTAGGTATTTCCTGTGGAGAAAACCATGTCTAATCCCACATGGGCAACTGTGACATGCCAAGAACCATCATTATGCGACGACAGATGTCGTGATGGTGCGGCATGAGATTGGATGTGATGTGAATTCGCATCATTGCAAACATCAAGGAGCGTAAAGTGCTGTTGTACTTGTCAAGGATGATTGCAGACGTTCCGTATTGCCAGTGCCATGTTGTGTTCTCGATCTCGGACTCGGAGCGATTCAGCTTGCACACCTCCAGCGCCTGACTCGGGTGACAAGTGAACACCTCCGGCGCGTACGCGGTCGTCCAGGGTGAATTGAAATAGCTTGCAGGAAATCGACGCCTAGCTGCATCTACGTCAGCTTCATTTACATTGAAGGACCGCACACTATCGCCTGAAGGTCGATCTTTTCGGTTGATGAGAGAAGAGCGAGTAAAGCGTATTGACCGTACCACTGGGGTCCACACCGGGAACGATGGAAGCAGTGACTTGATGAATGCGACAGGTAGTGAGCTTGGTTTACCGAAGTGCTTGAGTTTGGTAAGCAATAGGTACATGTCCCCTGAAAGTGGTTCGATGCCAAGAGATGGTAACGAATGTGGGGTGACTTGATGGAGTGCACCGCAGAACATCAAGTCCTTTTGTTGATGTTGAACACGACCTATGATGTTGTGACCGCTCAAACAACCATTCACGTGGGAGTCGGTACAGCCACGGCGACTGCTAATCTTATGCCAAAGGCCAGGAAACTGGGCGAAGTCGATGTCAAGTTGAAGCTGGTCAAAGTGTTGCTGAAGGCTTGTAGGACGGGATACCTTTCTTGAAACAGATGCGCAACAGGGTCGACAGTAACACAGCCATGGAATAGCTTCCACTTGAATGAGTCGGTTCAGATAAACGTGCATACGGTTTCATTGACTTGAGGAAGCCTTCAAAAGCACAGTGCTCTCAACTCATGCAAGCTTTACGTTCTTTTTCATGGAGGGGGGATGCATGGTACCACAATCATACGTCATAATTGAAGAGCTGCTGCTACATTCCTATGGTATGTTGTTTGCTGATTGTTGGTGGAAGAGCTGCCTCGCGTTCCAGGGTCATATAAGTTGTCAAATTTAGACCAAGAACGTAGTGTGGGAGCGGATACTCATCGAACAGCAATTTATGGGTGAAATAGTCTTCATAAGATCTGGACTGTGCTGCTTCTTGTATTTTGCTAGTGCTCTAATAGAGAAGCTGTGCTGTCACGTGTGATTGCGCATATGACATCAGATCGCTCAAAGCGGCAATCACCTTGGAACGCAGTGGTAAAGAGGCCAACGAAATCCTTTGGCAAGGCAGCAACAATTTGCAAAGAAGATAAATAAACGTTCTTTCCACTACCTCTCCCAATAAATACGCAACTGCCTTGCTCGCGCTATCGCCTGACCTCTACTGCATCCTCAGTCCTGATCGCAGACCGCGCGTTCTATACTCCCTTTACAACCTGCGCTGCGTCATACACGTCTCCAAGATGCCGCCAATCCCAACCTTCAAGAACGCGCCCATAAAGGCTGACGGCGTCACCCCTCAGACCGACGATGGCTCGAACCCAGCCCCAACACCCACCTCGCGCTACGTCCCCGCGACAACAACCGTAGATTCCTCCCTCCCTCTAGCGCCCCAGCCAGGCGCCCGTCCAATACCAACCGCCACTGCGTCCGCTGACTACAACAGCCCTCCGGCTCCACAGCCAGGCTATACCGCAGCACACATCACAACCGAGACGCGCGTGCAGGCGCCGCCTCCACAATTCACACAGCCGCCGCCGAGCGACTCGCAGCTCGCCGGGCGCTCGACAGTGACTTCGACGACGGCGAGTAAGCCGGGGCCTACGAAGTTGAACCTCGGACCGGCGGCTAGCCCGTTCCAGCGTGCGAACGCTGGCGGCGTGGTGCCTTCGGCGATTGCGACAGATGGAGACAGGAGGAGCCTGGAGCATCCGCCGGGCTATCAGCAGGCGCCTGACAATGCGCCGTACACGCAGGGTGGTGGTATTGGTGGCGGTGAGAGTACGGGGGGCGGCATTGGGGCCCAGGCGTGGAACATATTATCGAGAGCTGGTGATGCTCTCAAGGGTGCAGAAGAAGCAGCATGGAAAGCGGCCAACGGGAAAAAATGATCAGCAGGCTGGCTAGGCACGTGCTGTTGTAGAACGATGGTCACGAACATCACGCAATGAGACGATATTTTGTCAAGGAAACCCGAATCTTTCTATGAACCGCTGTTTTTCCCATGCTCCAAGCGATGAGAACTGAACACCTAGGAAAGGGGTAAATGGACAAAGCAATGCAAGCCGGATATGACGAGTAGTACAGGGCAAAGTAAAGTACAAGGTGTTTTACCACCGGTTCGTGCTTTCCGTGACGGGCTTGATGTGCTCCATCATTCACCTCTACACACTCGCACTCGCGTCGCGATCATCTGCTTCCACCACGTGAACTCGTTTTGGGGTATCGAAGAAAGGCGGAAGGCGCTTAACCAGATCCACCCTTGTACTTCTTGCCGAAGAGGATGAGCTGGGCCTGGTCGTAGATGGACAGGACACCGGCACCGGCAACACCACGGAGGATGTTGGCACCGGCACCCTTGAAGAGGGACTTGATGCCCTCAGCGGCGACGATCTGGCGGGCAGCATCCATGGTACCGTTGTACTTGACGGCCTCACCGGAGGTCATCATCATACGACGACGGATTGTGTCGAGAGGGTATGAGGCGATACCGGCACCGGTGGTGACGGCCCAACCAAGAGCGAAAGAGGCAAGGAAGTTACCCTCGAGGGAACCGGTGAGGAGGACAGGCTTGATCGAGTCGTACATACCGAAGTACAGACCACGGTAGACAACGATACCAGCAACGGAGGGCATGAAACCACGGTAGAGACCACCGATACCGTCGGAAGCGAGAGTCTTCTTGTAGACGTCTACGAGACCGTTGAACTGGCGCTCACCACCCTTCTTGGCGGACTTGGCGTCGTTGGCAAGACGAGTACGGGCGTAGTCGAGGGAGTAGACGAAGAGGAGGGAGGTGGCACCAGCGGCACCACCGGAGGCCAAGTTACCGGCCATCCACTTGGCGTAACCGTCACGCTCCTTCTTGTAGGCGAACATGGACTTGTATGTGTCGCGGAAAGCGAAGTTCAGGGCCTGGGTAGGGAAGTAACGGATGACGTTGGCGGTGTTACCACGCCAGAGGGAGAGGACACCCTCATTCTGGGCAGTGCGCTTGAAGCACTCGGAGATACCGTCGTACTTGCGGTCAAGACGGCCGGACTTAAGCATCTCATCCTGCGATGGGTGTTAGATGGGTTGTGATGATATGGTGATGAAGCTGATGCGTACCTGGTTTTGGATGAGGAGCTTGACACGCTCGATGGGAGCGGCAGCGGTCTTCGAGACGGCGGCGGAGACACCACCCATCAAGAAGTCGACTACGAAGCCGGGCTGAATCGATGTTAGCCATGCTAGGTTGGCAAGGGGCCAATTGCGGACACATCCTCAGCTGGCTGCCACATCTCAGCGCGCGCAATCCCATCTCGGAAAAAGTTCGTCCCGCATAGGCAGGATCGATCGATACCATTGAGATGAAAGTTCCGCTGATCGCTGGGTTGTGAAGCTGAAGCTGAAGAAGCAACGTTTGGCGATAAGGAGGAAGAGCATACCATGCCGAAAGCGGACTTGTCCTTTGTGTGTGTTAGCCATCAATTCTTGTCGTGGTGACTGGGAGTAAGCCTACCTGTTGAGCCGCCATTGTGAATAACGATCTCGTGGAGTGGAGAGTTGAATGGAAGATGAGGTTGGGTTGGGGAAGGGAAGCTATTAAAGCAGTTGGCAATGCAGATTTTCAATGGAGAAGGCGCGCTAGTGCTGCCAAGAGCGCTCAGGCCGCCGCTGCTCCGGGACCTCTTCGATGCCTCGGGGAGGCAATGCGTATTTCCAGAACAACATGCAGGCATTTTACTGGTCCTTTACATTACAAGAGCTGCAATTGAGCCGCAGGTTCACTGCATGCACATTGATGGTCTATCCAAGCTGGATCGTACTGCCATTGTTCGCTATCTTGCTACCGTAATCTCAAGGGAGCGGCTGCAAACGTTGCTGTAGCAGCCACACCATCGAAACTCTTTTGGCACAGCTGCGCACGCACTGCAATCTGGCAGCTCCCGCACTTATAGGTAGAGCTGTGCGAAGTAAACCGGGGCTTCACATGTGTTCAGATGCCTTATCAAGTTTGAACCCACCCTGAACGCGGTGCGGTGCGCTTCGCAGCGCTTCTCCTTTTCCAAGGGTCCGCCTTGAGCGCTTTTCCGCTGCCAACAAGTTCGGGCAATTTCGGGAGCGCCGGGCCAATTACGCGCGAGACGATGGAAAATTCGTGGCCCGGGTCCCGTTTACCTATTGAAAGGACCGTGGTTCGCCGTTGTTCAGGTGCTTCTGGACGCAGGTGAGGTCGCGCCGATGATGTCGTTTCGCTGAAGAGCTGTCCCTTCGACGGTTGTTCGACCAGGGCTGTCGGCTACGAGGCCTTATGCACGCAGCTGTGCGCTGTCAGAGAGTCCTGCACGCCATAACATTCTGTGGTCGCGCTGGGCCAATCAACTTTTTATCCTCAGACCGTCCTCTGGCACCCACTGTTTCGCTGCACGAACGGAACTCGTGCCGATACAGAACACGCAACCGAAAGCTTCCGTTATTTACGATCTGACGAGCTCCTTTCGAGTAGAACAGTTGGTCCACGACTCCTAGAAAAGTCAAGACCTCGCCCTTCATGCCAGTGGATTCCAATGGTCCGTTGTCGATCTTAGACCCCAACTTCAGGGTCAATGGAGTACCTCAACGCTTGAGGAGCGAGCACACATCAAGCACGATTCCTTCAGGAGTCAAACGCGAACTCACGCCGGCGCCAGCACATCTCCTGCCATGTGCATGTCTATCCATTGGCTATATGAAGCATATCGGCGCACTCTGAACCCCGGATATTATAAGACAGAAGGTCGGAGTGAAGACGTAGAGGCTGGAGCTACAATTGGCGCTCAACAAGAAAGTGGAACTGGTTCTTGACGCTGAGAACTGCTTAATACACGTAGATTCAAGGCAAGCACACAGCGACCGAATTCCAATTCCCCGCGACCCCTCGAGCATGACGTACGGCGACAGCTATCGATCTCCTCGCCGATAAGGCGTCTATCTCAGACGCGAGGCTAAAACAGCAAGCCTGCTGTAGAGAGATGGTCGAAGGGACGACCGAGGCCAGAAAGCGAGACAGATGAGTGCGGAGGTTGAACACACGACGGCTGAAGCCATCAAAACACCTTTCGAAACCCCACAATGCGCATGGGCTATCTAGTCCTCGCCTTTGGTGGCGAAAGAATAGTCGACGCTCACGTCGTCCTCGGGCGCAAATCTGACACATGGGCAACGACGAAGTGGACAGGATAGCGCTTTTCAAACTTGTGATGATTCGACGGCCGTATCCACAGCCATCGACGAAGCCAGGGAGTAGCCGAGCTGTGACCGAGCAGTTCACCCAGGATCGACTCGCGCGCCGCTAGCTCACCGGCTTAGCGCACGCCACTTGTCTCCACATTGCACACTACGCTACGCTCCCGCAATGACTCGGTTGTACCTGCAGGCATCTCTGGGCCTCACATCGAACGAGACACTCTTGCCAAGGCTGCGGAACACAGGAGATATAAATGACGCGAATGGGATCGATGTCGATGCGTAAGAAACAGTGTCAGTCATGTGCCACTTTTGTTTTGGCACCCGTGGCGAAGCTGCATGATCTGCGAGCTGAAAGCTGACGGCATGCTGCAGACCGCACATACAACGGCAGGCACGGAGGCTGCTTGATGTCACCGATACTTCGAGCGCACTGGTCTCCACCTACGCTCAATTAACTCAGACTCTTTTACACAATTTTCGTATTTGTACTACAAATCTTACGTCCATGGGCGATCCTATCTACGAGCCAATCGATTATGGGTGCGCCGAGATGCGGTTGTTTGAGATCAAGCTAGGCGACTACGAGGATGCTCTGGAGATAGATTTGAAGCGGGCACACCTTCCTGAAGATTTCAGATATTCATGGCACTGTCTTATATTTGGGGTCAAGAGATGTCGCCATGACCGTGCATGGTCAGTGGGGTGCCGGTCTTCATCAAGGAAAACCTCGGCGATGCTCTACGTTACTTTCGGAAGCACTACCCTTCTACATTGCTCTGGGTCGATGCGTTGTGCATCAGCCAAGCAGATCTGGACGAACGAGCTTCCCAAGTTGGCCTCATGGTTTGCATCTATCGGCTGGCAGACGGCATATTTGCATGGTTGGGGAAGCCTAGGGATGAGGACAAAGTCCGTGCAGGGATGGCATTGATGCGATGCCTTCATAACCATGTCAGAGAGAACCACAAGAACAAGATCATCAATTCCAAAAGACCTTTCTGGGGCCAGATCACGGGAGTCATTGAGTATATGCACAGGACTGAGGGCACTGACTTGTGGTACGCCTGGAAAGGTATTCCCGAAATATTCACTTGCGCATACTGGACCAGGCTTTGGATTCAGCAGGAAGCCACGACGCCAAAGCCAATTCAGTTCTGGCTAGGTGATCACAGTCTGGATGATGGCCCATTTTGTACTGTGGGGGACTGGCTCGCAGTGTTCAGCAATGATTCAAGGTTTCCGGACAACTTCCGCAGAGCTTGCGGTTACGACGATAAAGTGGGACCTGTTCTCGCCTCGCGAACCACCTGATTAGAAGACGGAAAGCATTCACTCATCCAACTGTTCCAGGAGTCGCGGAATAACAGATGTGCAGATGACTGGGACCGAGTCTCTGCCCCGCTTGGCCTTGCAAGCGACGTCCCAAACGGCCTCAACGTTGAATACCGTGCAAACATTGTTAATGTATACGAAAGCGTAGCTCAAGTGCTCCTACTTAAAATGCCTGCGTCTTTGAATGCGTTGAGCCTCGTGTGCATCCCCACAGCTGGCAGCTCGCATTCGGCGCTGAGGAACAGCCCAGAGCTGAGGATACCTTCATGGGTGCCAGATTGGCGACAGTCGGTGAGCCAACCAGGATTTTCAACCATGGCGAGTCTCCGAGAGAGCAACGCTCCCTTGTACGATACATTTCCTGGAGAAGTAAGTGCACAGATTTACCGCCCTATGTTGAGCGTCACCGGGGTCGTCATGCACGAGGTCGACATCCCGACAAACGCAATATCCCCGCCTTGGGACTGTCAGGACGGATGTTTCGTTGAGTCTCGGGGCTGGCGTAAGGTCTTCACAGAACATGGCACGGTTGATGCTGAGCTAGAACTGGCCGTCCGACAAAGCCTTGTTGGTGATCGATGTCTCATCGGCAATGTAGGCACGGAGAATGGGCTAGTGCACAGCTGGGGACGTGGGGGGGCCATCGACTGGATCCTTTTCGACGAGTCCGCAGAGGAGCGAGATGAGGCTGCTGTCTCAAAAATATTTGAGCAACATCCGATCATGAGATTTGCCTACCATACTCGGCAAATGGCACTTCTAAATAACGGATGCGTGGCTGTTCTACCTGCTGCAGCAGAAGCGGGCGACAAAATTGCTACATTTCGAGGGGGACACAGTCTCTACGTGCTGCGACCACTTAAAGACCGATCCGAGTATCGGTTCATTGGAGAATGCTATGTTGATGGCTGAATGGATGGTCAGAAGGTCGCAAGGTCTAGTGACAGGCCGGAGATCATTGTGCTGGTCGGAACGTGACGGAATCTGGTTGAAGCCAAACACCTACATCATATTTTATAAATCCCTGTCTTACCTTCACATACGACCATAGGACGTTGAAAACAAGGCTTCCCGTTCGCTCAGCCCTATTTAAGCAACGTACCGGCGGATTAGTAGTTAGGTGGGTGACCACTAGCGAATACCCGCTGTTGTATGTTTTTTGGCAATTTGATTGTATACTACGTCGACAAGCTGCTCCTTCCAACAACTCCAGGCATAGTTTCCAGTACCTCTTCTCTACTGATCGCGCTCTCCGCCGCCACGACATCTAACTGCGTTAGAGCATGCGTCATGTACAATGCGCACAAAGCCAACAGCAGCCAGACATTTGTCAGCTAAGGGTGGTCGCACGCAGCACGTCTTCCT